GCAGAGAAATCAAGAAATTTAGTAGATTCTAAGAAGTATGAAAGAACATCTGATCCTTCAAAGAAAAGAAGCCATTGAAATCTGATTTCCTTTTGGCCTGACATCATACAGAAATAACGAGCCTAATAATTTCATGGTAGCTCATTGCTATCCTCAGCCAAGGACAGTGATGGCAAAGCCTGGTTTATAGACAATCATTGACTTCCTACATCCAGAGAAACATGGCTCTGTATTGGAGCAGCTATGTCATTGCTTTTGATGAGATAAAGTCATCTCCAAATGATCTCTGTGGGTTATGTTGTGGTTCAGCTTTGTGGACAGCCCTTTTTCATTGAAAGAAAATGAATGTGGCCCTCAAAGAGCAGGAGAATATTTTCACAACTTTGTGATTTTTTAATAATCAGGACTATTGACTCTAGATGGCTGTTGGGGAGAATGATGACATCCACCATAAAAAAAATATGAGCTGTAGGGGCAACTGGCATTGTTGCGTGATGGTGCACAGTCACTGGGTGAGTGGGGGTCATCAGCATTGGCAATATCTTTGTTTTTGCTAACAGGTCAAAATGCAAATCTTTTTGAAGACCCTGAGTGATAAGACTATCACGGTGGTGGTGGGGGGGAGGGTGTGGTGGAGCCCAGTGATACCATCAAGAATGTGAGGATCCAGGATAAAAGGGACACCCTCCTTAACCAGCAGAGGTTCATCTTTGCTGGCAAGCAGCTGGACAATGGCTGCACTCTTTCTGATTACAACACCCAGAAAAATGCAACCTGTACCTTGTTCTCTGACTACGGGGTTGCTGTTAATTCTTCAGTGTTTCATTCACAGTGCCCTATAGTGCTCTGCACTCTGCCATTTGCCCCTATTTAAGTTTAAAAATTACTGGTTTCAGTAATAGCTGGGATGTTCAAAATATTAATAAAGGTTTTTGCTGCATGATAGCGAATGTGTGTGTGTGTGTGTGTGTGTGAAATGTAACAAGCAAATTAAATAAATAAATAAATAAATAAATAAATAAATAAATAAATAAATAAATAAAAACACCAAACAAAGTAGAAACAGAACAGAGTTTCTGCAACATGGTAAAGGATAACTAACATGCTCACTGGTGAAAGACTGAAAATGTTCCCCTTGATATTAGGAATAAGACAAAGAAGTCTGCTCTTGCCATTTCTGTCCAAAATTATCCTGAAGTTCTAGTGAGAGCAATTGGGCAAGGAAAAAATCCAAATAAGGAAAAAGTAAAATTATATTCACAGATAACATGTTCTTTTATGTACAAAATAGTTCAGAATCTAGTTTAAAAGACACAACCTTGTTAATAAATGAATTCAGCAAAGATGCTGGATACAAGATTAATACACAAAAAAAAATTCTTGTATTTCTATACATATGTTAAACTATAACCAGCAATGAGACAGAGCTTCATCTGCAAAAGAGAGTAAAGCTTTTATTTGGGGTCTTTGGAAGAACGCAATCCAGGAGATACCACTCAGGTAAGTCCTTATAAGCAGTCCAATTTGGAGGGAGAGTGGGAAAAATAGAGTTTATATAGGTAGAGCTGCCTCCTACAGGTAAACTAATAAATTCTATAAAATAGGCAAAAGGGTGCATATCTACATATTACTACTATGAGAGATTGTCCACCTTGAAGCTGAGATCTGATAGGGTTTATCGATCTTCGTGAGAAGGTTGGTGTGGTCTTTCCAAACTCCCCAATTCCAGATGCCAGGTTGCTGGTTTGCTGAGAGTGATAGGTTTGGCTATCAAGTAGTCAGGTGTGGTAGACCTCTATAAGTTCTACTTTCCTAATGGTTCCTGGCTCCATTTTGGATATTACCCTTATCAATTTTAATTTCAGCTGTCTTGACACACCAATAATGAAAAAATCCAAAAAGGAAATTAGGAAATTTAGCATTGGAAAACTTAATACATTGACCTACCAATTCAATGCAATACCTATCAAAATCCCAATGGCCTTTTATCTTACAGAAACTGGAAAGTCCAAACCTAACTGCAAGGAACCTGGAATAACCAAAACAATCTCAAAAAAAGAATAAAGTTGGAAGACTCATACTTACTGACTTCAAGACCTATTATAAAGCTATAGTAATCAAACCATTATGGAACTGGCACAAAGATATTTATAGATAAATAGAATGGAATTTTGAATTAGGAAATCTACAGTAAATTGATTTTTGACAAGAAGCCTATTTTTATCAAATAGTACTAGTACAGGGCCTCCCCGGTGGCGCAGCGGTTGAGCGCTGGGTTGCGAAGCTGCGCGCGGCCTCTGCGGCACCAGTTCGATCCCCGGCTGCTCCCCGGCCACCGGAGGAGGGTCCCGCATGGCGCGCAGACCTCTCCTGCCGCCCGCTGCTCCCCTCAGCAGTGTACTTCGGTCCTTCTGCCTGCTCTGCTCCCCGCTCTGGCTCTGGTGAATTCTCTCGCCCTCCCGCGCTTCTGACTATACCCAGTGCATGTATAAACAAAAAAACAAACAAAGAAACCAGCAAACAAATAAATAAAGCATGCCTCTATAAAAAAAAAAAAAAAAAAAAATAGTACTAGTACAAAAATAAAGTAATAAAATAAGGGCCAAAGAAAATTCTCTTTGCCCAAAGGAATCAAAGTAATCTAAGAGAGCTGAGTGTCCCCACTCCACTTCCTGAATGAACACAGTTGGGGGAATTATATGAGAGTCCTAAAAACTGTAAGTCTCATTGAATGGAGCCATTGGAACAGAGTGGCTGAGCAGAGGCATAGGGTAGACTTTCAAAGACAGAGTGGGCGCCTACCGCTTGTTCTTGCTTTGGCTCTGCAGCCTCTTTGTGGGTTGGGGCTCAGGAGTCCCTCATCTGTTCAGGAGGCCCTTCAGCTGGCTCCCACAGCCCCAATGGCTCTTTTTCCTGCCTTAGCGCTTTGACAGGCAATATGGTCATCTGCTCTCTGGAGAGACTATAGTGGCTGCCATCTTGATCTTGTGGTGGATTCAGCTTGGGCATAACATTCTGTCCTTCTCTCTCAGACCTTTGAACCCTTCTTGTGTTTCCTGCTGGGAGGTTGTCTTGCTCTGCTTTTGGGCCTTGATCTGCTGCTCAGCTCTGGGCCCTGCCTGTTTGGCTGAATATTTGCCAACCCAGGGGATAATTGGGAATTTGCTCAGGAGTCTGTATTTTGAAGTCCTTCTCTCTTTTACTTCTCCCTCTCTCTATTCCCTTTGAACCACTTACTGATTATAAATCTTTACGCACACTAGAATTTTATTTCTTTGCCTTTAGAAAGAACATGTGTTTTTCCCCTTAACAGTTTGGGATCCCTGGAGACCACCGGTTTTGCCCAATATCAGTAACTCCTTACCATGAGCTTCAGCAGACCAGATATCTGGATCACTGGTTTGGAAGTTAACCCACCGCAGGATGCCTGAGTCGCTGAAGGGTAGACACTTCAAAAGACTCATAAGCTGCCTTTACCTGGGTGGGGATGGTGAGTTCTACAGGAGAGGCTCAATCTCAACTCATATCCGAGCCCTAAAAACTGTTAAGTTAAAAAGAAAGTCCTATTTAGGTAAATCAGGTTTCATTTGAAAGGATTATTGCAACAAGGGAAAAGGGACTGTTGTGAAAAGGGATGAGGATAATTGCAATAGGGAGAATGTTTAACTGTCAATAAATACCTGGATTTAAATAAAGAGGGACTTTATTTATTGGAAGGGATTATTACAAGAAGAGGGAAAGGAATTATGGCAACACACGCTGTGGAGAGCGTGAGGAGGCAACTTAGTTGTAGGATCAGGTGATCTGTAATTGTCTCTAAGATCAGGCAGAATGGGTGTTGGGAAGTGGGATTAACAGGTAAAGGAGGTAATGAGGTCACCACAGAGAATGTTTTACAAGATCAGCTTATTTCCAGGAGTGGAGGAAAAGGAGGGGTGGTATGTTGACTCAGACTGAGGGTGGGTCAAAGTTTAGGGGCCTGATGGAAGGAAAGTTTAACTAAAGTTTGGTCAAGGAAAGCTCACTGGCATTGTATCCAGGTTGATCAGTGAGCAACCTATGTGGAACAGTAGTGAGCACCTATGTATAACAGTAAAGTTAGTGCTAGACACTTGTGGGATCAAAAACGAGTAAGAATTATGTGCAGGATAGAGAGAGTGATTAAGCGCACAAATACTAATATTAGCAGAAATTATACTAACTGAGCACTTACTCTTCTTAACCCGGGACTGTGGTTGTTATTTACATACATAGTTTAGTTGCTTAATAATATTTATTGTTAACTAACTTGATACACCTTTTAATTAGTTTATTTAAAAATTTAGTTCCTATTGAGCACAGTTAGTTCAGTTAATCATTTATGAGCAAAAAATATGGGAGAATAGAGGGCCTGTAGTAGGTTAACAGGGGACAACGTCGAGTCATACATGTCTAAATCACTTCTGGAAGGGTGCTTCCCGGCCCTTAGCCCTTTCAGGAACACAAACAGGAGTGAGGGGAAGCTCCTTAGCTTCTGGGAATCACAGGCTCAGGTAAAGCTCAGCACTGGCAGAATGGAGGGAAATCTGCCCACGGATTCCATCTGAGGCTGAAGAAGCACGGAGGTAGGTAGACGCCGGGGTCTCAGGTGAGCCCACTCCGAGCTCGCCGGATTTTCCGCGCAGGGTGACGCGACAAGCCGCAGCAGGCGCCGCGGGAAAGCGGAGCTGCCCTCCGCGATGGTCAAGGTGAGGCCGGAGATGCTGCCGGGCCAGCCCCGCCCTCGGAGGCCCCGCCCCTTGAGAAAGGCCCGCCCCTGAGAAAGCCCCGCCCCTGACGCCCCGCCCCTGCCCCTGCCGGCCGCGCGCCCGCGCGCGCTCTCGGCGCTGCGCAAAGTCCGCGAGGGCGCGCGCTCGCCGCCGGGCGGTGGCGACGGAGGGAGGCGGGCCTGGCCCATCGCCGCGGCCGGCGAGCCCGGGCGGATCTGGGGGCTCGGGCCCCGCCGCGGCGCTGGTGCTCGGAGCCCCTCGGCGAACCGAAGACGAGGCCGCGAGGCGATCGCTCAGCGCGGCCCCCCCAGCGGCCGGGGCCGGAGTGAGTGTGCGGGGCCGCGCGCGCCCCGAGGGGTGGGGAGCCGGGGCGCTGGGAACCGGGGCGCTGGGGCCGGGGCGCCGAGGCCGGGGCCCTGGGGGCCGGAGAGGGGCGCTGAGCCCCCGCGATCGCCTTTGTCTTGGTGGTCCTCGGGTCCGGGGTTCGGATCCCGCACCCGCGCCTTGCAAGGTGCTGCGGGCGTTGGCCAGGTGAGGCCGGGCTGCGCCTCCCGCCCGGCGGGGCTGCTGGTTCTGGGAGCGCTGGGAACCCGGGGTCCGCGCTCTCCTGAGGTCCCGATTTCCAAAGGCGAACTGCGAAAGGGCCGACGCGAAATACGGAGCAAGTCTGTGTTAGGTGGACTTGGGGTGAAGTCCATTGTCAGTCTCCCCCAACTTAAAAAAAATTGTGGGTTTGATGCTCGCTGTTGTCGTGTTTAATTTTTTTCTCGGTGTCCGTGTTTCTTTGCTCTCACAATTATTTACTTGTCAGCATTAATGGCCCTAGGATGGCCCCCAGCGCTGGTTCCTTGGTAGGTCATTTGAGACAGTTAAGACTAAAGATAGGAAACTGACCGTATGTGCTGATGGTGACGTGCAGCTGTAAAGCGTGACAGATCGCGACGTGAAAATTAGCTTCCTTACTTCAGTGTCTCATGCGTGATTTTGGAGTGTTTGTGAGTTTAATCATAGTTTGGTTTTAATGGGAGGACTCTTTGAAAGTTGATGTGTTTTTTATCTAAGTATGCAGAAGGTGGTATTGATTTAAAGGCAATTAAATTCATTGAATTTAATACATAGTGAGCACCTATGTATAACAGTAAAGTTAGTGCTAGACACTTGTGGGATCAAAAACGAGTAAGAATTGTGTGCAGGATATAGAGAGTGATTAAGCACACAAATACTAACACAATATTATTCGCAGAAATTACACTAACTGAGCACTTACTTTTTTTAAAAGATTTATTTATTTTTATATAAGAACCAGATGTGTGGGTACAGTCCAGATGTGTGGGAGGGTGAGAGGATTCACCAGAGACAGAGTGGGGAGCAGAACAGGTGAATCTACTGAAATACACTGCTGAGGGGAGCAGCAGGCAAGGTAGGAGAGCTCTGCTTCACCATGTGGGACCCTGGTCGGCCCGCCGGGATCGAACTGGCGCTGCAGAGGCTGCAGACAGCTTCACAGCACTGTGCTCAATCGCCTGTGCCACCAGGAAGGCCCAGAGCATTTACTCTTAACTCTGGACTGTGGTTAAGTTCTTTACATACATACTTTAGTTGCTTAATAATATTTATTGTTAACTAACTTGATACACATTTTAATTACTTAGTTTATTTAAAAAATTTTAGTTCTTATTGTGTGCTAACTATGGGATGGTGATTATTATAGATCTTGCCTTTAAGGACTCTACATTGTTTATTCTGGGAAAACATATTAAACAAATAATTGCTCATAAATGCCAGTAAGTCTCCATAGAAGTTTAAAAGAATGTCATATACTGTAAGAACATGTAACATGGGGGCTCAACCTGGACAAGGAAAATCAGTTAAGGTTTTCCTAGGAAAGTAATCTTCAAGTCAAGATATTATGGGTAAGTAAGAACTAAATGAAGATAACCCCCAAAAAGGAGAGGTTTAGGCAAAGGAAATAGGTTTCCCCTCTGGGGCTCAGAAAGATGGTGCCTTTCAGAAACTGGCAGATTGGCACAGTTGGAGTGAGTGAAGAAAGCAAAAGGCTATGTGGTTAGAGCTGGAGGGAAGCTTCAGGGCCTTCTAAGCAATGTTAAGAATTTGGGGACAGCTCCTACCCCCATTATTTTTTTAAATTGGTAGAGAAATTTGTAAACCACTCAATAGTGAGAGAACAGTAACTTTTCCTACCCCTTGGGTAATACTACCCAAGGGATTTAGACTTTAGTCAGAGAACACTGAAATCTCTGAGGGTTTTTGAACGGAGAGGTCCGATTTGTCTGACCCATGTAAAACTGAATATATGGGGACAAGACTGCATTTGAGGAAGTTGGAGAAGAGCATTGGTACTGGAGTGTAGCCATAAAGATCAGGTGAACTCTAAGGGTACAAAACTGATCTCTCCTCAACATGAAGGTAATTATATATTCACTTCATGGGAGGAATCATGGGAGACTTTCTATAAATGATCTTTAAATGTGTTTGACTCTGGGGCCTCCCTGGTGGTACGCAGAAGTTAAAGTCTCAGCACTATAAAGCTATGGCCACCCACTGTGGCATGAGTTTGATCCCTGGCCAGGGAGCTACCCACGTGGCATGGCAGACCTCTCCTGATTCTCCTGCTGCTCCCCTCAGCAGTGTATTTCAGTAGATCTGCCTGTTCTGCTCTCCACTGTCTCTGGTGAGTCCTTTCACCCCTCCCCCACCTCTGGCCTACACCCCAGTTCTTGTATGCATAAATAAATAAAAATAAATCTTTTTAAAAAAAGTATTTGATTCTGATGCTACCATAGTTTGCTTTTGAGACTTGGAAATCGATCCCATTCCATAGAAAATGTAAATGAGAAGAACAGCACATGGAAATGTGATCTTTTGGTTTCTTTCCCTATTCCCAGGAATGGTTTTATCCTTAGGGAAAAAACCTCAGCTTCTACATAAAGATAGCATGGCCGGTTGTATAAAATCTTGATATAAATCTGTAACCTTAAAAAAATGTAGCCTGTAATATATGTTTATAAAAAGAAGTAAAATTAGTAATATACAAGTTTTCGTAGTAAAATTTTAATGTGTACCTTAAATATACTGCATTTCTTAGTACCTTAAGTCTGTTTTGACTGGATTTTCCTTGTAGGGATATGTTCCAGAAATCTGTTTACTCTGCCTCCTGACTGTTGTTATCACTGCAGTTGTTGGGAGTACGTAGGATAATATTTGGGAAGGTGTCTGGTAAACTGTGATATAACAATACAAATGTAAAGTGATAGTGGTACTAATTGAAAATAGACTGAAGCAAAATGACTTTTCTGTTTATCTGTCCATTTTGATGCCTGATTTCATGCTGATATTTATTCAGTGGCTTTTTTTCTCTCCAATACATGACTTAAGTTCATTTGTGTCACTTGATGATGATACATCTCTACTGGTATAAATTTTGTGTGGGTCATTTATTATTACTCATTTATGATAGATAATGCCAAAAATAATGAGGACCTTATCTTCATGTTTGAATCAGTTTTGATTTCATAATTCTGTGCTATATTTAGAATTAGTGACTCAGTCTGTTTTTCCCTTGTTAGTCTGTAAACTCCCTGATAGTAAAAACTATGTCTGCCCCATAGACTTCTATTATTGATTCTAAACTAGTGCCTAGCACAAAGTGGTTGGAGTGTCAATAGAATAATAAATGTTTTTAAAAATTGAGTGTAATTTGTTAGCCATGTGAAAAACAACGCTTATGGAATAAGTCTAAGATGCTTCCTACCAATCCTGTAACAGAGGTAATGACAGAGAACAGGAAAAGAGAAAGGACCATAGATTACTGTAGCCTCAGTATCTCCTTTAGTCCTCAAAACAACTTGTAAGGAGGATAATTGTCTCCATGATACAGATAAGGCCACTGGGCCTTAAAGAAGTTACGTAGCATTCTAGAGGTCACCTCTGAAGTGATGCAGCCATAAGTACCAATTTGAATCCAAGGTCTGCTCTTCATTCTCTCTTGCTGTTATAAAACAACAACAACAAAAAAAAACAATTTACCAGTAGCTTATAACTATGAAATGATGGGAAGTAGTAGCAATTTACAAGAGAGTAATCTATTGATGGAAAACATGTTGAACTATTTTATAGATAGCATCTCTGCTTTTCACCTGAAAGGCACAATGGAAGAAACAGGAAATGTGTGTAAGTCAGGATACCTGTTCTCAGGAATCTTAGACTCAAGAGAAAGAGCTAAAAGACACAAAAGAAACAATGTAGACGGTATCAGATGATATAATTTAAATGCCAAAACTCTACATGCTTTAGGAAGAGAATATTAATAGAGGCTTAATATTTCACCTTTATGCTAGAAGACTTAAAACTAAAATATGTTCCCACCCTTTTGCCCAAGAGACTTCTTTGAACTCATAGCTTTTTCTGCTATTTATAGCTAAAGTCCTAAACATGTATATTTTGAGTTACTGATTTTGAACATTGCCCAAAATAGACACAATTTATGTATGTTTAAAATAATATAATTAAGAAAATGTTATTATTAGATCATGATAGGTTAATATCAAGTTCCAGTGAGTACAGATTTAAAACTAAAGAAAAATACTTTTCACCAAACACTTTGCATGAGGCATGAAAAGTATTTCATCTCTCAAACAGATTATATCAAATAGACAAAATAGACACTATTTTTCCCCTTTGTAATTCAGTTCCCCTTTGTAATTTCCCCTTTGTAATACTGTCCCTTGGTCCAGGGACAGTATGAATATATTTATCTAATAAATGGAGTGTTTGCAAACTCAGAAGAGTATTGACAATATTGTATCTCCATTTAGCAATCACTTGTAATGACTGTGTTTTAAAGCATTTATTAGTCTATTTTAAAAATTTAATATGAGCCATTTAATATATACATTGTTAATATTATAAAAATATCTTTCCACTTACCTGATTTATTACCAAGTCTCGGACCTGATTCAGTGCCTTACATTTATTAAATCTTCTCTCTGAATGATATAATGGTCTGTTTTCATTTTTAAATGTAGGGAATACTTTCAAAGAACAGCGCAGGAAGGATTAAGTCTTCAGATAGATGGAACACTCACTTGACAAAAGATGTCTAATTTGCCTGGATTGTTGGCACCATCCTTTTGGGTGGTGTGCCTACCTCCCAGCTGAAGACAGAATCTGAAGTTATTGGCATTGCTATGGGAGCTTCTGATCCTTCTGCTTGTGTTCTTTCAGTCCTCTGCCCCATTACACTTTACCCCATTCATTACCCAATTCCCCCTTGTCTTTCAAAATTGCTCACAATCTTCTCATGAAAAGGCTAAAAAACAAATTCACTATCAGTCTGTCTTCGATTCCTAATGTAGCCAATAGAAGCATATGGAACAATGTTTAATGGTCAGGTGTTTTCCAGAGCAGACTCTACTAACCTACTTCCAATTACTGTTCCTAGCAAAACAGACTAAATGGAACCAACCCTCCAGCCAAATAGGCCCAGCTCCAGCAGCAGCAGGAAGCTAGAGTGGAGTCAGAACCTAAGATCATTCAGACTGATTATATCAAGTGAAGGGCTGTGGCTTGATCCTCAGTTCCCCAAATTAAATTCACCTCCAGATGCTCTGGTGACTTAAAGTGGGAGCAGACCAGTTTTAGTGCCCACTTTCTGCTTCGCATTGCTTTGGCATTGAGTTTGGTGGATCTTCAGTGGACATTACTGAGCTTGTCTACCTTTGATTTAAATATGCCTAGAATTTACATTTTTTAATAGAGGTTTTTGCTCTTTGCACACATATTTTCCAGAGAGACTTGAAGAGACATATTTGATACAGTCTGAGAGATGAAATACTTTTCATGCCTCATGCAAATGTTTAGTTTAGTTATGTCTTCTTTGGGGTAAAGTGTTTTTCTTTAGTTTTAAATCTGTAGTCACTGGAACTTGATATTAACCTGTCATGATCTAATAATAACATTTTCTTAATTATATTGCTTTAAACATACATAAATAAAAAGATGTAATCTGTTTTGGGGTGACTTCTTAAAGTTCTGTTTATGAATTAAAGCTAATTTATATAGGTTTGTTAAATAAAGCACTTTTAAAGTTTATTTAATTCTAAAACATCTTTTTAATTGATTTATTTTCCTTTTTCGCCATGACCAGTTTGTTGTTTTCCTTCATTTATTAACCAGACATCCCGCAATAGATAGAACAGACCCAACTTTTCCTCACTTGAATTTTGACAACTGATATCAACATTAATTGTACAATAGGCAGTTTGTAACTATTGTCAGTTTTATTTTATGTAGTACATCTGTGTAATAATACTAAAATCTCTTTGCCCACATTTGCCTTTAAGCTATGAGTCAAACAGATATCTTACAATCTTTTTTAATTGTCTCTTTTACAATTTCATCTTTATCCTAAACATGATAAATCTACTCATTTATTGCTTTAAATATGAATTCATAGTAATTTTCACCACTTAAAATTTATAATTTGGTATGTTAGTTTTCATTGAGAATGTCAAATCTTGAAATGATTGACATTCTTGGATAGTTAAGAATAATTTTCCATTAGAGCAAAAGTATTGCCTCTTAAGAGGCTAACGAAAAGGCATCATAAGATTCTACATGTACACGTGTTTTCAGATAGATTTTCATCCTAGTATTTTTTTATATTTTAAAAGGGCACGTTTATTAGGAAAAGGAGAGGGAAAAAAAGAGGCACCTGTATAGACACAGGTCTTTCTTGTGAGTGTCAGACTCCAAAATTTATTTTTTAATTATATTTTACTTTGTAGATGACAATATCAGTTTTGGTGAGGCCTTTGTTCTTTAGATCCTTTTAGTGCTACTTAGGGCTACATTGTAAGTATATAGGGATGGGTTTATTTAAAAAAGTAAACTGAGAATTTCATCTTTTGTTTCTTTTTACTCTCACAGTAAGACAAAAGAGAATGAAAGAAGTAGATAATCTTGAACATGTAAAAGAAGAATGGTAAGTTAATTCAAACTGTGAGCTCCTTTGTTTTTTCTGCCCTTGTTAATCTTTATGTTCATTGCATTTCACTAACTGAGATAATGTTTCCATTATGAGTACCTCAGTTAGATACTTTTTGAAGTAAGTTTTTGGGTTTGTTTGTATTTTTTTTTTACCATAGCTGAAACTGAATGCATTTTTTAAAAGATTTTAAAATTATTTATGCATACAAGAGCTGGGGTACAAGCCAGAGATGCAGGGGGTAAGAGGATTCACCAGAGACAGAGTGGGGAGCAGAACAGGCAGATCTACTGAAATACACTGCTGAGGGGAGCGGCGGGTGAGTCAGGAGAGGTCTGCTGCACCATGTGGATTGCTCCCTGGCTGGCCGGGGATCGAAATCATCAAGCACTGGGTACAGTCAGAAGCGCGGGAGGGTGAGAGAATTCACCAGAGCCAGAGCGGGGAGCAGAGCAGGCAGAAGGACCGAAGTACACTGCTGAGGGGAACAGCGGGCGGCAGGAGAGGTCTGCTGCACCATGTGGGACCCTGGCCCGCCCGGTGGCCTGGGAGCAGCTGGGGATCGAACCAGCGCTTCAGAGGCTGCGGGCAGCTTCGCAACCCAGTGCTCAACCGCTGCGCCACCGGGGAGGCCCTAAACTGAATGGATTTTTAGTGCAGTTGTGAAATCTTGATAAGACTTCTCTACACATTGCTTAACAATTTATTTATTTTATTTTTTTCCTTGACAATTTAAGTAACTGTTTACATCATTAACTTTTAAGATTGTATATCTTAGATTCAGAGTGAAAATATGACTTTGGAGTCAGACAAACCTAGCTTTAAGTCCAGTCTTGGTTCTATTACCTCTCTGGTCTTTAGACAATTTAGGTAGATTCTTTGAGCTACAATGTCTTATCTACAAAATGGTGACAAATACTTTGTAAATACTTGTTAACCAAGCAGATATATTTTGTTACTTTTTCATTATTGTTTTATATAAATATTTGATACTATTCATTGCTGTTGTGTAAGGGGCCACTATTTGAGGAACTACTGAGACTTGGAAAGTATTAATGACTCATTCCCCTGAGGTCACATATTTATTATCTTAACTTGGAAGAGGGTCTAAATTGCAACAAGAGGATCTTTACTGAGACAGTGTGTGCAAGTGCTTAGAAAATAGTCAGTAGTACATATTCCTTTTTTTGTGTGTGTGTAGGGTGTGTGAAGCAGGATCTGACAACCAACCTCGTAGGGGTAATCAGCAAACAAGTTGTGAATATTTTGTTGATAGCCTTTTTGAGGAAGCTCAGAAGGTTGGTGCCAAATGCTTGTCTCCCACTGAGCAGAAGAAACAGGTAAATGTCCATCGCTTTTTTTCTCTTCCACGGTTTCTCAAAATGGGAAACTTCTAGAAGTTCTGTCAAGTCAAAATTGTTCTCATATAATAGTAGGTTATAGTTTACCTTTCACACTGTATTGGCTTTGTATTGATACTGCAAAAACTATGGTGGGTAAAATTGCTGGCGCCTGTCTAGGAGGAATCAAGACCGTGGCACCCAGCGGGCTGGTAGTTGCTGTATTTGTTGCTTGTTGAGTGAGTTTCTGTTAAGATTGTCCTTGAAGGAGCAAAATATAAGTTTTATTTAATTCTAACCCTTTCAGTACACATCTTAATAGTCTGTGTGACAAAATGTGATGTACATTTTTCTGTAATATACAGAAGTCTCTTAAGAAAAAGTGTGATTATTTGAGATGCAGGCTGACCCATCTGCTTTTTCATGGTTTACTGTTTTTTCATCATTTACAGGCAGGGATGTTTGGCAGACATTTTCTCAAAATGAATGAAATGAGCCTGGCATTTAAAGGAAAACAAATGACAGTATTTATTGCAAGCAAAACTTGTATTGACTTTTTTAGTGAAAGTAAGAGTTTGGTAAACTACCACCAGGCACTTGATAGCGCCTCAGAACGTAAAGATTTTTCTGATGAGGTCACTGTCATATTAATGAATAGAGTCCTTTTATTGTATAATGAAAAATAACAACATTTGGCAGATTTACATGACTCAGAAACAGTATTTTCCAAATGATCATTATAAGATATTTTAAACTGATGCACAGGAGAAAGAGCCAAAATGTCTTATAGATGAAAGGATTTCAATGTAACAAATTTATGAAAAGCTCATTAAGTTTAGATCCCATTCAGATTTTTCGTTAACTTTTGAGATATTTCCACTTATTAAATTTTGACATAGTATCCAAAAAGAATGCCCATGAAAGGCTATTAAAATACTTCCTTTTGCAATTATATATGCTACATAATATATATTTCAATTAAAGCATATCCCATGGGCTGAAAGCAATAGCAATTATGAGAATCCAACTGACATTTTGAAGTTAGACATTAAGGGGAATTTTTTTAAATCCCTCACTCTGATACATCTTTTATACTTACATTTGAAATTTTATCAAAATTTAAGTTCTAAAAATGCATGGTCTAATAGTTCTGAAAGACCTATTTCTCCTTGGCCATGATATCTGCTTCCCAGAGGTAACTACTTAGACTCTTTGCTCTCCTAGTGCACAGTTTGGGTTTCTAATAATGTAGTAATAGTGAGGCTTTGATTTTTCAGTTTTTCATGTTATATATTGACTTTTTACTATAGAAAGTGAGGATTTGGCTCTGATTATACCTCCCGTCCTTCCTAAGCCGCCTCTTCTCATCCATCTAATACAGTTATATCATAATTTTTATCGTCTCCCACTGACTTCATTTTCTTTGTGTCTGTCATTAGTTCATCCCCCAATTCTCAGATAGAAAGCTGTATTTTTCTCAATATGTTTGAGTGTATGAGGTAACCTTACTGGTTTTTCTGAGGGACAGCTATGGTTAGGTCCTGTTTTCCCCCAGGGAGCTGGTCGCCTTCTGAGGGAGTCATTACGCTGCTGCGCCTCTGTGGAATCGTGGTTCCGAGCAGTCTCTTTATCTCTCCTTCCTCAATACCCAATCCCATGCCTCTCCCAATCCCATCTCTTTTTATTAATTAACTAGTTATTTTTTCTTATATCATTGTTGTCCCACAGTTCTCTCACCACCATATCACCTGTGAACCATCACAAATTCTCTTGTGTTCCTCCCTCCCGGTGTTGACTGTTCTCGCCCCTCCCTTGCTGTATGCCTCAAATCTATGGTCAGCCTCCTAGTTTTAACATTTTCTTGACCTTTTGTTTGGTTTCTCTATATTCCACATATAAGTGAGACCAATTGATATTTCTTTTCCTTTTGACTAATTTCCGCTGGCATCATAACCTCCAGCTCCATCCATGTTGCCACAAATGGCATGAGCTTGTCTCTTTTGATCCCTGAGCAATATTCCATTGTGTAAATATGCCACATCTTTTTGATCCATTCATCTTTTTGGGGGCATTTGGGTTGTTTCCTTATCTTGGCTATTGTAAATAATGTTGCAGTAAACATAGGCTCTACAGGAAGAAATATTAATGACAACATGACACTGGTATTTTATATTTGAAGGAATAGCCATTAATTACTTGGTCATTGTCGTTTTTCCCTTCCTGTGCATTATGTAAAACTAAAACTAATACAATGTTTTGTGTCAATTATTGTATCAATTTTAAGGGGAAATATAAACTAAAATCTATAATGATGGAAGTTTTCAAAGGACTTTTAATTTCCATTTTAACATTGTGGGTTTTGTTTCTTACTGGTTTGAAGGTAGATATAAATATAAAATTATGGAAAAATGGATTCACAGTCAATGATGATTTCAGAAGTTACTCTGACAGTGCAAGTCAGCAGTTTCTGAACTCCATCAAAAAAGGGTAAGCCATCTTTGTAAATAGGATATTTTAGGCATGTTTCCTTTGGAAGAATCCTTTTTAATGTTCCCATATCCCTACACATTTGCAAACATATTTTTTCTTTTATACATTTAGATTTTCATGAGCTGGGTTTTTTATTTCTTTGGATATCCCTATATATGAGGGAACAGTGGTTTGTAGCACTGTGTATGGTTTAGAGGTGTAGGGTCACACCCTTCAGATGTATGTTAGCACACCATGCCCACCCCTACCCCACACCAAGGCACCCATATTCCACTGTGCCCCCTCACACCTTGCTCGCCTGAGGTTTCTTAAGAGAGTTACAGCTGTAATTTTTAACCTTTTCTGAACTTTTACAAAATTTGTGTGTTGTACAAAGGCCTTTTTTTTTTTTTTTCTAAATTTTATTGTTATATTCCCCATACAATTGCAGCCCCCCCATTCTGACCCCAATCCCTCCCTCCCGCCCCCGCCCCCCAAAAAAGTGTCTCTGGTTCATAGTTTTTTGTTGATTTTGATTTTCACTTTCTTATAGTTATTCATTTTCCTGGTACAAAGGCCTTTTTTCATAAAACCACTTGAGAGTAAGTTACTGAAGTGATGCTTCATCATACGATCACCTTGTTATGTGTAGCATGTAAGCAAAGACGTTTTCCTGTATAACCACAATGCAGCCATCTAAATAAGGAAATTGACATAGATGCTGTACTACCTTTTCATCCTCAGGCTCTTTTCAAGGTTCACCATTTGTCCTAATGTTACTCTGGATAGCAAAATCATCCCCTTCCTAATCACGCATTGCACTGAGATGTCATGTCTCTACAGTCTCCTTCAAAATATGGGGTTGTCGAAAAGTCATGACATACTTTTTCTGTGTTTTTCTTTTTTTTTTTTTTTTTTTTTTTTTTACTATTTTTTTTTTTTTAATAGAGGCATGTTTTATTTATTTATTTATTCATTTGTTTGTTTGTTTGTTTATACATGCACTGGGTACAGTCAGAAGCGCGGGAGGGTGAGAGAATTCACCAGAGCCAGAGCGGGGAGCAGAGCAGGCAGAAGGACCGAAGCACACTGCTGAGGGGAGCAGCGGGCGGCAGGAGAGGTCTGCGCGCCATGTGGGACCCTCCTCCGGTGGCCGGGGAGCAGCCGGGGATCGAACCGGCGCTGCAGAGGCTGCTGGCAGCTTCGCAACCCAGCGCTCAACCGCTGCGCCACCGGGGAGGCCCCTTTTTCTGTATTTTTCAAGCAAAAATGCATCATGACTTTTCCAACAGTCCAATATTTCTGGGATTAGAAAATATCTGTGAGTAAAATGGATGTGGCTCCTGCTGTTCTGCAGTTTACCTCGCTCAGAGGAGAGTGTCAGCAGTAACTGGACAAAGCCCCCAACTGAGTCCAAGTCCTTGCTCTCTTTCTTTAATCTCTCTGTTAAGAGAGTGAAATATGGAAGCATTTTTAAATTTTTGTTTATTTTTTTTGAAGATTGATTTATTTATGTATACAAGGACTAGGGTACAGGCCAGAGATATGGAGAGTGAGAGGGTTCACCAGAGAGAGTGGGGAACAGAACATGCAGATTGACTGAAGTACACTGCTGAGGGGAGCAGCGGGCGAGTCAGGAGAGGTCTGCTGTGCCATGTGGGTAGCTCCCTGGCCAGCCAGGGATCAAACTCGTGCTGCAGAGGCTGCAGATAGCTTCATAGGTTGCGTCTTAACCCCTTGTGCCACCAGGGAAGCCCTGGAAGCATTTTTTTTTAAGTTCTGATATTTTGGTATTTTACCTTTGTCATTTTCAGAGTAAATCTATATTTTCATTTAAAAATTGAAATGAGAACCTGAGTTTTCTAGTACATTCTTAGTTATATTTATTCAGGCACCTATAAAATTTATCAAATTGTTAATTAGTATTATATACTCATCAAATATTTCATGACTTCAGTACTCTTCTAATACTACTGAATAACTCATGCTGTTCCTATAGTTATAGTCTCAAAAATGACTCCATATTGTTCCAGGTTTTTGATATTCACGTATTTAACTATATTATTTTAGATACATTTAGTTCTTTCATTGTCAAGAATGTTATATCCCTCTTATTCCTATATATTTTCCTATTCTTTTTGCATTCAAAATGTGTTTTTCAGAAAAAGAAAAAACATATTGGGAACTATGTTTTTTTTTACTTTCCAAGGGAATTACCTTTAGAATTACAGGGAATTTTTGATAAAGAGGAAGTGGATGTTAAGGTAGAAGATAAGAAGAATGAAGTATGTGTAGCAACAAAACCCATGTTCCAGCCTTTCTCCGGACAGGGTCACAGACTGGGAAGGTGAGTTCGCTCATGGTTTGTGTTTTCCATAAACAAAACTAATTTTCAGCTTGTCTACATTTGTAGGGAGCTTATCATTTCTCCCATTGGAAATGGAATTTTTCATGTTAAATTTTATGAAGACTCCTAAATCATATTTACCTAGTGTAAATTAAGTGGACACTGTACTAAAAAAATCATAAAGGCTTTAAAGGTTTATCAAATTGAAAGGGTCTGTTTTATTGAGGACATTAAGCAAAATTGGGTGGATTTTTCTGCCTTGAATTCACAGTTTGAGTTTTGCCATTAATGTTACAGTATGCAAATGCTAGATTTTGCACAGAGAGTTCCATATTATAGTTACCAGTACCTTTCACACTGTTCTGTGAGCAGTATCTGAATTTTGAGGTAATAAAAATGAACAAAACAAAACACCTGATAGGGTAATATCAGTGTTCAAAGCCTTTAATTGTTTTCCAAAATCTTGTTGTCTTCATCTGATCCAACTAGGTCTTATGACAGGATGCAAAGAGGTTCGATACAGGATCACTTTTATTTTAGGTATCAGAATTGGTAAGGACTGTACATAATCACCCACACATATAAAAATATCTGGATGTGACTTTTAGACAAATTAAGAAATTTTTAGATTCTTTTATTTTCTTCTTTATTTTCTTTTATTAATCCAAGGACTAATATTTATAGAGAATTCATAATTTCTTTTAGAAAATTTAAGCTGGGAGTAGATAAAGGTAAAGTCCATAGATTTATCAATCCTATTCAAATTGTCTATTTTGTAAGGAGCTATTCAAATAATGCTATTAAGAATATATTTACATAGCACTCCACAAGCTTACAAATTATTGGAATGTGTATAATTTCATTAGGTTCCTTGAGTCATCATATTTGGTGGATATAATATTAATATCTAATATTAATATTAATATCTTTGTATTATTTTTGAGGGAACAGTTATGACTTTCTTTTTAAAAGCTAAACTTATTGGAAAATGGTTTTAGTAATTGCTTACTGATAAACTTCAGCTTTATAGACAAACATGCTTCTGACTTTGTCATCTGAATTTTTAGTGCCACACCAAAAATTGTTTCCAAAGCAAAGAGTATTGAAGTTGAGAATAAAAATAATTTGTGTCCTGTCCCACTAAATGACCTGGAACCCATCACTAATATACAGATCTGGTTAGCCAACGGGAAAAGGATTGTCCAGAAATTTAATATTTCTCATAGGTGAGTTTTCCATTTCATTATTTGTAGATTTCTTTCCTAAATTTAACTTTCATTTATTCTTTTCAGTTTAGTCAGCAGTTTTTAAAAACTGTCCAAGGACCTTAATAAATGGTTCTCTAAACATATCTCAATTCTTATACCTTAATATTGTCTTCTTCTTAATTGTCTTATCTCTCCCAAATTGTTTTTCATTTTAACTAAAAGTAGGTGCATCCTGGATATAGATTTCCTTCTTTATTTAAAAGCGTTAAAAATTTCTCAAAGAAATGTTATAGAAGTAAAAAATTATCACATTTATGCACATTAAAATAACAATAATAACATGCAATTTACCTTATATACCTTTTCCTGATTGTATCTCTCTGTGTGTGTATGTGTGCAAATGCAGGAGATAAACACTTCTAAATTTGCATAAAATCATTCCTGCATTTAGTCATAGTTTTAACAAATACATTTCCATCACTAAAATATACTGAGTTGTCTTCTTCATTTTCAAATAATTATTCTAAAAGAGTATAAATTTTTAAAAACTTGTGTACAGAAAAGTAAAGTATAGAGAACTGTTTCCTCCTGACTGTTCTAAGAATAAGTTATCAGTCTTATGACCCATCACCCAAATATAAACTTTAGTGTATATTTTAGTGTATATTTCCTACAAACTAGGACATTATCCCACAGAGCCACAATAGAACCATCTTTTTTTTTTTTTTTGGTATTATTTTTCACTGAGATAAGGTTGGTTTATGATGTAAGTATTTGATTTAGGTATGGTGTATATACCATACCATACCCTCCACCGAAGTACCAATAATCCTCCACTGTATTCCACTGGGCAGCCATCTTTAAATAGGAATTTGACGTTGATACACTTTAGCTAACAAATATTCAGATCTTAGTCAAGATTGGCCATGTTATCTAATATCCTCTGTAACCAAAAGCCATTCAGATCCTACATTGCATTTACATAAAACATTTACTTTAGCCAATTTTGGGGACCCAAATAAACACATAGGATCATGTTTTAGACTTTTTGGGGGAACTTGCACAGAATAGAGTGGAACTGTGATTGGATCAGAGAATTCTGTATTTAGTGATATGCCATGTGGCCTTAAGTCTGAGTTTCACATTTTAGCATCTCTGAAATGGGGGTGCATCCTTTATTCGATGTTAGCCTTATGGCAGTTGTGACACAGTTGTCTTTGCCTTACCTTCTGCCTCAGAGCTTCCAAAGTGAGTGTCAGCAGAAGAAAAGCATCCCAGAGACAGTGGTGGAGTACTTTTTTAAAGATTCTGTGCCACCATCACACCTGCTGATACAGATAGTGGGTATTATGTGGGAAAACATGTACACTGATGACTGAATAGAGGATTTAAGTCTGAATAATGTTCAAGATTAGAAATGACAATCATTTTATTCTAGTTTATGACAGAAGCATATGAGTATGAGCACATGAGAAGCACATTTGATAAATGTTAAGTGTAAAAGTGTTCTTTGAATAAATAGAAACATTCTAAATGTTCAAGAAGTTCTTTGGAATAATCTGGATTTTTTTCCTTCAGAATATATAGAAGGATGTGTCTTAAAATCAATGGATCTTGGTTTTAAATGAACTGTGTACACACTCTCCTTCTCTAAATACACACACACAGGTGAATGTAACTTTGAGCTATCTTAAAAAATGCAGTGATTGTTACATTGTAGTGTTCATCACACTAACTGAAATTCTACCAGTGCTGAGTTAAGAAATTTCTTAGTTGGGTTTGAAGTATAGCATGATCTTATATTTAAGAGATATAATCTATATCTGTATTAGATTACTCTGGACCATTTCTGATTCATTCAGAGCTAGGTATGTGAATATAAAAAACTTTCTTCTCTAGAAAATTTCAGATATATACAAAAACAAAGAGAAGATATAGCGGTCCATCACTCAGTTCACCTAAACTATTTTTCAAGCAAATCCTAGACTTCTACAGTAATGTGTAAATATTTTAGTATGTGTCTCCAAAAGATTGGAGCTTTTCAAAAATGTAATCATGATGCCCTGTCACACCTCATAGCAATTCCTTACTGTCATCACATAGCTAGGGAGTCAGTCACTAAAAGATAATCCACATGTCGTTATGATTGACTGTTCTAGGTATTGACATAGCCAGCTGTCTTCACATTATTGTTACCTTAAATTAGCCAATTCAGGTTTTCATAAAATTGTATTAATGGTTTGTGCTGTTTTACAGGGTAAGTCACATCAAAGACTTCATTGAAAAATACCAAGGATCTCACAGAAGCCCTCCCTTTGCCCTGGCAACTGCTTCCCCATTCCTCAGGTTGCTAGATGAAACACTCACACTGGAAGAAGCAGACTTACAGAATGCTGTGATCATTCAGAGACTTCAAAAAAACACTGAACCTTTCAGAGAACTTTCATAATACGGATTTTTGATACACTGAGTGAAAAGTTTGCAGAGAAATGATGGCTGTCAGTGGACATAGAAACTAATAGGGAAAGGAAAAGTCAGATATGTTGGGTTTTGGGCCTGAAGTATTATTTAACTTCCTCCTGTTACCCTGTTGAGAGGATTTTTACTTAAGTTCGAGTTAGGAAATTAAATTTGACTGGAAACTATAATCAATGCACTTTTCCCAGTAGGCTGATCAGAAAGAAAAATTCACTTCCTTTCAAATACCACTTAATCAACATAAGATATACTTAATAACTGTATAATTTAGGATCTTCATCTGGTATAAATTAGCAGATATGTTCACAGTATCATTCACCCAAACAGCAGTGATTTATTTAAATGTTAACTGTTTCAGATTTCAAAAATAGCAATACATTCAAAAATTTAACATGGCAGGTTAAGAGCATCAGTATGATTGTTTTATAACTGAGATGCAATCAAAAGACTAGATGGAAGGAACTGATTTCACTAGTTATACCTAAACCTCAAAGTTTCCAATTTGCTTTCTTTAATGGCAGTGTCTACTCAGATATTAATGTGGCAGTAATATCTGAGATATATTTTCATCTAAGAGTAAATTGTGTCGCTTAGTATACTGTTACTAGTCATCTGCCTCCTCACATTTCTGCATTTTTGAAAAGTAAAAGTTTTTTTTTATATATTTTGTTTTTCCCATCTCCTATTTTACTCTCTTTCAGAAATCGGGGATCTGATCTTTAGCTAATATTTGGAGTGAGTCATTCATTTGCCACCATTTAGAATCCAATGCTGTCTTTTCACATTACTAATTAATATTTTAGGATGCATCTCATAAAGCCTGATTTTCTATTCCACATCAGAGTCATCCTGTGTATACTTGAAAGGAATATTTATTATATTCTGATGCCACTAAGGAAACATGCTTTGTATCTTAGACTTTGAACTAAAAGACTTAATTATTTCACTGTCAGATTAAATCCCCTTGCCTGAAAAATCAGTTTAAGATTTTTTGCAAATGATGTATTGACTCAGATCAAAAGTGACGTACATAATGAATGCTCCCAGGACTAAGTGCCCTAGCCTGCAGCAGTAAGTTCACAGGCAGTGGATGTCTGCTGGAAAGAGCAGTTTGCTAGTGAACTTTCTGGCATCAAGATCTTTTGTTCATGTGGGTTGTATGTATATAGTATATTTTAAAACGTTATAAAATGTCTTCATTTTAAAAATATGCATCTTAATATAAATAACATTTTTATGAAAATTATTTATCAAAACACAAAAGGGATTTAGTGAGAAAAGTCTTAGATTTTTTGGCAAATCCCCTTTACTGTGATTTAAGGAAGACAGATGGAATCTCACTTGTCTGCTTCTACCTGCAATCTGTTGCCATATCGAACATATAGCCTCTAAAAATGCTGCTGTACATCCACGAGGAAAAAAGCAGATGATGTATTAGTATGATTATGATGAGACTTGACCTTGCAGATTCTCTGTCCTTATAAAGCAGTGATTCCCACGCCCTCACAAAAGTATCACTTTGCAAAGCTTTTCAAAATGCCTATTCCTGCCACTACCGCACGGTTCTAGCTCATTTTTTCTGGGATGATTCCCAGACCTCTACATTTTTAACCTTGAATAATTCATACTTAGGTCACTAATAGAAGGACGAGCTTTCAGGAAATCTGCACTAAGTTTTCACCCTAAGAAAATAAAACCAGCACCCTTCGTCATGGATAGTAGGAGACTCTCCACTGAAATGGGGCTTCCATAAGTATAATTGAGACAAGGCTGGGCATTTAAATGAGGAATAACAAAAGGAAAATACAGACTTGAATGCATGACCTGTTATAAGATACGTGGTCTGATGGAGGTCCATTTTAAACATGCTTCAATTTATAGCTCTCCGACTTACACACAGTAGCGGTCTGTCTCTATTAGAAAGAGAGGGAGGGCAACAGATATGTTGCAGGAAATAAATATCATTAGTAACTTTTACAGCCGTGTTAGAGCTCTCTCTAGTGAAACGAAAGTGATAGTATTCTTTAACAAATGAGGAGGTAATAAAATCAACAGACTTCTTTTTCAGGGAGAAAATAACATGATAGTATATTTCAAGAATCTATAATAAAACATTTCACATAGGTCTATCAGGAGGCATTTTATACTTTCTTTTGCATAAATTAGTCAAATATGTAATTCTTCATATATTTCAATAAAGGAACCTCTCTTGGGAAATACTTTTCTTGTACCTATAGAAAAACCTCTTTCAGTGGTTCTCCAGTTAGTAATTATTTAACAAAAAGACTCATCAGAGGTTTTCTTGTACATGAACAATATATCCCACTGAGAAGTTCCTGTAAGGAAAATCCGTCATCAGCAATAACCTCCATTTTTGTAACTGTGAAAACTTTCATTAATGTGAATAATATTCTCTAAAGTTTTCCAAAATGGGACCCATCCTATAAAGCTTTTTACTTGAAAGATTAAAATTGTAAAGTCATTAGTTAAATGTGTAGAATATTCAATATGTTGGCTTTAGAAAACAAAAACTGAATTTGACAAGGTAAGGCAAACTTGAAAATGAGCAAGCATCTTAGATGTGGAATACAATTTGTCTTAAGTTTTGCTTCAAAACTCATCAATTTCTTGAAAAATTGTTAGGGCTAATATTTCTAATTTTATAGAATCTAATTTATTGGTTGAAATACTATGCATCATTGAGTTATAAAAGTGATCTTATTTTATGTACTTCTCATTCAGAATACTCTTCATTACATGTTATCGTGTCGACAGTATAGTATGTATTCATCTAATTCAGTGCCTTAAAAATATTTTGAAAGAGGTATTTTGCTAATGGCAAAAGAATTGTTCTCTTAAGGATGAAATACTATTAAAGGATCTGTGAAATATCTTACACTTGTTTCTTATAAAACAGCATTACATTTGGATGCATTTGTCATTTTTGTTGGGCAGAGTCATTCAGTTTGAGAATCAGCAAACATTAGGTGCCTTCTGTCTGCCAGATACTTTAACCAATGTTGCTTCCATTTAAGACCCAGAAATGTTAGCAACTGTAATATGTTCAAATTGTTTTTTATTTTTATTTTTTTAACTATCCTTTATGTCCTTAGCTGACCTAGCACAGAGACTTGTTAGTGGGGTTCACTCTTTTGTTCTCTTTCTAAATACAAACCATTTAATTAAACAATGGCTCATCACACTACATCTTCAAATAGAAGTGGCTTATTCAGTAGACTAATATTTGACTCTTGTTTGTTTTAAATTTTTTTTGTGTGTGAAGATAATTCTTATTCTTGTAGAAAATTACAAAATACAACTATGCTAAGATGATCATTAAAATGCCTATTATTCCACCATTCACTGATAACATTTTGATGTAAATCCTTTCGGACATTTTTAAGTGTATCAGTCTTTAGTTCTGTTTTAATTAAAAGATGGGCATGGTTATTGTAATCCTGATTTTTTTTTCTATTGCAATTTAAAGCTATCACTTTAAGGAGAGTAGTCACTGTTTAGAACAAAACAGTTCATTACATTTCAGTACCACCACTCCCAAAATTGGAGTTGTTGGGTTTTTTTTTTTTTAATAATCTTCCTTTCAAAAACAAAATTGTGGTAGTACATACAGCAAAGTGTACATATTGGAAATGAAGTGTTTCCAAATCTACTAAAAATACATATTAAATGATGTGTTTAGATTATCCAAAGAAACTTCAGCTTGACTTGACTTTAGTTTCCAGTGAATTAAATACTTACTAATGTATTATCTCATCCTTCCACTGTTGATAGGACTGCAATCAAGGAAACAGGGCACCCATTTTGTAAATTAAGAAACTGAAGCATAGAAAATGGAACAACACACATCAGACTGGTTAGTGTCTACTTTAGGATTAAATTTAGCTGTGACCAAAAATTCAAAATAATAGTGACTTACAAAATTGTGTTTTCCTGCAAAAGTTCAGAGGGAAGCAGTTAAGGAGAAGTAGATCCACTTCAAGAAGTCATCAGACTCCTATTGCGTTAATCTGCCATTTTCGACACCATTTGACTTGAGGTCCTGAGATAGATAGCTACACTGGCTATCTCGAGGTAGCACCAGCCAACACATTTGCATTTCATCCAGTAAGAGAAGCAAGTGCGCACACACACACACACACACCCTCCCTTAAAAACAAAACCACAGCTCCCTTGGTATGTAATTCCCATACCTTCCAGGTCACTCATTTAAAGTATACAATTCATTCGTTTCTACTGTAGTCACAGGGTTGTGCAACCATTGCCATAATCCTATCTAATTTTAGAACTTTTTTTTTTAAGATTTTATTCATTTATTTATACAAGCACTGGGTACAGTCAGAAGCGCGGGAGGGTGAGAGAATTCACCAGAGCCAGCGCAGCAGGAGAGGTCTATCGCACCATGTGGGACCCTCGCTGGTGGCCGGGGTTGGAACCTGCACTGCAGAGGCTGTGGGCAGCTTCTCAGCCCAGTGCTCAACCGCTATGCCCCCAGGGGAGGTCCTAATTTTAGAACATTTTTTTCTCCTTTTAAAAGAAACCAAAAATGCCCATCAGGGGCCTCCGTGGTGGCTCAGGGGGTTAAGACACAACATTATGAAACTATCCGCAGCCACTGTAGCATAAGTTCAATGCCTGGCCAGGGAGCTGACCCACATGGCACCGCAGACCTCTCCTGCCTTCCCCGCTGCTCCCCTCAGCAGCGTATTTCAGTAGACCTGCCTGTTCTGCTCCCCACTCTCTGGTGAATCTTCTCACCGCACCTCTGGCCTGTACCTCAGTTCTTGTATGCATAAATAAGTAAATCTTTAAAAATAAATGCCCATCAGCAGTCTATTCTTCACCCTAAGTTTTGGGCAACCATGAAGATTCACCTATTCCTGGACATTTGATATAAATGGAATCATGTATTTTTTGTGACTGCTTCTTTGCACTTAGTGTAATGTTTTCATAACACACATTTCATGACTTTTTTTTTATTTATTTTTTTTTTTTTTTTTTTTTTTTTTTTTTTTTTTTTTATAGAGGCATGTTTTTATTTATTTATTTATTATATTTGTTTGTTTTGTTTATACAAGCACTGGGTACAGTCAGAAGCGCGGGAGGGTGAGAGAATTCACCAGAGCCAGAGCGGGGAGCAGAGCAGGCAGAAGGACTGAAGTACACTGCTGAGGGGAGCAGCGGGCGGCAGGAGAGGTCTGCGCACCATGTGGGATCCTCCTCCGGTGGCCGGGGAGCAGCCGGGGATCGAACCGGCGCCGCAGAGGCCGCGGGCAGCTTCGCAACCCAGCGCTCAACCGCTGCGCCACCGGGGAGGCCCATTTCATGACTTTTTGATTGTCAAATAATAATCCATTGTATGGATATACATGCCACATTTTATTTATTCATCACTTGGTAACATTTGGGTTGCCTCCATGTTTAGCTATGATAAATAATAGTACTGTAGCACACTTACTCAAATTTTTGTGTAAACATGTTTTCATTTCCCTACAGTATATACTTAGGAGTGGAATTGCTGGGTCATGTGCCAATTCCACATTTAACTTTCTGAAGATCTACCAAACATTTCCAAAGCAACCAGCACCACTTACACATCCACCAGCAGTGTATGATTTTCCACAGCATTTTTTAATGTCTACCTTTTCAGCATTGGTTAATGTCTACCCTAGTGGAGTCATGGCTGGTAGTTCTGATTTCCCTAATGACATGAACACTTTCTCATGGGCATATTGTCTGTCTACATTTGGGGAAATATATAGCCCTTTACCCATTTTTAAATTGACTTGTCTTTTTTTTAATATAACACCTTTAATTTTCAATAGTACACAAAAAAGATGAACTACTTAGGCATAAATTTAACAGAAGCATTCAAATCTTCTGCACAGAAAACTACAAAACATTGCTTAGAAAAATTGAACATTACTACATGAAGAACTACCATAGTCATGAAATAGAAGCTTCAATAGTGTTAACCTGTCCGTTTTCTCTAAGCGGATCAATAGAGTCAATGCAATTCAAATAAAAATTCTAGCAATAAAATTCAACCAACTGATTCTAAAATTAGTGTAAGAATAGAAAAATGTCCACATGGCTTCTCTTTTTATTGAGCTGTATACTTATTCCCATGGCAGGTCATTGTGACTTGCAGCTCTTGCTCCCATTCTGTAGCTTGCCTTTTCTCTGCTCGCGCGGTTTGCACGTCAGCTTTCATGTAATTTTAGTCCAAAGAACAGTTGTCTAACCCAAGATTATGAAAATTTCCTCCTGTTTTCAAAGAGCTGCATGGTTTTAGTACTTATGGTGAGGCAGGAGAGGTCTGCCGCGCCATGTGGGTAGCTCCCTGGCCGGCCGAGGCTCGAACTCGTGCTGCAGAGGCTGCAGATTGCTTCATAGTGCGGTGCTTCACCCCTTGCGCCACCAGGGAGGCCCCAGTGGGTTTTAAAGCCTATTCAGTCACAAGCTTAGTCTAAACAAGTCAGTTACATTGCTTTGATTTTTTTCTTAACCTATACCAACTTCCATCCCGAGGATGAGCGGGAAGGTTGGCGGGGCCAGCGCGGGCCAGCTCCCCGTCTGGGACCTGACCTGGAAAACGGCCGGAAAGGAACTTGCTGGCCTTTCCCGAATTTTGCCAAATAGAGACGCGGGTGCCTCCCTTTGGGACCAGCAAACCTGGCCCTCGCGGCTGCGGGCGGCGGCTCCCCTGCACCTGCCGCCCGCGCCGCGCCCCCTGCGCCCCGAGCCGCCCGCCCTCCCCGCAGCGCCCGGGGCGATAACACCCGAGCGCACCGCCGCGCTCCCAGTCGGAGCCGCTGCGCGCCATGGCGGAGTCCCCCGCAGGGGCCCGGGTGTCCCAGGAGGAGGAGGTGTCGGCGGCCCCGTCTGAAGAGCCCCCGTCGGAGCCAGACTCGGTGAGCGCAACGCGAGAGGGGAGCAGGGTCCCGGCAAGGCCGAGGGCGCTGGGCTCCTGCGTGGGGCCGGGGCAGGACCCCGGGGATCTTGGGTCGTCGGGTCGCAGCCCTCTGGCCAGCCCGGAGCGGCCCGCCAGTCCCTAGTGGGGCTGGGCAGTTCGGAGCCCCACAGAGAACAGGAGCGGGAGCGGAGCTAGACCAGTGAAGGGACGAGCAGGATGCGGGCGCTCGGGCAGCACCGGTCTCCTGGCTCCCAGTCTAGGCTCTTGGCCTCCATGCCCCAGGCCGTCCCGGCCGGCACCTGCACCCTGGGCAGGTAGAAACCGCCTCTGTGCCTGAGGAGGCTGCTTTCCTCCCTGGCCTCCAGGCAGAGGCTGGACTTCTCCACCTTCTCAAACCCTGCTGCCCAGGTGTCTGGTTCTTGGAGAGACTCCTCCCAGAGATGACCTTCCTGCAGCCAGGCTACCTAGTGAGGGTAGAGCCAGGTGGGCCCTGCAGGCAAGGGCGTCTGGAGAGCAATCAGATCTCTGAGCTGTGTATCATGCCCAAAGTAAAGTCTCTTTCCCGGTCCGCAAACAAGGCTTTCATTGTTTCTGTGGCTTCACTTCACCCCCACCTCTTGCTGGGTGTTTCCTCTCAGCACCTCAGAGCAAAGAATTGAGAACACACACACACACACCCCCCAAGGAAAGTGAAATTAAGGCGACCCTCTGTGCACTCTCACTTTGCAGGGAAATTTGAAATTTGGCCTAAGATTAATGGCAAAAGAGAACTAGCCTTGCCGATGTAGTGCCAGCATTTAATTCTCAGAACAACCCTATGAGGTGTGTTTAACACCAGGGAAGAAGCTCAGCAGCTTCCCCCGAGTCACACAGCTAGCAACGGCAGACACAGAATTTGAATCCAACTTTGTCGAACTCTATAACTTGTCTCAGTCCACTGAAGGACTTAGGAGTTAAGAAGGTAAGACTCATCCTCAAATTCCGAGATGGTGTCATAGACCCAGTTTCAGTAGGAATTTCTTTTTCTTTCTTCCAAGTGCATTCTGTGTGCTAGAAACTTGCTGGGCATATTTAGGGGGGAAACAAATCCCACCATGAAGAGGGGGTTAAGAGTTGGATTCTCTATGTCAAAGTTTTCTAGAAGTTGAAATTATATTCATACAAATGCCAGAAGAGGAAACCACATCCTGCCATGTGGTTTTCTTCTGTGGGTAGGAAGAGTGTGCAATGGATGTGATAAACCCTTATCTGGGAAGACCATCCCTTCAAAAAGCCCATTCGGGATGTCCCGCAAGATACCAAAATGGGTGAAGCCATCCCCTCTCCCCTGCCTCTCCCAACCCCAAGTGACAGATGAAAAAAGAAAGATTCCCAGTCCGTTTAGAAGATATCCCACTTTACACTGTGTCTTCATGGCCTTGAAGCCTCCACAGACAAATGAACACCTTCTATATGCCGCACATGGCCCGAGGGCCTGGGGACACAACAGTGAATTAAACTTCTAGTTGATGCTTGCAGAGCACTTCATTCTAGTGGGGAGAGGCAGAAACGAAATGAGAATGTATTGGTACAATTAAGAGAGATTTGGATGGTCAGGGAAGACCTTTCTGAGGAGATAGCCTTTAGCTTTAGACCCAAATGGCATGGGGTCAGCTCTGCAAGGAGGTGGAGGAAGAGTTTCAGACAAGATCAGGAAATACAAAGGCCCCGAGGCAGCAACTGACAGGGTGGTTTTGGGAAGTGCTCTCCAGAGTGAGGCCGGCAGGGAGTGCTGCTGATGGGGGGGGGGGGGACAGGGGGTCGTTCAAATAGGCTCTGTGATAAGGACTCAGTTCATTCACCCTGATGATGTGGTGTTGGAGGATTCTGAGCAAAAGGAAGACATGACCTGATTGATGTTATGAAGATCGCTTTGCTGCTGGGTGGAAAGTGGATACTAGGGAATGAACAAATGCAGGGAAGCCACTCAGGGGGCTCTCACTGAGATTAGGCAGGGGAAATGCAAAAGAGAAACCAAGGATTCAAGGAAGACTCATAGGTTCATAGTCTGAACTGCTGAGTGGCCGTTGAGACCTCTTAAAGCAGTGGGCTCCATAGGGGTAACGCAAGGATGGGAATCAGGAGCAGCGTTCTGGTCATGCTAAGCTGCGATGTCTCTTAGGCAATCCCATGGAGCAATGAGTAGACCTTCGTATATTCCAATCTAGAGGTCACTGGATAGCTTAGGGCTTACACACACACACACACACACACACACACACACATTTGGGGTCATGGACATTATTCATTTTGATAGTGGATTGTTAGTCTTTTCAGGAAAAAAAGAAACAATGTGATTATAGTGTTCGCTGATTTCTGTGTTTTTATACTCACCATAGCTGATTTTGGCTGCTAGTTGTTCACAACAGGCATACAAAAGTCCTGAACAAATATTTTGCCATCAGCTCCCCAAGGCACTGCTTCATTTGCTCATCAAAGCAACCCTATGAAGTTGAGGAATATTCCATTTGACAGATGAGTCTTAGAGAGTCAGAGTAATTTATTCACTGACACGCAGGGAGTTGGTGGGTAGGAAAGGCTCAAACCCAGGTCTCCTGGCCCCCAGTTCACTTGCTGACTTAGGATATTAAAACAGACCAGCAGGAAGTTCTGAGGGGAAAATATAAGGAAGACCTTCCCCCCCTGGAAATGTTTAGCCGTGAGGTTTAGGAGGCTTTGGCCTCTTTTTCACTTCCCTTTAGGATGATTTGGGGCAGATTAGGACCCAGAGGTTGCTGTAAAAATTCTCAAGACAGGAACCTTGGGACACTTATGGAAGCCAAAGGGCGGGGGTTTGGGGAGCTGTGGTGTGACTGTGGAGGTGGAGACTTAGTTCCCGTGTTGCCCCCAGGACAGCAGAACTGATCGCCTCTCGTTTTGTACGAAGGTGTGCTATGGCTTTGGCGGGGTCCCCAACCAGGTGGCCTCCAGCGCCACCTCCTTTTACCTGCAGCTCTTTCTGCTAGATGTGGCACAGGTGAGTGTGGGCAATAGCCCAGGGTCCGCTCTCCCCCTCTCCCCTGGGATCTGCCCTCCCACCCTCACTGTCCTCGGCAGATAACATGTCTGACCCAAGTCTGACAAAAGAGAAATGCTGCTGAAGGCAGCCAGCTCAAGAATGTGCACTGCAGGCTATTTGTGGGGGGAAGTAGGACCGTCCAGCGGTATAGAAACAGGCAATGAGCTGTGCAGAACGGACTCCTATTCAAAAGGATGAGTAAGATATTTCCATGACATACTGGCTAGTAAGAAAAGTCAGCTTTACAGAAGAGTATAAAAATGATCCCATTTTAAGGGCCTCCCTGGTGGCGCAGCGGTTGAGCGCTGGGTTGTGAAGCTGCCCGCAGCCTTTGCAGCGCCGGTTCCATCCCCGGCTGCTCCCCTGCCACCGGAGGAGGGTCCCACATGGCGCGCAGACCTCTCCTGCCGCCCGCTGCTCCCCTCAGCAGTGTACTTCGGTCCTTCTGCCTGTTCTTCTCCCCGCTCTGGCTCTGGTGAATTCTCTCACCCTCCCGCGCTTCTGACTGTGCCCAGTGCTTGTATAAATAAATAAATAAATAAATAAATAAATATTGAAAGAAAAAAGGAAAAAAAAAAAAAGAAAAGCCAACTATTAAAAAAAAAAAAACACCCCATTTTAGCAAAACAAAATATGCCTCCTGTATGTATGTGGCTGGGTCTAGGTAGCCGTGTGTGCACCCGATTAAATTATGAGCAGGGAGAAATCTACACACCAGGAGGATTCACACCAGGCTTCACGTCGGCTATGGAAGGGAGTGGTAGAGAATAGAAGGTGAGCAAAAGGGAAAGCTTTAATAAGAAGCCCATAGTTTTTAGCTGACCTGATATCTCACTTCTGTGTAATTACGAACTACAAATGCACGAAAGGATGCTCCTCAGAATGGCCCTCACGGATATCTTAGCATGGTGCGATTTCCGCTGGCCTTGGCTCCGTGTTCCTCTGTACGGTTTGAATGTTTTTATCATGACTGTATCATTTCTGTAGTCAGAAAAATCAATAAAACATTTCCATTGTGAAACAAAATGTCTACCTCTGACTCGGCCTACGTGCCCCCTTCTCGCACTGGGCCCGCTCGGGTGAGGGTCCCTCAGGCCTTGTCCCGGAGTGCCCGGCTGAGCAGCGACAACAGTGAGCAGAGGTCCGGTCAGCTCCCTCTCCCTGCCCTTGCTCCGTGAAGGCAGATGTGCCCTGAGACCCTTCTGGATTCGTGGGGGCAGGAGGAGGGCGACTCTGGCCCCAGTCAGGTCTCTGGAGCTTCCTCCCGGGGAGGTGGAGACCCTGAAGGCCTCCCTAACTCTGCCAGGCTCTGGCTGTCTCCCCGCTGCCCCTTTCAGATCCCTGCGGCCCAGGTGTCACTCGTTCTGTTTGGAGGGAAGGTGTCTGGGGCGGCTGCCGACCCCGTGGCTGGGTTCTTCATCAACAGAAGCAGGAGAACAGGGTCTGGACGACTCATGCCCTGGTGAGCACCCCACATGCTTGCACTGGTCTGAGGCCACAACCCTGCTTCTTAGCGGGAAACCCTGTGAGATCACAGGAGGACAGGACCGGACAGTAGGTGACGGGACGACTGGCTCAGTGTGGGTCACGCAGGAGTTCAGAGACTTTCTCGGGACTCGCCCTCACAGGCGCCCGGGGCTAGACAGAGACTTCAAGATGCCCAGGTCTGGCCCAGGGCTCCAAGAGTGGCGGGGGTGGGCCGGAACCCTGGCGAGAGCTCACAGAGGAGGACCTGAGTGCCCCGGCCCCGGCCCTGGCAATGAATGGTCCCCACTCCCACCCGTGTCCCATGAGCCATTTCTGTCTCCCTGGTTCCTTGCCTGAGTCTCAGCCCAGGGCTTCCCCGTGGGGGAGGACATGCCCCGAGGGGATGCTCCAGACTTGCCCTTTGCTCCCCCTGTCCTGGAGCCTGGGCTGGAGGGAGTCCGCCTCGGCTGTGCTTCGCAGGGTGCTGGGCTGCACACCCTTCATTGCCGTGGCCTACTTCTTCCTGTGGTTCCTGCCCCCCTTCACCAGCCTGAGAGGCTTCTGGTACATGACCTTCTACTGCCTGTTCCAGGGCCTGGCCACGGTAAGCAGGTGGTCCCTCTGCAAGCCGGACTCTGTGTGCGTCCGCCCTGAAGCGTGTGTGCGTGGTAGATGGGTGCCCTGCAGGGACTGACTTGTGCACCTGCTCACCAGTGTCCGGAATCTACCAGTGGCTCCTGTCCAGGCTCAAGGGGCCATGGCAGGACTGGGAATAGGCCTAAGTGGTGGTGGGCATGGGTTGCAGAAGTTGGGGTGCCCAGAAAGACTGTTTGGGGGGAAGCGGCCATCTGAGCTCTGCGGGGGCCCCCCAGTTCTTCCAGGTGCCCTACACGGCGCTCACCATGCTCCTGACCTCCAACCCGAGGGAGCGGGACTCACTCACCGCCTACCGTGAGTGTGGGAGCCAGTGGGAAGGCGGGTCCGGCTCGAGCTGAGCCCCCGGGTCACCGCGTGTCTGTCCCAGGGATGACCATGGAGATGGCCGGCACGCTGCTGGGCGCTGCAGTCCACGGGCTCATCGTCAAGGGCGCCCACGAGCCACACTGGTGCGATGATGAGGCGCCCCGGGGGCCGGTCTCCGTGTCCCCCAACGCGGTGAGTGCCTGCGGCCAGGCCACCTGCCCCCCTCTCCTCTGCTGCCGCTTCTCCCCGTGGGGCTCTTCGTGGTCATCATCGCTTGCGGCTCAGCCCTGCCCACCTACCGCACCCCCATTCCTTCCCCACCACCCTCGGGGAGCTGAGGCCCAGGCTGCTCCTGAGAAGCCTGCTTTTCCTCCCAGTCTGCCTTGAAACGCAGAATAAAAAGAGAGAAGGGCAGGGGCAGGACCAGAGATGGGACATGGGGGCGGGGGGGGAGAGGGCAGCGGAGGAATGAGGTCCTTGCAGAGGACCCCAGCACGGACCCCAACATGCAGTGCCAGTGCCAGCCGACAGGAAAATCCCAGGGCAGCACCCCAGTAACTCCCCTCCGCAATCCTGAGACAGGCCTCTGTCCCAGCCATCTAGTTCCTCTTCTATTTCCTTCTCTTGTTTTCTTTTTTAATCCATAACTTTCTCTTTTTTTAAAGATTTATTTTATTTATTTATGCATACAAGAGCTGGGGTGCAGGCCAGAGATGGGGGTGGGGCGTGAGAGGATTCACCAGAGATGGAGTGGAGAGAACAGGCAGACTGACTGAATACACTGCTGAGGGGAGCAGCGGGCGAGGCAGGAGAGGTCTGCTGCACCTTGTGGGTAGCTCCCTGGATCCCAATTAACCCGTGCTGCAGTGGCTGCAGATCGCTTCATAGTGCTGAAACTTAACCCCTTGCACCACCAGGGAGACCCTCCTTCTTTTGTTTTCTAAAGCAAGTAACTCACTATCTCAGGAACCCTAGGACTCCTTTACCCCACCCCCATCCTGGCAACCTCCATTATTCCAATCTGTTGCTGGTTTTCATTTGTTTGTTTTGTTTTTACATAACACTGGTTTACAGCATTGTACCTGAGTTAGAAGTGTAGAATCACACCCCTGTAGAGGATGTCACCCCACCACACCCACTACCAAGGCAGCGACCTCTGTTGTGGCCCCTCCCAGCTTGGCTCTCCCCGCCCCTCCCCATGGCCTCAGTCCCCCAGACTCCTGGAGTTTGCTGTTGGTTTGGGTTTGTCTGACCCTTTGATGTGTCTTTCTGTATTCCACATTTAACTGACAGCGCCCGATACTGGTCTTCCTCCCGACTTATTCTGCTCAGCACATCCCCTCCAGTTCCATCCTTGCTGTGAAAATGGCAGGGATCCACCTTGTGGTTGTCGCTGAGTCGTATCCCCGCGCGTGCCCCGCACCTTCCCGTGCACTGGGCCCCTGACTCGTTCTCGGTATTTGTCTGGGCCTTGGAGCATCCCGCGGGCTGTCACCGGCAGGCCCTGGGTCTGTCCTCCTCCCACACTCCAGCCCCGTATGATGGAGGCTCGGGGGTCACGTATCCAGCACGTAACCTGAGTCCAGCACGCAGAAGTCAGCAGATTTAATGTTTGTTTAAAATAAATGAGTGAGTGAACAATCCTTGGTTTGGGGGTCGCTCTAACCCCCCTATCGCCCCGAAGGCACTCTTACCCTGTCCCGGGGACCACCCCCACCCCACTTCTGTCCTGTCCCACAGACTCATCTCTACTGCATTGCAGCCGCTGTGGTGGCTGCGACTTACCCCGTGTGCAGTAGTTTGCTCTTCCTGGGGGTGAAGGAGCAACCAGGTATGGGGGTACAGGGAGAGTGTGGAAAGCAGAAGCTGGGGGCAGGGTTCCTCTGCGTGGGTTTTGGTTTTGAACTCTGTCAAGCCAAGGGGTCACCTTCCTGTGTTGCAGACCCTTCTGCAACACACTTAGGCCAGGGCCTGAGCTTCCTGGCTGGACTGCGCCTCACTGTCCAGTACCTGCCCTACTTGAAGCTGGTGGTCTCCTTCTTGTTCATCACGGCGGCCGTCCAGGTACCTCTGGCGGGGCTGACCCCCACAGGCTTGGCTCTTGCCACATGAACCCTGCGTGGGCTCAGTCTCAGCTCCACGGCCCTCCGGTGAGCTTGAGTTTTAATAGGGTAAAGCCAGTGCCCGGCGCCTGACCCACACTGGCTGGTGCTTTGCGGAGAGAAACTGATTCTGAGCCTGTGGGTCTGGGGAGGGTCAGGCCCAGTCCCCGGAAGCTGATGGTGCCCAGGTGGTCAAGTCCCCCCAGTGCACAAGGGAGGGTGGACTAGTGTTTACGCTCACGGCAGGTTAGCATCCTCCCGGGGGGAGGGACTGCACGATGACGGCAGCAACCAGACTGAGGTCCCAAAGGGTAGGCCCGACTTGAGACCCAGGCCTCGCCCTTGAGGTGCTGCCCTTCCCGGTACACACCCACTTCTTGTCTGCCTCCTCAGGTGGAGCAGAGCTACCTCGTCCTGTTCTGTACACACGCCTCCCAGCTACATGACCATGTCCAGAGTCTGGTGCTAACCATCCTGGTGAGGGGCTCGGGTAACTGTGACACTGTGACACGGTCACTGTGGAGTCTGCACTGGGGTCATCTGTGATCGGTATTCTGGGGGTTAATGTTCTAGACCCTGCCCTGGTCTTATTCCCAGCATTCCCCAGAGGGTGGCGTTGGGACCAGGGCCTTAAAGGTGATAACCACTGGCTCTAACCTGGCCAGGGCAAGCGAAGACTAGGTCGGGTGTGTCCTCCCCACCCCCGCCCCCCAAAAAAGCCAGGGCTTTGAGAACCTGGGGAAGGCGCTGGCAGCACGTCCAGGCTGTGGTCATTCTGCCTGCTCACAGGTCTCGGCTATGCTGAGCACCCCAGTATGGGAGTGGGTGCTACATCGATTTGGGAAGAGGATGTCGGCCTTGGGGATCTGTGTGAGTAAGGAAGGACGCAAGGCCTGGGGAGGCTGCGGGGGAGGCTTCGGGGCAAAGGGGGGTGACCTGGGAGCTGGGACCTCCTCGGGGTCCAGAGCAACAGTTCTGAATTTGCTCGTGTCTTCGGTGCCTAGCGCAGAACCAGGCCCCAGGAGTGGAGGTGACAGGAGGTTGGGAGGCCCACCTGCGGCATGGGATGGGAGTTTAGCAAAGACCAGAGAGCAAGTGAGGAACGAGCAGGTGGGGCGCAGGTGGAGGGATCAGCCAGTGTGTCTGTCTCCCCAGGCCATGGTGCCTTTTGCAATCCTGTTGGCGACGATGCCCACTGCGCCTGTGGCCTATGTCGTGGCCTTTGTATCTGGCCTGAGCATTGCTGTGTCCTTGCTGCTACCCTGGTAGGCTGGGGGCGGGCACGGGGTGGGGGAAACTCACAAATGCCCTCCTTCACGTCACTGTTGTCCGAGGCCCCTGCTCAGCTGCGCGGGGGTGGGGCTCCCCCTCTGGGCAGAGAGAGAGGCCTCCAGCTCTCTCCCCAAAACCCTAAGAGAGCACCAGCCGGCCAGAATAAGGCACACGTGGCGCCTGGCTCTCTGTGCATCCAGAGGGACCCAGGGGTGAATCCAACTTGGTCCCTGTTCCCCTGGGAGCTCCCAGGCTGGAGCCTGTCAAGGGGAGAAAAAGGATGACTCTGCAGCCCCCACCCCTAGGTCCATGCTTCCAGACGTGGTGAACGACTACCAGCTGCAGCACGAGCACGGGCCAGGCCTGGAGACCATCTTCTACTCATCCTACGTTTTCGTCACCAAGCTTTCAGGCGCATGCGCCCTGGGCATCTCCACTCTCAGTCTGGAGTGAGTCCCAGAGTTGGGGTGTACCAGAGGCCAGGGAAAGTAGCAGGGTAGGAAGAAAGGCCAGAGTGCCCCACCTAACCAGCCAGGAGCCACCCATGAGCCTATTCTTTTGGGAAATGGGGGAGCCACCTACCCCAGGTTTCTGTGCAGTCTTCCATGGGGGCCCCTCTGAAGCCCCAGCTCCCACATGCTCAGCTTTCTCTGAACTCTACCCTGGCCAGCCCGTTGCCTCAGAGCCCTCTTCCACCGTAGTAGGTTGATCAGGCCAGGAAATGTACCCGAGTTTCAGGCGAGTGTGGCACATCTGGGACCTCCCCTCCACCCCCCAGAAAGCCAGTTTCAGTGGGATCTGAGCCGGGTGCTGCTCGTGGCGGTGTTTTTCCAGGTTTGCAGGGTATAAGGCAGGAGCCTGCAAGCAGACAGAGCAAGTGGTGGTGACCCTCAAGATCCTCATCGGGGCTGTGCCCACCTGCATGATCCTGGCTGGTCTGTGGATCCTCCTGGCACCCCCACACCAAAGAGGCCAAGCCAGCACACCGCACCAGCTGCGCTTTCAGAGGTGGGCACCCTGCACACACTGGCACATGCAGCAGGCTGCTGACTCCCAGGGGGCACAGATGCACCACGAGGGCCGGACTCCCCAGTCCCCAGAGTCTTCTCTCACCTTCCCTCCTGCTCCTGGGTGTTCTTCCACTACTCTGTCGCCCTGCCCAGTCTCCTTCCTTTGATTATCTGTGGGAGGTGCCCTCCTTGATACCTGCCATTAGCTCTCCATGGCCCTGTAGCCCCTCACGTACCTCTTGTGGCTGGTGACTCCTAAAGATGTCCCCACTCCCACCATGCTCCCCAGCTTCCTTCCAGCTTCACCCCACGTCTGACTCTCATCTGGCCATCTCCACCTAGTGTCTCACGAGCATGGTCAGCCTCGGTGAGCCCCAAATTGGACTCTTCTCTCATCAGCTCCTCCTCTTGTGCTCCCATCTCAGTGTATAGCACCCCTCATCCAGCGCAGGAAGCAACTTCCACTCGTCCCCCTCACCCCAGGCTGCAAGCACAGGCTGCCCCCTGACCCCAGCATCTCTCTGACCTTGTCCTTGAGGGCGCGGCCGTTTGTTCATTTGGTGTCCTGAGAGCCCAGCATAGGGCTGGAGGCCAAGCAGGTGCAGCGGATTCAACACATCTGGCCCTGCAGATTTTCAGGAGCGTGTGTCCATGCTTTGCAGCAAATATGAGCAGAGCCCATATGAGGCTCACTGCTGGGAGGATGGCCTCAGACTCCAGCCCAGCGACCAGGGCCACACATTGCATGGGGAATGCACATGACAGTGCAGGGTGTGATGGGTCTTGGAGAAGCAGGTGGATGCTCTACCCAGGGATGGTAGAGGGAGGAGTTGCAAGAGAGACAAGAACAGTCTCTGACACCTCCACAGGGGTAGGTGGCCCCCCTAGATACCCCACACCACCCTCACCTTTGGCTTGTCTTCCTATAGGAGCTCGAGCTACAGCCTCAACTGAAGGTGGAGGCAGCTGTGAGCCGGAACAGGAGTCAGCGTCTGCTGGGCCCGAATCTCCCTTTCCTCTTGGCCTCTTAGCATTCCTACTTCACCATTTGCACGCACGTGACCCAGCTTCTCTCTGGGAGATGGAGTCTTCAGAGACGACTCCTGAGCAACTGCCTGACACATGCCTGCCTATTGACAACAGGCCTTCTCAGACAGGCCTGGTCTCCTGACTGCTCAGCTCCAGGCCACCTTTGCCTCAGAAAGCACCCCACTAGTAGCAGTTCCAGGAGAAAGTGAGCCCCCACCAAGCCTGGCCTACAGTCTCCCAGTGGGAGAACCTGGCCCGACCACCTGCTGTCCTATCTGACAGGACAGACACTCTTGTTCCGTCTGCTGCTGCAGTGGACACCTGAGAGACAGGTGAACAGACCACGTGAATACAGAGTGGAGCTGGTGGACATGTGAGGATGACTAGGACAGGCAGACAGATGTCATGAGGCCAAGAGACCCCAGAGAGAGAGGATGGCGCAGCAGGGGGATGAGAAGACTAAGCAGGGCATGAGAGGCATTTGTTAAGCTTGTCCCTTTGTTCAGATAAGTGGGTGACGCTCCATTTCCAGAAGTTGACACAGATTGATATTAAACCACCAAAAGTCGATAATTTTTATGAACAAACGTTATTTTTGTGGAAATGTTTCTAAAGTTTTATAAAATCCCAGGAACCACAGTTTTGTAGAGGCTTCATCTTTGGGAAGATTCACTGCAGCTTATTTTTACAAAATCATATTAAAGGGTTGTTTTTTTTTAAGATTTATTTATTTATGCATACAAGAACTGGGGTATATGTCAGAGGTGCAGGGGTGAGAGGATTCACCAGAGATAAGAGTGGGGAGCAGAACAGGCAGACTGACTGAAATACACTGCTGAGGGGAGCAGTGGGTGAGACAGGAGAGGTCTGCTGTGCCATGTGGGTAGCCCTAGCCGGAGATCGAACTCGTGCTGTAGTGGATGCCGATAGCGTCATAGTTCTATGCTTAACCCCTTGCACCACCAGGGAGGCCCAAAAGAGTTTATTTACTACTAATAAAATGTGACTGTGGACAGCCCCCCCCCCACACACACACAGAATGGGAAAGTGTCAGATGTCACTGGACCTGGTTATAGTCCTCAGGCAAATATGCCAGGTCTGGCCTCAGACCAGAGATGCCAGGTGGGAGGTGGGTTTTCTTTTCTTGAGTCTACAGTAGCCCAGGGCAGCAGGCTATGGCTTCTTATATGGGTTGGGGCCTGGGAGGAGTTGAGGATCCTGTGAGGAGGAGGATGCCCCTGAAAAGTCACCTGCAGACGCCTGGACACCTACGGTGAGAGGTAACTGCAAGGCAGACATGGCCACATATTTCTCCTCAGCACCCCAGCTCTGTCCCCTCCATGAGGTCAGTTCTCCTGACCCTCTTCCACCTCCTCTCGAGACTTTGGCTGCCTCGTAGGTGCCAGACTCACACCTATGTCTGCAAGAGCTCATGTTCACACTCAGACAGGATGTGCTCCTCAGAGCTTAAGATAAACACTGCAGCGTGAGGAGGAGCTTGACCTCAGAGTGAGGGCAGGCTGGTCTGTTCTGACTCTGGCCTTTGACACTGACATGAGCATCTAAGCCTTGAGGTCACAGGGGGCACCAGAGATAGAGCTGGGCTCAGCTTCTCTTCACAGCCTGTTTGATTCAGGAAGGGGCCAGCAAGAAGCTCTGGCTCCCACCTTTGTGCCTGGGCATGGACATGTGCGTGCACACACACAGAACAGTGTCTTAACAGTGGGGTATCACTGGCTGTGTGGTACCAACTTGGTAAGACAGATGCAAAGTCAATTTCTACCCTGCTACCATGTTATGTATGCTATGCTTTGGAAACCTGGGCAAGGCAGGCAGAGTCAGAATCTCGCGCCAAATGTTACCGGTTTGTTTCCAGGACTTCAGCCTCAAGGAGTGGCGCAAGGAGCCACCTCTAGGAATCAGGGACTAGATGTGAGAATGGAGACCATCACGGGCTAACAGGAGGTACTAACTCCCTTTTTTCCTCAAGGCAGCCGTTTGAAGCAGGTACTTATATTCAGATGAGGAAACAGGCTTAGATTAAGCATCTTGCCTGAGGTGAGTTGATGGTGCAAATGATCTTGAGCCCAAATCTGCCTGACTCAAACCTGTAGAGCTAGCCAGTGCTCAAGGCATTTGTTGGGGGTTTCTAGTCTCTGGACTTGAGTATCACTGGGATGTTTCCTCCTCTGGAACCAAATGCCAGCATCCCTGCCTCTGACTTATGCTCAATCCCACTGTAATTCCCATCATTTCTACTCACTAGTCTTCAGTTCACACTTGCCCACTGGGTCTCCCCACATCTCCACATCCCTATTTCAGAGAACTCTCTCTTTGCCACCAAGGCCAATGTGTGGCTAAGAGCAGGCATTTCCCCTCACCCTTTCTGTCTCTACGACCTTGTCCATCTCCACTTAAATCCAGATCATACCATTCACTTGCTCAGGACCCTCCTGATCCACCTTGCATCCCATCCACATAGTCCCTATGAAGGCCTTAAGGCCGCACAAGGTCAGGCAGCTCAAATGCCGCTTCCTCAGTTAGGCCTTTCTGGCTCCCCTGCTAACCCACAGGCCCAGCACCTCCATGTACAAGTATGTGTCAATGGTTTGTTTATTGCTTGACAACTCATGAAAATGTACACCTCACAAAGACAGGGACCTTACTGCTGCATCCCCAATGTCTAGAAGAAAATATTTAATATGAAAAAGTGCTTAATGAACAAGAGAATGTTCATATTGGCCTCATCCTAACACAGCCTTCCTTACTTCCCTAAGCTTTTTCCTCTCAAAAAATTCTGCCTTACCATCCTCCCCATCCATTACCACCACAGCATTTTCCTTTAGTCCTCACCGGCCATTCCCTCCTTAACCCATTAAACCTGGGCTCTGCCCCCCACTAAGGAGCCAGCACAGCCTGGCGGGATGATCCAGCACTGGAGAGAGAGGTAGGAGTCGGTATGTTGCTTCCATCTTTTACATGTGTGACTGGTGAATTTACTCAACAAATCTGAGCCTCCGTTTCTTTTTTGACCAAATACATACACTATTACTTGCATCTCAGAATGGCTATGAAGGCTAAGTAAGACAACAACTGATTAAGATGCTGCAGAAGAAAACACTCAGGGACCAACAGTCATTAATGCTGACACTATTTTTCAGAACTTTATTCCCCCTTGGCCTGATACCACATTCTTGGTTTTTCTCCAACTCTGACCATTCATTCATTTGCTGTCTTTTCCTTTGCTGCTGTTTCTTATGTTCCATAGTAGTCTGAGCTTCCAGGGTCATGTGATCGCATTATCCCCACCTACCCATAAACTGCTACAGTCTCTCTAACTCTGAACTCTGCTGAACTTCAGCTTCCCAGCTCCAGCTGGGCACTGAGTGTTCTTCAGGCAACCACAACATCACCTGTCCAAAGCAGGGCTCATCACCTTCTCCCCACACTTCTTCTGCCTCCTTCATTTTCAGTAAATTACAGCAGCATCTGTCTAATCACCAAAATCAACTTGGTATCCTCTCAGATTCCTTTCTCCCCCATTCACCCCGCCATCCCTCTACCAGAGTATGGACAAAGCAACAGAACAAAAGAATTGCAGTCTGTGGGTTATTATCAAATGGTGGAAGTTATTTGAAATGGGACAGGAAATGTAATACCAGCTCTGTATGGGTGTGCTCATACAGTGAGCTGCGGGAGCTGCTTACTGAGAGTTTGAGCTGTACATGTGTGTGTCTGTGTCCTTTTCTGGGACTCAGTTTAGCTGGGGATAGTTAACTGTGTTTTGACTAGTGTCTCTTAAGGACAAAACTGGTGCATAAGCAATAGGAAATTCATGTTATGCTCTAACTGTTCCCTAATATAGCAACTATATTGGAACAAATATGTTTTCAAAACAAGCATTAAAATAGAACTAAGTATATGTGTGTGGGCATAAATATATAGAAACCCTACATGATTCCAAACTCATTAAAGGGATGAAATAAATATTTATAAATATTTCCAAACAAAATATAAGCAAACTAAGTGGCAACGTCTAAAAACATACATTATGAACATATTTGGTTTGTTCCAAGAACACAGAATCTAACATTAGAAAAACCTATCAAATAAAACTTACCACATTAACAGATTAAAGGAGGAAAAAATTATCCCGAAAGAATTTAGTAAAAATCCCCATAAATGCTGACCCACATGGCGCAGCAGAACTCTCCTGTCTCACCCGCTTCTCCCCTCAGCAGTGTATTTCAGTCAGTTGCCTGTTCTGCTCCCCACTCTGTTTCTGGTGAATCCTCTCACCCTCTCTGGCCTATACCCCAGTTTTTGTATGTATAATAAATAAATCTTTAAAAAAATTAAAGTTGTTCAGAAAAACATATCTTAAAGAGAAGTCACAACCGAATAAAGATACCAGCATAGCATAACATTTAGAACATGTGAAGAATCCCTACGAATCAACAAGAAAAAGACAACCCAAGAGAAATTTGGGCAAAAAATTTGATTGGCTAATAAATACATGAAAGGTGTGTGGTCTTTGGTGGTACGGAAGTGAAAATTAGGATCACAGTGATACCATTTAAAACTACTAGAATGTCATAAATTAAGAAGCTTTGAACATGACTAGTAAGGGCTCTGGTACACTGCTGCTCAGTGAAGGCTGATATAACAATACTGAAAAATAATTTGAACTCATACATACCCTGTGATCCAGCAATTTCAGGCAAAAGACCCTAGAGATACCTTCAAACACCTATATCAGGAAACATTTAGTAGCATATTCTGAATGACACAGTTTATAACTGCAAAAATAAAAACCAGGAAACATTCCAAATGTGCATGATAGAAAAATGAATAAATTGTGGTAACTCTGGAACAGTGAAAGTAATAGAATACATACATAATAAGAACAAATCTTAGAAAGAATGTGAATGAAGAGAAGCATGTCCCACAAAACTATATATACAATACCATTTATATAAAGTTCAAAATAGGCCAAAGAGTTTAGGCCAAAGAGTTACAGTGGCTATTGTGGAACTTTTTTAAAAAGAAAGAAGATATGATAATTACAACAATCAAGAGTTAGTTATCTCTGGGATGGAGAGAGAAGGATCAAGGAGGAGCACAGAAGGAGCTAGAAAGGTTCCTGGTGATGTCCTAATGGTAGGGGGTTCAGCTTATTATTAAGCCATTCTGTATTTTATATCAACTGCAAGTATCAAATAATAGCCACACAAAATTTAATAAATTTGGGTACAAATTGGGATGTATAAATAATGTCTTTCCAAATGCGAAATATTCTCAGTATGTTAAGCACTGAAGAACTTAACTTTCTTCCTGTCTCAAAAGTCAGCAAATACTGGATTACCTTCTATTGTTCCAATCATTATAATACCGCCAAAGGTCAAGGAAAAATCTTTTGAGAGATGTCATGGAATCAGATTTGTTGTAGAAAAAGAAATAATTTGTAGTCTAGACTGTCCACCAGAAGTGAAATATGAACCCAAATATATACACACACAATCAAGAACATTTCTCTATACCAGCAATAATCAGCCACAACCATTAGTGATTTTATTGAAGATACATTCACAGAATTTTTTGATCAGTGAAATGTGATTATAACATCTATCTTGGGGCACCTCACTGATCTCACTTCAGAATCCGCCTAACCCCCTCTTTGGGCTTCACAACAGTGTACTTTCATCCCTCCTGATACTTCCTTTGCAAATTGAGCCAGGCCTCACTGTCCTCAGCCGCCTCCATCAGGCAACTGAGTACAGACAAGTGGCCTCCACTTCCATTATCCTGGCAGCTGTCTAATGCATCTGAACCACAAATGGGCCCTCCCTCCTTCTCTATCCCAGCTCCATCTTCATAAACTGAAGACAGGAGTCCCCAAGGCATACAATGTTTCTTTCTAGATCATTTTAAAGGAGTGGGGGGAAAGGGGGAAGGAGATACATATGTGCTAATGGAGCTTGGAAGACTGAAACAATTTCTCTGCAGATGTGCTCTGACTAGCCACACACTGATCAATTTTGTTATGCTGAAGTAACTGAAATTAATGGTCCTATTTGAAGGCCGTGGAAGTGATGTGTCTATCTGAAGCTGGAAGAAAAGTTTTTTTCCAACATGCTAAGCTGGTACTTTAACCCATAATTATAATAAATTGGCACTTTTTAGAGCTACTTTAGAGTCACTGAAATTTCCAACTTTCTGAAGAACTTTTTCTCACAAACTCTAGGCTGGTCTCTAAAAGTTAAATAGTGGACAAAGAGAAATATCAAAATGTAAGTGAAAATTGAGGGGAATTGATTACTGGGAGAAAAATAGGAAAATTTTGGAAAACTTTTTTTTAAAAAGGCTTATCAGCGAGAAATCACAAGTGGTAGCAGCTCAAATGCAGGCCTTGGGCCTCACCTGTGCACAGCTTTGTACTTCTAACAGCACTTGCTGAAAACAATGGATCTAGTCTCCAGGAGTCTATAAACACTTGAAATTTGCTCAGGGCCAGTCTTCAGGAGTATTAGATCTATGTAAATCACAATTTTCGAAGGAAGCAAGAGGGTTAGGTTTAAATCCTGGGAGATCCAGCCAACACTAGAAATACTTCCTGTTCTAAGTCAGCCCTGGGGGCATAAGGTGATCTGATCATTGTCTTCCTTCCAGCTTTGCTGATTCCTACTGGTTTGGGGTAAAAAGGATATGCTGAGGCACAGCTTCTCTAACATTTCTTACCCTCATCTTTAGCCAAGAAAAAGATCTATGACAATGTTAGGTACCTTTTAAGTGCTTCTACGACAGCGTTAACACAGTTTTGGGCAAGGGACAGAAAACCTCAGAGAAACAATAAAACACAATCCATATGGCACCATAATATTGTTTTGTTCTGGGAATTCTGCCCTTAGACAAAACTGCAGTCATAAATACATAAGCAGCCACTTTCTGAGCCATCTCATAAAGACTGAGCTCAGCCACAGAGCAGTCAGCCTCGGCTGGGGAAGCAGGAGAGCAGCAGGCATGCCAACTACGGCAAGTGCTTCACTGCTGTGAAGTGCAAATCCCAGCTGGGGAGAGTCCACAGTGGAAAACAGATCGTGTCTGTAATGGTCTCAGCTGAAAAACAACGCAGCACATACTCCGCAAACAATATCCAGCCACACTGCCTAAATGGTTAGCACAGTCATCCAAACCTTGGGAATTAAGGTTTCTAAAAACTTCAAGAGAAGGACTGGGAGCTCTGAAAACACTGGATCTAGAGGCTGCCATCTCTTATGATTATTTCCTCTGTGGTTGTGAAAGTTACCGGGATAAAGCCTTCACTATCAGCAGAGAGAAGAATCCAGTGGGAGTCTGCAAAGTAAAATAAACAGAGGCAACTTAGAAAGAAAACTTCTTTCTACAAAGGAAACTTGACAAGATGTTTCTAGGGGAAGAAAAGAGGTAGAAGAGAATACTGAATCTAAGCATCACAAGTTTACAGAGAATGGGAAGATGGAAGTACTGAGCCAGGTTATATGGCAGGAAAGGGACGCTAACAACTTACTCACAGTTAAGGGACATACATTTTCACCCAGGCTAAGCATTTATCACTCAGAACTACGCTTTGTGTGCACACATGTTAAGGATTGAGTGTGCTGTGTCCCTACTTAATTATCTACAAGCTATTCACCAGTTTTTCCAGAAACTATGTGATGTTGGGAACAAGCACGAAGGAAACTTCTTCATTCCTTAGATCCATACCAACCTTTATACACCCAAGGAGGCTGAGCTGACTACACCAAGACTAGAATAGGCCAGATAATCCTGGTTTGTTCTGGGTAACCTAGAGCCTCTAGCATAGCACAGATCCGGACCTTCTCTGGTTCTTTCCAGTCTAATGTGTCTCACCTTTTGATTTTGTCCCCCAAAACAACATAAAATACACAGCGATTTTTTATTAAGTATTATTTGTAACACTAAAATGTTAAAGAAAACATACTAAAGTAAAACACTGTACACCTAAGAATGGAATATTAGCCCCACCCAGTAATAATGACAATTATAACATCATATCAAAAATGCATGTATCAAAATGGAAAAATGCTGGTGCTATAATGTAGTGGTTACAGTGGAAAGAATGAAGCATAACAAAACTGCCCGCCTGTCTGATGGAACACGGGCATGACTCAGATCCTAACCATCTAGGAATGTCCAAAGTGTGCTGCATATTAAATCAACAAGTGCTTTAAGAAAGACCCTGCAAGGCTGTTAGGATCTTTAGGTTTTAGGGCAATGGGTGTTCATGTCATTCCTTACAGTTTTTATCTATGGCTTTGTAACTTTTCTAGTTTTTTCATGTGCACGTTTAGGTTTTCCAGCTAGGTTCTAAGTTCCTTAAAGGTAGATTCCAAATTTTTCATGTTTTGTTATACAGGCCTGGGTATACAGTAAGCAATTACTAATACTTATTAACTGTTTAATCTCCAAATGGTTGGAATACCTCGTTTTCACTACCAGTGAAAGTTATGAAATAGGTGGTAGAGGGAGGAGGGTGTGGGTTGGGTACAATTCTGAATTTTACCTACCATGCAGCATTTCGATAAGAGAGAGGCCAAAAGCCTGCTGGACTGTACTGAGCCTTAGTTTGCCATTGCAGAGAAGCAGGGTTCTTTTTTCAACAACAGGTTTCTTCAAATATAAAATAAAAGTTATTAAACTAATTGCAGAAGCAATGGAGTTATTAATATTTCTTGACTATAGAATGCATAAATATTTTTTACCAATTCTTACTTATTACCAACTACATTTCAGGTTTTTGGTTCTTTTTTTAAAGATATATTTAATTTTATTTATACATACAAGAGCAGGGGTACAGGCCAGAGGTGTAGGGGGTGAGAGGACTCACCAGAGACAGAGTGGGGAGCAGAACAGGCAGACTGACTGAAATACACTGCTGAGGAGGGCAGCGGGAGAGCCAGGAAAGGCGTGCTGCGCCATGTGGGTCAGCTCCCTGCCAGGCTGGTGTGCTGCAGTGGCCGCTGATAGCTTCATAGTGCTGAGACTTAACCCCTTGCACCACAGGAGGCCCTACTTTTCAATTTTAAATGACTTTTTTCCCTTATATTATTTGAAACAACAAAAGGATCAGAACCAAACATATTCCCAAATTTACTTTTCTTTTTGCTCTGTTCTTTCCTTAGGGTTATGTCTTTATCATAGGGAAATGGCCTTCCTAAGATCTAGTAACACTATAGGATGATGACTGGCAGGCTGAGACACAGATTGATAGTAAGGAATAACTGGTTGGCTGTTTTAGATATAATTAAGAAACTTCATGCTTTCCTTATTGGGGAAAAAGTACCAGGAAAGACTATTCTAAATGGTTGTATATGAACCAGAGGTTTTGGGGGAAAAAAAAAAAAAAAAAAAAGCTGTTGTCAAAACTCATTTAACTTAGAAAATTATTTAAAAATTTTTAAAAGTCACATTAAAAATTAATTCATCTGGGGCTCCCTGGTAGATCAAGGGGTTAAAATTATCACTACTCCCTTTCTGAATGCTGAGAAACAATTTCAATGATGAAAAACTGTATCCATTGGTGGTAGGATGAACAAATCAAAAACATCCACTAATAACATTTTAAAAGACACTTCTGTGAACATGTTTTAAAATGAAGATATAGGGCCTCCCCTGGTGGTGCAGCGGTTGAGCGCTGGGCTGTGAAGCTGCCCGCAGCCTCTGCAGCGCTGGTTTGATCCCCAGCCGGTGGCGAGGATCCCATATGGCGCGCAGACCTCTCCTGCTGCTCGCTGTGCCCCTCAGCAGTGTACTTCAGTCCTTCTGCCTGTTCTGCTCTCCGCTCTGGCTCTGGTGAATTCTCTCACCCTCCCGTGCTTCTGACTGTACCCAGTGCTTGCATAAATAAATAAATAAATCTAAAAAAAAAAGGAAGTCTGAACTAGAATTTAAAAATGAATAAATAAATAAATAAAACGAAGATATATAAGCTCACAATAATCAAATCAGTGTGGTACTGGTAATGTTCAAGAAAAGAAATCTGCATTACAGTAGTTAAGTATGGAATATCCAAATTAGATCCCTCTATTTTTATGTATATAACTATCACAAAATTAGTAGATCAAGTTTAGTGGGATAAGGAAGAATTTTTGATAATACTTCTAGCTTAACTGGTTATCGAACTCAGAAAATGGAAGTATACCATATACAAAAATGTAGTTGTTAAAATATAAATATAAAAAATAAAATAATAAAGTATTGCGAGAAAATCTGGAGTATTATATGATGTACATTAATTTCTATAACATAAGCTTACAATACAACAGAAAAAAAAATAGGCAATTTACATCCAAATGGGCAAAAATATAAAGATTCACTCAAACTCACTAACAGACAGGAAATAAAAATTTAAAAAAGTGTAAAACACCACTTCACATTTATCAGGCTGATAAGGATATGAGGAAAAGGACAGTCTCGTAGGTTGATGGTAGGCATGTGATGATGCCTTGTTAAGTAAAACATCTTTCAAAGGCAATCTGGCAACTCAATTAAAAGTAGAAGTGTATGAATGTGTATATGTAAAATTATATATATAAATATATATGATTTACATATCTACTTATCTACTTCTGGGAACCAACCCAACAGAAATAGAAGTATGAATACATATACGAATACTACTGCAGCACTGTTTAGAGTATCTAAGAACTAAAAACAAAGCGTCCATCAACAGGGCAATGGCTGAGGAAGAAGCACACTTTCAGCGTGAAGTATAGAGTGCACCATATGACCCCATTTCGGTAAAACAGTGATGAACACCACCAACTCTGCCGCCACACCCATATACAAAGATCTGTGCAAGATTACGTGAGTATGAAGTAAGATATGGAAGAATCCACACTAAGCACTAAGTTGCTGGTTAAAGTGGGTTACTGGGACAGGGGTTAGGGAGGCGGCCAGGGCCAAGTTCAATGGGGAAAATCAGTGTTTATGACACAAATATGATATGGTCCCACTTATGTTATATTGTATTTGTACACGTACACGTGTACATAACTGTATCTACATTTTTCAGGAAATAGAAGCTTTCTTATAAATGGATATGTCTGCACTACATAAGGAAAAGGTTTTTCATAATAATATAACAGAATAAAAAACTTTTTTTCTGAATATAAGTGGCCAGAATGAGTGAGTCATTCATTTTTCCACACCATGCACATGATTTTATAATCGCGGTGCATGCTGGCAGATGGTATACTAGAAGGGTATAGCAACTTGCTTGCAACATAACATGCCCCATTCAGTAAAGTTCCATTAGAACACCATCTTCCTCATCAAGTGGTTTTTCTTGCAGTACCCTCTGGCTGCAGGAGCTTTTATGTTTAGTGTGAGCTCTTCAAAAGAGAAGTTACCTGGTAAGTGATGTGAACATAAGGCAGATCCTGAAAGAGTGGATATGTGGGAGAAATTTTCTTTCCGTTATGCAGGAAGTCTTTGAGTGAAGAAAGACACTGCTGTACTTCAGTCAGGTTCCGAGACAAAATTTCCAGTTCTTTAGACAGCTGATAAGTTTCCTTTTCCCTTTGTAAGTTCTTCATTTGAAGCAAGTTGGGAGATTCCAGGGTGCTGGTGTGGTCTGGTGAACTACAGGTTCTGGGCAGCATTTCCGGCTGGTTAAGAGGTTTAGCATCTAGAGTTTCCAGGGCTATGAAGTCATCACGGATACTGGAAGGAGGACTTTTGACTTCTTTAATAAGGGTATGTCCAGGCCTGTCACTTTGACTGTTGTTATTAGCTGTTGACAAGAGCCAACTGTTTTGGAGACAAAAATCTGGGGGCAGACTTTTAATCAGCTGCTTTTTATTTGTTATATTTAGCAGAGTATTGAAAGGAGAGGAGTCACTCTGGCTTTCACTCAATGTTATTGACAATTTTTCCAACATTACTTCTCTAACAATCAAACGAATGATATATTGATCAGATTTTGAAGAAGGAAGAAATGCTGAATCTGTGGCTTTTTGTTTTCCCACCAAAATTAATAATAATTTATCTGTCAAGAAACAAATGCCTTTTGGTCTTTCACTACTCTCTAACTGAATTTGCTGGATGTTTGGCATAAATGATGGAATGACAGAATAGATAAAAATTATATTACAAGTATTAGAAGCTACTGCCACTACCTGTGCTTTAGGATTAAATGCTATTAGATCAGGAACCAGAATACCTGGAATGGCTAATTTTCTGGTTCCAATAACATCTTTCTCAAAGGTTATAAGGACCAAATGTGAAGAATCAAAGCCAGTTCCTGAGAAGTGGCCCTTTTTTCTTAGACAAAGAAGAGAACTATCCTCAGACCTGGATTTATCAAAACGTATATGAGTTAGATCCAAAGGATCTAAAAAGGAAGAAGAAATGGGAGAAACTGATGTTTCAGGAGGGACTGCCCCCTTATCCGCAGAGGATATTTCATCAATAACCGGTGAAGTATGTAAACAAGTGTCTTCACCACAAAGCTGAGTGTCAAAGGCCTCAGCTGCATTTAAGCCACAGATCTTATCTAGGGGGAGCTCAGTGGCTACGGTGACCTGTGAGTCCACAGTGGCCCCAATGGAGCGGATATAGCTGTCCACCTCAAACACTGGGTAGAAGGAACACTTGTGAAGAGTCTTCTGAACACTGTCCCACATGTAAGAATGCAGGCTGCTGCCTACTGCTACTACCAGCCTCTGGCCATCCTGGGTCCAACATGCACAGTGAATGAAGCCCTGGGTGTTGATGTCTGCTTTTACCTGGGAACTGTCACAGTGAACATTATGGTAAAGGGAGACATCCTGTGCCGTCAACACAGTCAGGATAGCACTTTTGGGGTGCCACACACAGCCCTGGGGGAGGATAGGAAGTGACACTCCAATCTCACAGGTCTGAGATGTCAGCCACTGGCTGGTCTCTGTAGTGCTGGGCCAGAGCTGCCAAACACTGATGTGCTTCTCGTGCTGGACGGCGAGCAGGGCAGGCCTGTCAGTTGTGCCATGCGGGGCCCAGGACACCTTATACACACATTCAAATTGTCCAATGACCTTTGAGTCCCCAAATGCAGCCTCTCCACTGTGAAGCTGTAAATCAGTCAGGAGTACCTGGGTCCCATCAGTCCAGGCCAGGCCATGAATTGGGTGTATTGCTTGATACAGTGCATTCAGCCCAGTTCTGAGAAGTCTCCCTTTCCCCAACTCCATCCTTTCTAACAAAGGTTACCTGAAATAATGAAGAAAGTAAATTATACCACTGAAAATAATTAGACAAATCCATAAAGTAGGACATTTTACAAAATAAAAGACTTACACCCTTCACAGGTCAATACTGTGAGGGGCTAACAGGATGGGGAACGTGGCAGATTAAGAGAACACTCACTGACACGGAATGGATATTAGAAGATACTGCAGACTTATTAACTTCCTTAAATGTGAACATGGTATTGTGGTTATAGAGGAAAAAGTCCTTATTGCTAAAATATGCATGTTGAAGAATTTGGGGTAAAGTGTCATAGTGACTACAACCTGCTTTCAAATGGTTTAACAACAACAAATTAGATAGATAGGCAGAGAGATAAAACAAAGGTAGCAAAATAATTGTTGAATCCAAATGGAAGCCATGTCAGTACTTATGGTAATTTCAACTTTCAAGTTAGAGGTTTCCAAATTAAAAAGTTTGGAAAAAATCTTTACTATCTAATTTCTATTCTCCTTTCATTAACAAATCAATAGCTGATATTTATATCCTTGACTTTATTATCACTTATTTCCTCAGCTCCCTTCAAAATGGCTTTTATCTCTATTCTGAAATGACACTCAAGTCATTATTGCTATTTCTACTTCGTCGTATTCAAACGTCACAATAATTTTTAGAATATTTTCATTCTCTGTTGCATTTGCTCCTTGAAACAATACTATAAACTAGGTTAGGCTAATAAATAGGGGCTCAGTTGGACATTTCTCTCTCCTGCTTTCTCAGTTACCGAGTCCTATTAATTCTCAGAATTGTTATTGAACCCAGTACTTTTTATTTAAAGATTTATTTTATTTATGCACAGAAGAACTGGGGTGTAGGCCAGATGTGCGGGGGAAGGGAGGGTTATGTGTTTCACCAGAGACAAAATGGGGAGCAGAACAGGCAGATCTACTGAAATACAGTGCTGAGGGGAGCAGCAAGCAAGACAGGAGAGGTCTGCTGCACCATGTTTGTCAGCTCCATGGCCAAGGACCAGAGATCGAACTTGTGCTGCAGTGGATGGCAACAGCTTGATAGCGCCGAGACTTAACCCCTGCACCACCAGTGAGGCCCTGAATCCACTACTTCTTATCCTGGCTCAGAGCACTATCATCTTAAACTTAAATAATCAACTCCTAATTGGTTTCCCTACCTCTAATCTATCTTTTCTTCTCAAGTCCATCTTTTATAAAACCAATCTTAAAACGCCCTTTTAGGTATGGCACTGATCAACTTTAAAACTGCTAGATGTCACCTAATGCCTTTAGCTGTGCCATTCAGCACAACACCTACTAGAGGTGCTATGTAAATTTAAATCAATTAAAATAAAAATCCAGTTTCTCAGTACACAAGCCCCTTTTCAAGTAGCCCATGACTATCATACTGGGCAGAGCAGAATAGAATACTTCCATCATCAAAGAAAATTCTGGACAGTGCTGGCCTAGAGGATACAAGTCTGATTTTTTCAGTCTGATATTCAAAACACTTCCCATTTGAATGTACCTGTGTCTCCATCTTATTTCTGCTTATTAATCTTCAGAGTTACGATGCCTGGCCCATTCCCAACAAGTGACAGGTGAAGGCCCAGCTTAAATGCCATCTCCTCTGAGAGGGCTTCTTTAGCCTCCAGGTAACAGTAGATGAACTAGAAACTCCTACAGTCCTTGGAATCTAAACTACTTAGGTGACACCTTCCGTTTCCTACTGCAATCACCATATCCCATTTCCACAACTAACAAAGTCCTTGAGAGCAGAAATGAGACTTAAATTTTATGCCTGTCAGTGTTTAGCATACATTATAAGTGCTGGCAAGTATTTTCAAATGGAGTATTCTGACTTCATTACATTATATAAGGCATTGCCAAGTGGGTCACAGAATTGCCAGGGGTTGTGTTGACTACATTTTATTTTATTTTTATATTTATTATTATGCCTTATGATACAGAGTCAGTAAAGGCCCTTGAATTATATCTGGACATACTTTCTTTTTTTTTTTTAAAGATTTATTTATTTATACATACAAGAACTGGGTACAAGCCAGAGATGTGGGGGGCGAGAGGATTCACCAGAGACAGAGTGGGGAACAGAACAGGAGGAATGACGGAAATACACTGCTGAGGGGAGCAGTGGGTGAGCCAGGAGAGGTCTGCTTCGCCATGTGAGTTGCTTTCTGGCTGACTGGGGATCGAACTTGTGCTGCAGAGGCTGCGGATTGCTTCACAGTGCGGTGCTTAACCCCTTGCGTCACCAGGGAGGCCCCTGGACATACTTTCTGAGGCTGTTAAATAATCCAGGATTTTAAGAAATAAGTGAAACAATGGGGATACTATATTAGGATTTGCTGCCCTCCCCTTCCAGTACTTATTATCTCAATGCAGCTATAAACTAGCATTTCTCCTTTCTTACATGGTTAAAAAATAAAAAGCATAAGCAACCATACATATTGCCTCACATTATTATTTAAATCATAAGGACAATTAATGTTGATAAATGATCATTTTAACATTTTATAAAAATAGTACTTAGCAACTGAAAGTTTTCTTCCTAGGTAGTTCTGCGACGGGGGTGGGGGGACCCACATCTTTATTTCTGGTGATTATTACAATGTAGGTTCTGTCAGCAATGTAACAAGAACACCTCTCCTCGCATCATCTTATGTACAGAGCCCAGGCTGTACTGTTGCTTTAATGAGCTTCCAGTTGCACTATTTGGCTCTGCTTCAGTATTCAGCCAGAATCTACTGTTTAGTTTGGATTTTAGCCTTTGGAAAGCATAATGGTCCAATGCCTCAGGCTCTAAATGTCATTCATTTCTAGTATACCCGAATGCATGTATGTCCACACATATCTAAGATCCATAAGGTCAGTATAAGAACAAGGGACATTATCTGAGTAAGTTGTAGTATCTGAATGTTCACTTTCAAATCCAGGCTAACATCATAAGAATTCTTTTTTTTTTTTAAATAGAGGCATGTTTTATTTATTTATTTGTTTGTTTGTTTGTTTGTTCGTTTATACATGCACTGGGTACAGTCAGAAGCACGGGAGGGTGAGAGAATTCACCAGAGCCAGAGCAGGGAGCAGAGCAGGCAGAAGGACCGAAGTACACTGCTGAGGGGAGCAGCGGGCGGCAGGAGAGGTCTGCGCGCCATGTGGGACCCTCCTCCGGTGGCTGGGGAGCAGCCGGGGATCGAACCGGCGCGGCAGAGGCCGCGGGCAGCTTCGCAACCCAGCGCTCAACCGCTGCGCCACCGGGGAAGCCCAAGAATTCTTTATTTAACAAGGCAATCAATCGCCTCAATTAAAAGTTCTATCAGTGAACTGATACATAAATGTATAATGTAAGAATAAAATGTTCCAATAATAAAGACTGTGAAAGATTAATTTTGGTACAAAAACAGTTAAGAAACAGCCATGATGAATCATTTTCAATTCAGACACAGTAATGAAAATGAGAATGCAGGGAAAAAAAAAAAACCAGTGTAAAGTCAAAATGAGGTGTCCCAAAATATCTTATACTTCTACACTCCCAGCTGAAAGGGAGTGGCTATTTGGCACTAAAAATATGTAGCATAGTGACAAGCATAATCCAGGAGCTGGCAGTGCTGTCAAATTTTCTTTTCCTGAAAAATAAGGCCAAGTTTTGAGATTTAATGAGTAAAATGTTACGAGAATAAAATCTATAAAATTGGAATGAAATTTCAGATCTTCCTTTTCCCCACAGGTTTATATGATTTTCTGAGCAAAATTCGATTTTACACTGGATGATTTATGCAGCCTAACTGTATTTTGGTGGCACCTCTAGTTTAGACTTTCCTGACCATATAATCAGAACTACAGGCAAAATAATAACTATGCCTCTAGTAGGCAGTTCTTGGTAAAAACTGTAAGCCATTCATGGGAATCAAGTAAACAAAAAGTATGTACACTCTGACTACTAATCCTGTCTCTTTAAATTACTGTAACCACAATGTTTGGATGTAGCCACTATGATGCTATGATAAAATACACAAGATGCTCTTAAAACCCAAAATGAGTAAGTGCACCATGGAGTTGATCAATACAGTAGAGGGCTGTCTCAAATCCTTCCTGTAAATAGACTATGTAACAATTCTATCCAGCAATATCATAAATGTGTATATAAAGATTAGTCTTATAAAATTAAATGCCAAAATTTAATTCTAATGTGCACACTATCTGGCAGAGTAATAATTTTTATTGCAGTTAAGGATCCAAGAAATTTAAAAACCTATCAATTTTGATGGCAAAATGTTATGTTTAACCTTTATGAGATGTAAGACAGGTCAAAACAAAGGAAATCAGGATGTCATTGTTATTGAACATGCAAAAAACAGACTATATTCTACAGACACATCCAGGTATTATGTGAATTTGCTGGACTATCTAAAAGGAAACCAAGGGAATAAATGTGCCCAGTGTGTGCCAAACATGGTGCTGTCACCTAGGATTCAGGTGTGACAGTCTTCTAACAGTCACCAAAGGAAGGGCTATTATTTTTATTTGAGAGATAACAAAGCTTCAAAAAGTTAAGAATCTTGCCACTTCATGTTTTACAACAAAATAAATTCCAAATAGATTCAAGATCCAAATTTAAGATGTAAAACAAAGACTTTTTACAGTTCTACAGAAATACCCAAATGTATCCACACATACGGATATTCACTGTAGCAACCTTTATAACAGAAATATATAAGTGTATATCAGTATAGAAATAGTTAAGTAAAAAATAAGGAAGCTCTATGAGAACTAATATCAGAAAAATCTCTTACCACGTAGAGCAGAGAAATTCACAAGATGTCTAGTATGCGCATAATATTTATGAAAAAAATTCCACCTTTATATGTCTGTACATGTGTTTTTTATATATTTACATAAATATGTAGGAAAAAACCAGGAATGATATACACTATTGATGGCAGATACTGAGATAGGGTGGGGTAGCATAAGAGGTAAGGGGTGACACTCTTTGTTTATCTAATTTTTGACAAAAACTTTTCCTAATAAGCTTGTATTCAAATAGACCTTTTGTAACAGAAAGAAATGAAGATTTAAAATACTTTATAGAGAGCTTTCATAAACCAGTTAAAAAGATAACAAACAGGGCCTCCCTCATGGCCCAAGGGGTTAAGACGTAACCTATGAAGCTAACCACAGCCATTACAGCACAAGTTCGATCCCCAGCCAAGGAGCTAAAGACCTCTCCTGACTCGCCTGCTGCTCCCCTCAGCAGTGTTTTTCACTAGGTCTGCCTGTTCTGTTCCCCACTCTGTCTCTGGTGAATCCTCTCACTGCCTCGGCACCTCTGGCCTGTACCCCAGCTCTTGTATGCATAAAAAGAAAATAAATCTTAAAAAAAAAAATAATAAGCACCCTAAATTTAAAATACCAACAGGCAATTTACAAAGTAATAATATAGTGATCAACAAACATATCTATAAGTGGTGTTTAACCTTATTATCAAATACTTGTATAAATTTGCAATGTCTATTTTTTTTTACCACTCTCTCCTTAACTCACCCCAAACTGATCCCATTTCCACTGCTTCATCACAGCCCCTTTCCCCAAAGCACCAGTGCCATATGCATCACTGAATGCAGAGAACATTGTCAATCCTGCTTTACTGAGTTCAAAGACAGAATGTCAAACTCTAAATCCAAAGAAATGCATTTGCTCCCATACTACCTAGTGATTTTAACTTACTGCAAGTGATACCTTATACCTCTTTGCTAGCTTTGTCCTTGCTCTTAGAATCTCTCACTTAAATGAACATTTTGCTTCTACACATGATGTCAGATTAAGTGGCTCATCAGTGGTTTGCTAAATGGACAAATAAGTTCCCTGTCATCACTGATGAAGAAAACTGCCATCTCTAAACCACTGGTCTTATATAAGATAATATATGTTCTCCCTTAATATCTACTTATGCACTTTTAAAAGACTTATTGATAAATAATGCATGATACATTTTCCTGGGCAGAGAAAATTCCTAATGGGCCAATATCACAGGCAATTTATATGTTTTAGGCTACCCATGGTAGTCTAATGTCGTTGACAGAGTGTGTGACCAGGGAGAGCAGAGGGTAAGAATTTGTGAACAGGGGGAAAGACAGACAGAATAAAGTTGTGGAAGTCTTTAAAAAATAAACTAGTATTTTCATCTTTACTAACAGGAAGCAATTTGGCCTATTTTTCTCAAACACCTAATGATAATTGCAAAATCTGCTCCAATCCTTTCAGTCCATTACTAGTGCAGATTCTGACCACCTCTCCCTTTTTTGTAGGGAAGGACAAAGAGAGGCCAATCTGGCTTGTTACCATTCTTCTCTCCCACAGAGCCTAGATTCTGTGTGGTTGGGCAGAATTATCTTCTTTGAAAATCACAGCTCTTACCATACGACCCCGCAATTCCACTCCTAGGGATCTACCCAAAGGACACAAAAACATTGATTCACCTGTACACCTGTACACCTATGTTTATTGCAGCACTATTTGCAATAGGTAAAACCTGGAAACAACCCAAATGCCCAAAAATAGATGACTGGATCAAGAAGTTGTGTCATATATACACAATGGAATATTATTCAGCAATCATAAAAGATAAACTCATGCCATTCACAGCAACGTGGATGGAACTGGAAGGAATTATGCTCAGTGAAATAAGCCAGAAGGGGGAGATATATCGGATGGTTTCACTTATAGGAAGAACATAGGGGAACCAAATAAGACATCAGTGTAAAAAAATAACAGTACAAAACACAACAAAGCAAAAACGGACAATTATAAATCAGGGACAAACTGCAGGGGAGGAGGAGGGAGAGGGATCAGAGGGAGGGAGGGAGGAGCACAGGGGACTGAGGTGATGGCGCACGGGTGCACTGGGGAAGGAAACTCTGGGGACTACACCTGAGGGGGTGGAGGGAAGCAAATATTGTTTAAAAAGGAACAATGATGTAAAAAATTTAAAAATTAATTTAAAAAAACACAGCTCTAATCATTTTGCACTTCAGCTCAAATACCTTAGAGGAGTCTCCACAGCCTACTTATATTAAAAAAGCTCTTTCAAAATGTCTTAGAAAAGGGCCTCTCTGGTGGCACAAGTGGTTCAGCACCGCACTATGAAGCAATCTGCAGCCTCTGCAGCACGAGTTCAATCCCCGGCCGCCAGAGAGCAACCCACATGGCGCAGCAGACCTCTCCTGTCTCGCCCGCTGCTCTTGTATGCATAAATAAATAAATCTTAAACAAAAAAGTCTTAGAAAAGCATTTAAGGCTTTACATGATCTGCTATTAATGTACCTTTCCAGTCTTATATCCCTGATCATAAAGGATCCGCCGAGGAATTTGGAGGAACCAGCACACACTCGTGTGACAATGTGCAGGTGGAATCTAAGAAAGAAGTTGAGAAAAACTCGGTTTCAAAAGGGGCCATTAAACAGTCTGAATGTCATATTAAAAAAAAAAAAAAAGTGAGACCAGTTTGTAGCTACTTCAGTGGGGAAAGTGGGCCATATTCATGAGGTATTTCTCACACTGGCGGACGGCATCAGGGAGCGTGTGAGAGGCGAGAAGGGAGAATGAAGGATAATTTCTGGCCGGGAAACGCTGAAGCATTACTCAGAGAACGAGAAGGCACAGCCTACTCTGAAGGTAAGGGGGGGTGCAGGGTGCGGGCCCCACGCCAGCCTCCGCAGCTCACATCTCTTCTCGCCCTCCCCTCCCCGCCCAGCCAAAACCTTCCCACCCCCGCCAGTCCCCGCAGAGTGACGACAAAATACCTCAGATCTCACTGCCCCACTGAAATTGCCTTCCCGCGGGCGCCCCGCCTCACCGTCACGGATCCCCGTCCCGAGAGGGTACCGGAAGCACCGCCACCCACGCCTCCTATTGGTCGTGGAGGCGGGGCAAACTCGGCAATGTCCCCTGACTATTGGCTACGACATGTGTCACTTTAGGAGTAAGCTCGGATTTTGCCGCAAGGGCCTCTGGGAGTCGTAGTCTTCAAACCTCCACCGACATCACCCGTCCTTTATTTCTCCCTCCCTCAAGCAATCTGATGCCTTCCCCCATTTCTCATCTGTTCTCTTAGTCTAAGGAGTCCTAAAGCAACATGGTTTCTTTCATTTTATTTTTTTTGGGGGGGGAATGGAAGGAGCTGAGGATTCCCCAGAAAAAAGTGTCTATTCACAAAATATGCATTTTGCTATGGTTCATGGTGGGCTCGGTCCATATTCTGCTCCAGTTCTGAGCGCCTGTTCTTACCCCAAAAATGCCTGCCCAAGGCCGTAGCCCACAGAGGTAGGGCGGCCCCTGGGTTCTTTAAACCAGTGCACTCGGGAGACGCCGAGCCCTGCTTTGGGGCAGCCCTTGGGGAATCTCAGGGCCAGACTCTCGGCGCAGCTCCAGACCATCGCTCTGGACCAGCCCCGCCGGCTCCTGCAGCGATGCTGGCGACCCGAGGCCTCCGTGCTCGGCACCGGTGGGAGGCGAGGAGGACGGCAGTGGAGGAAGGGCATCTCCAGAGCCCGCCCTGGGTCCTTTTGCCCAGACCTCTCCACGCCTGTCCTCCAGCGCCGCTCGTCAAAATCACTCCTTCATGCTAATGTTCGGTACCACGCAGGGAAGAATAAGAAAACTGGAGAAACATTTAAAGTCCCATTCACTCATTACTCGGGCAATTACTGCCGCCTCCAAAAAAGATCTCTCCAGATTTCTGGATCTCCTTTCGGACAGGGAGACTCAGGATTCATTCATTCACTCGCTCATTTCGCAGTCGGAGTCTCTCCACCCTGGAGTTTCGTCGCCATCCCTCGCAGATGAACTTCCTCGAGGCCAGCAATTAATCCAACTGAATCCGATGAATTCAGTTGCTGTCCCCAGGGCGCAGTTTTTACTTTGAAAGGTGGACGCTCACCTGCGGGGCGGGGCGGGCGGGGCGGAGGGTGACAACGAAGCGGGGGTGGCGAGCAGGGTGCTGGGTGGTGACAGGAGGCCTGCGACGGCTGCTCTCCTAACCCCCCCCCCCCCAACTTGTTCCCACAGACGCGGGCCGCCCGGGGGGTGCGCGGCGCTCTGGCCCCTCCACGCCGTGCGGGGCTCCATGGCGATGGGGAATTGCAATTAAGGTGCTGCTTGCCTTGCCGGTCTCCCTCTTCCGTGGCGCCGGGTCATGCCCCAGAATTTAGCACAGAGCGGGCGCAGGTCCCCGCGGGGCGCGCGGGCGCACGGCGGGGAGCGGCGGGGGATGGAGACGCGGTGCCGGCTGCGCGCGTCTGCGCCCCCCGCGCCCCCCGCGCGCCCCGCAGCGGCCGAGCTCTCCGGCCCGCCGGGCTCGGGGCCGCCGCGTCAGGGCCGCCCCCCGGCGCCAGGCCCACCCCACCTTTCCCCGCCGCCCCGCCCCGCCCCGCCGCGCCCCGCCCCGCCCCGCGCAGGTCCCGGCTCCGCGCAGCGCCGGCTCCGCAGTGGCGGCGGGAGAGCAGCCGAGCGCCGGGCGGGCGCGGGAGCGGGGTCGCGGCGGCTGCGGGACCCTCGGAGGCGGGGCCGGCGGGACCGCGATGGGCGTGGAGATCGAGACCATCTCCCCGGGAGACGGTACCGGGCGGCCGAGCCGGGGAGCGGAGGGCCGGGCGGAGCCGGGGTCTGGGGTCTGGTTCCGAGGTGGCGCGGCGGGTGCCGGGGGAAGGGGGCGGGGAGCCCGAGGACGGGCGGCGGAGGACCCCGCAGACCCGCGGGCTGGGGGTCGGGGGCAGGTCCCCGCCTGCTCTCCCCGGCCCGCTCACCTCCGGGAGGCGGGGGCTGCGGCCGCCCCCGCCCCGGGCCTCGGCTCCGCCGCCGCGGCCGGAGCTGCCGGGTTTCCCGCGGCCGTGGATTTCCCCGGCGGGTCCTGACTCCGCTTTCCCTGCCCTGCTAGGTGGGCTTTGGAAACTGGGGAAAGAACACGGCTTGGGGCGTCCTCTGCTCGGAGGCAGCCCCCTCTCACGCGCCCCCCGCCGGCCTCGGCTCGGGGGGCCCCTGCGGGATGGGCGGGGAGGCGCCGGGCGGACCCAGACGGTCTGGGCCGGGGCAGCGCGCCCGCCGCCTCTGCAGCGCCGTCCCCTCGCGCCCCCCTCAGCCTCTCCGGCCATCCTGCCCGCTGCCAGGGTGTGCAGGATGGTCTGCACAGCGATGGCCTCCAACTTAAACCTCCAGCCCGCACCTCCGATGTGAGCTCCCTGTGGCCCATTTATCCAGTGGCTGCGCGACCCCCACCTGCATGTCCCACGGATACCTCAAAGGCTGCAAGTCCGAAAAGGAAATTATGCTCCTCGGCTTCCCACTCCCGAGCGCTCCCCTCAGCTCCCTGCCTCCGGGGATCCCGCACCACTCACTCTCCTAAGCCAGACATCCCAGGCCTCACCCTAGTATGAATGGTTCTGAGTGCGCAAGGAAAAGCTATTTCTTAAACAAAACCTAACTCAGACCCTTCTGATTCTATAGGATTTGGCAGGCAAACTTCATTCCTGTCCCACTTTATTGACACCCAGCCCCCCAGGAAATAGGAGGCACCCTCGGGTTTCAGGCCACCCTCCTTGTTGAAAGGAGTGGTCCCTATGCGTCCCAGTCATGATTCTGGATCACCCTTGGGGTGCAGGCTTTGTTACCCAAGCTAGGAATGGAGGCGATTGATATCACCCCTCCTCAAACCCCAAGGCCACAGGGCTCTGTCAGGGACCCAGAGGCCTCTAGTCCCTTCCTTCGCTCAAAGAGGCTTCTGTCTCTAGAGTTTTCTCTCTTTAGCCTCCCTCTCTGGCCAGGGACAAGGGCGTTTTCTTTTGATGGGGGTTCTGGACTTTTAGAGAAAGCCTGGAGGAGCTTTGCTTATCTGCTTTCAGGGGAGTCTAAACCTTTGGGTCAAGGAAGCACAAAAGGGCCAGCAGCCATACTGTTATCCTAGAAAGGAATATACAAATTAATATTTCAACAAGTTTGCTGCCGAACTGGGGATGCCTGTGTTAACCCACCAAGTCCTGTCTAGTCCTTCTGCTGAATATCCCCAAGCACCATCCCTCAGCCCTGCCCTAGTGCGAGCCACCATCTTCACCCCTGGATTTCTGTACAACCTCTAAACTGGTCTCCCCACCTAGTCTCAACTCCCTGCCTTCAGTTTGGCCTCCCCACTTCACCCCCACTCATTTTCTACACCACAGCTTGAGGACTCTTTAAAATTCCTATCACACCATGCCCCTCCCCCAGGCAAAAAAAAATAATAATGTATTTTCCATCTCCTCCAGGTAGATGGTGATAGAGCCTCACGTCTCCTTGCCATCTGTGTGCCCCCCAACTTTTTCTCCAGTTTTAGTAAGCTGCCTGCAAGTTGTTAAACACACCTGTCATTCAACAAATGTTTATGAATATGTACTGGGTGCTAGCCCCTAGTGTTGCAGCAGTGAACCAGACAGGCTCCTGTTATTGCTCGACTCTAGGCCTTCGAACGTGTTCACTCTTCCGGGATTACCTCCCTTGACCTCCTCTGGCAAACATGGCTTAAGACCCAGTATATCCTCTCTCTGATGCTTTCCCTGAGACCGTGTCAGTTCATTGCTCCCTCCTCTGGGCTTTAAATGTTGATTCAGTTGTTAGCCCTCCCAAAGCTTTGTTACCCAGTCCCAGAGTGTTAAATTCTACCCAAATTTATACCTCCAGTGCAGTCTCTCCATCTGCCTAGTTGCAGTATAAACTCGGATGTCTAATATGCATCTCAAGATTGCCACCCGCACAAATCTGTCCTCCCCAGCGCGGGGATGAGTACCTCCCTTCTACCCTGTCTCCCGCCCAAACTGAAAAAGCCAGCATCATGCTTATTTTCTACCCCCTCATCCTGGACCCCATTTCTACTCCATTAGCATACTGTCAGCTCCGCTTCTGAAATAAATCTCCATTTCACTTTTCTCTGCTGCCTCCTTGTTAATTCAAGCCTTCATTGATTTTTTTGTCTGGATTATTGCAACAGGCGCCTAACAGTCTTTCCTACACACAGCAGCACCAGTGAATTTATAAAATCTCAATTCGGATTATGTCATTCTCTTGCCCAAAACCTTCCAGTGGCTTTTCTACTGCACTTAAAATTCAGTCTGGCTCCATAAGCCCTTCATGATCCATTTTCTCACTTCTCCCCACCCACCCTTCTTTCCAGTCACTTAACCTCCTTTCTGTTCCACACTGAGCCTTCCCTGCCTCCAACTTTGCACTCTTGTGGCTCCTTCTTCCCACAGTGCTCTGCTCTTCCCAGCATTTTGGTCATCCTTCAAGTCTCAGCCTCTCTGACAGGCTGTCCTGATCTGCCCTTTTCAGTGTGTCTTATCCCATTGTGTCTCTCGTCATTCATCAGTACATGTCTTGTCTTTAGACACAATCTATGATCGTTTACTTGAATGTTGTCTCCCTCCATTCGATCTTGTCTCTGTGGTTCACTGCTCTATCCCTGAAATCAGGCACAGGCCACACACACACACACACACACACACACAGGCCACACACACTCTAGATGTTCAGTAATTATTTGTGAAGATTTTATGTATTCATCCTGACAGCAGTCGTCACTCTGTCTTAATCTTCTGTTTATGTGTGTTTCTCCAACTTCATGGTTAGTTCATATGGTGTGTCTGGAATTTAGTCCAGACCTAATACATACCAGGTGTCAATAAATGTTTGTGGAATGGGTAAAGCAAAGTAAACGAAGCCATCAAAGAAAAAGGACCAGGAGAGAGTGGAGTTGAGGAACCCAAGGAAATAAAGTTCAAATCAAGCACGATGAGGATGGTGTGGCTGGCACAAGGCACAAAGCGAGACCTAGAGCCATGGGCATCTCTGTGGTATGGAGGGGAGTGTGGGTCAGAGCTCTTGGTCATGACCAAGAATGTTCCTGGCAACTTATCTAAAATCCTAATCATTCATGTGCCCTTCTGTCTTCTTGCAGGAAGGACATTCCCCAAGAAGGGCCAGACATGTGTGGTGCACTACACAGGTAGGCCTCTCTCCCTCGCCCTCTTCCAGATCTGCCCCTTCCAAGCCAGGTCTCTTGGATCCTCCTCTCTGGAGGTAGCTACTCCATTGGGTCAGGCAAAAGCCCAGAGCAACCAAGTCTCCTTCTGAGCAGCTATTTCCCACTCCTGCCAGCCTTGTGGGAATGAGAAAGGTTTGCAAGGTTAAACCCTTCCCACTAATACCAGCAAGGGTCTTCTGTGGTACCAGCCTCTAATGGAGCCACATCCCTCCAGGCTCCTTTCCCATGTTTGCAGGTTGGAGTCCTGGCTGCGCTGGTGTCTACATTTGAAAATCCCTCTTAAAACTGAGAGCCCTGACCCTCCCTGGGGCCCTCTTTTCATCCTATATTATTAGAGGACTTTCAATTACTTGAAATTTCCTTTCTTCTTTCAACAAGTCTATTCAATTCAGCCTACTGTTATGAAGCACCTACTGTGTGTAAGATGCTGTGCTGGGCACTGGGAGCACAAAGGTGAAAGGGAAGATTCCTACCTTCATTGGCTGGGAGGCGAGGTGGGGGAGGGCATACAAGCCTCCCAGAGCCTGGATGCAATTCGAGGACTGGGGTGATGGCAATGCTCGTGTCCGGGTGCTGAGGGAGTCAGAGGAGGGCCCACATCTCTGCTGACCCCTCTTGGATGATCTGTTGGAAGGCCAGGTGGGCTGAGGAAAATAACAGATAGCGTTCCTTTGGGCTCTGGCAGGAAGATCACAAACAGGTGTTTGTTCCAAGGGGGGTAAGCACTCTGCCTTGTGACCTGCTTCCCAATATGGAAAACTTGGTGACAGCCACTTAGCAGAGTATAAGGCCAGTTTAATTCCTGGGACATATTCAGATGGGGCCATTTTTAGCAGTTCTCCAGGCCAGTGTGAAGTGCCAGGTTAATTCTAGGCAGACGGTGTGGGTATTTCTCAACAGCTATGTTGCCAGTTGCTGACGTCAGTGGGCTGGAGCTGTGTTTTATCTCCTGGTGATACAGCCTAATTACCATGAGTCCTCTGAGGCCTCCGACCTATGTAATTGATTTATCTGTTCTACATGTTGCAGACAGATCAGTACTTATCAAGTTACGGAAACCACATCCTTTTGCAAAGACTCTTCACAGTATATACAGAGAGCAGGCAATGTGCGCTGAACACTAACATCAGCTGTAAAGGGTTCTGGCTTGGGGTGGGATGTCAAATCTAACAGGAGACTGTATGAGAATTTTAAATACATTTTAAAATTAAATATAAATATAGCAGAGAGTATAAATCTAAGATGTACAGCTCAATGAATGTCTTCAAAGTGATCACACTTATGTAACCACCAAGTCAACATGTACATTTTCAGCGCCCTAGGAGTCTCTCTCATGTCTCCTCCCAGTCATTATTCCTCCTTAAGGTAACCATCATCCTTTTGTCCCTAACGACTGGTTTTACTTGTTTTTGAACTTCATATAAATGGATCAGAGTATGTGCTCTTTTGTGTTTGGCTTACTCAGTGTATTATCTGTGAGATTTAGTCAGAGTGGTTTGCTCCTTTTTATTCCTGTACAGTCTATTGTATGACTGTACTATAATTTACCCCTTCTATAGTTGATGAACATTTGGGTTGTTTAGAGTTTTGGTATGTCTAGTGTTACTTTGGACCATCTAGATGTCTTTTGGTACAGATATGTGCCACTTCAATTTGATGTACACCCAGAAGTGGAATTGCCAGATCATAGTTTTATACCCATGCTTAACTTCAGCAGATATGCTAAATGACTTTCCAAAGTGGCTATGCCAGTTTCCACTTTCACCTTCAATGGATGAGTATTCCAGTTCTCTTATATCCTCATCAACCCTGGTATTGTCAGGTTTTTGTTTTTTGACCCCTCTGGTGGTGTCCAAAGGGATCTCACTGTGGCTTTGATTTACATTACTCGGACTGAAATGGAACAAACCTGGAGGAATGAGGTTTAACATGGTTGGTGGGTCCTCACCAGTGTGCTTATGAATGCAGGACATGGGCCAAAAGCAGACACATGGGGAAAAATAATAACAGGATTTATTTACACAGAAAGTAAGAAAAGAGAGTATTCAGACTGACATGTGACCAGAAGCCATCTATCCTACCCCAGATAGCATCCACTGAGCAGAGATTGAGCCCCAAGCCAAAGCCAGACTTAACAACCAGACATCCCTTTCCCTGTGGCTTAACTGCCAACAACCCCCGCAGACCCCTCCAGCAATTTAACTACCAGAAACTTCAGCTCAGCCCATATTCTGATCATACTCTGCTCAGGGTGTAGAGTTTGAAAAGCTCCACCTTCTACCACTGAGTGCCATCCACTGGCTCAGAAACTGCTCCTCATTGTCCCCCTTACATGATGACTAATGAAACTGAGTATGTTTTCATGAACTTACTGGCCATATCCTCTTTAGTCTGCTCAATTTATGTCCATTAAAAAATTAGGTTGTCTTTTTCTTATTTACAGGAGCTCTTTATATATTCTGGATATAAGGTTTTTGATTATACCTATTCCAAACATCTCCTATGCTAGCTCTTGCCTTTTTACTCTCTTATTGGCATATTTTGAATAGCAGTCATTAAGTAATAAAGTCCTATCAATCTTTTCTATTTAGAACTTTTTGTGTTCAGTTTATTTATTTTTTATTTTTTTAAGATTTATTGATTGATTGATTGGTTGATTTATACAAGCACTGGGTACAGTCAGAAGCGCGGGAGGGTGAAAGAATTCATCAGAGCCAGAGCGGGGAGCAGAACAGGCAGAAGGACCGAAGTACACTGCTGAGGGGAGCAGCGGGCGGCAGGAGAGGTCTGCGCGCCATGTGGGACCCTCCTCTGGTGGCCGGGGAGCAGCCGGGGATTGAACCGGCGCTGCAGAGGCTGCGGGCAGCCTCGCAACCCGGTGCTCAACCGCTGCGCCATCGGGGAGGCCCTTTGTGTTCAGTTTAGACCTCTTTGTTTGTTCTTAGGTCATGAAGATATTCTCCTATTATCTTGAAGTGCAATTATTTTATCTTTTATATTTTATAATTAAATGTTCTATGATTCATCTGGAATTGATTTTTGTGTGGGGTGAGGTAGGGGTCAAGATTCTTTTTAGCACAATATGAATATGCAGTTAATCTAACCACATTCATTTAAAAAATTGCCCTTTATCAGTTACACTGCAGTGACACCTTTGTCAAAGCAGGTAACCATATATATGTCGGTATGTTTCTGGCTGCTTGGTTTTTTGACTGAACTTGCAACAGTAGACAACTGTAGATTAAGTCATATGAGACTGAAGAAATTAGGCAATGAGAAGACCAGCCTTTAAATGGAGTATGTCAGTGTGTATGTGTGTGTGCATATCTATTTGCATATTTGTCCAAGTGTGTGTCTGTATGTAGATCTGCGTATCTAAATATTTCTTAGCATTTATTTGGCTCTCAGGGTTTTTCTTCTGAGTGCAATTGCATAAATTCATGTGTGCGTGCATGAGAGTCTCTGGAATATTTTAGCAATCTGTGTATGCTTGAGTTTGTGTTTGATCTCCTTAGTACCCATCTGTGTAGATTTCTGTGTAGCCATAGGGTTTTCTCCTTTGCCTGATTGAGTATTCAGGACAAGAGCCAATTTTGTTCTACCCAGAAAGTAGGTAAATAAGACTGCTTCTCTTGCTTTTACATTTAAATTGTAGGACTTAGGAAGCAGAATCATAGATGCTCAGACACGAAGCTGGTCTAGCCCTCCTATATTAAAGACAACAAATCTGAGACCACGTGAGAGGAGGTGATGTGCCCAATGGCACACATAGTTAAGTCCAGCCTCTGGACTTACAGGCCAGGTCCTTCTCTGGCACCAAATCATCTTTAGTTATGGTCCAGGGGCTGCAAGACGTGAAGTAATAGCATCATTTCTGAAGGTCTGATCTTAGATTAGAGACACAAGTAAGAATTGAAGATAGAAAAGCAGCTCTTGGGCCTGAGGCAGCTGACTGAGACAGTATGTCCTCAGGGATCTGAGCTGGAAGCTGAGGGATGTTCCAAGCTGCTGGAGACAGCAGCCAGGTGTTGCTGTGTTTGTATCGGTTCTGTAGGCCACCACGGACTGGCTGGGTCACTTTCATTGTTCACTGCTGTAGATCATGTGACCTTTGGGTTTTGCTTGTAGGAGCAATCTTGGGGAAAACAGGTGAGGACTCAACCTGAGGCTGAAACGCCTGGGAAAATAAATCTTCAGGCTGAGGAAGTATCATGAAAAAAGTAAAGTACAGAGGTTATTTGAGAAAGTTGTGTCCTGAATAGGATTTGGGTGGAATGGAAGATCATTGAGAGTGGAGAGAGGGTTGAGGCAGGCACTAGCTTGTATTCAGGACAAGAGCCTACCAACTGTCTGGGACTGAAGTGCCTGTAAGCTATGTAGGAATTTGGATTCTGCTCTGGGGAGCTTTTGAAATGTTTTCAGCAAAGGAGGAATAATCAGATTTGTATTTAAAAAAAAAAAAAAAATCATCCTGGGTGCAATGTAGAGAATGGAACAGAAAAGTGTGGAGAAAACAGACCAGTTAGAAGTTGTTCCCGTACACAAAGAAATATGTCGGTGATCTGGAAAGAACATAGGGTGGTGATAATAGAAATGGAAAAAATGGGTGGCTCCCAAGATATGAAGCACTTGGTGATAGGCTGTATGTGCGAGTCAGGCAAAGGGACGCACGCAGGTGTCTTGCTTGGGCCAACAGGAGGATGGGAAGACTGGAATCAGAACAGTTTGCACAGAATAGGAATTTTACACATTTGACCTGAACTGGAAGTTAAGTCATGACTGCTGCTCTTTTCCACCCTATTTTCCCTTTCGCAGGAATGCTCCAAAATGGAAAGAAATTCGATTCATCCAGAGACAGAAACAAGCCTTTCAAGTTCAGAATTGGCAAACAGGAAGTCATCAAGGGTTTTGAAGAGGGTGCAGCCCAGGTAGGATGGGGAATCCTCACTAAAGGGGACCTTGAGGAGTTGGAAGTTGAGGTTCAGCACTCCACCCTCCACTCTCACTCTATCACAGAACACTACTGCTTTGACTCTGTACCGGGCCCTGGTGACCCCACCCCTTTTGTTGCTAGCATGACTCCTTGGTGTCACCGGAGGCTCTCATCCCAAGCACATTCCCGCAGGCTTGCTCAGAACTAAGGAGGCCTGTGAGCTACCAGCTGTCTGGGACTGAGACAGCAGAAGAGTCAAGATGGGGGAAGTCTAGGGTTTTATTTTAACTTATTTTTCTAGAAACAATTTCAGACTTGCAAAAATGATAAATTCTCGTATACTCTTTCCCCATCTTCCCCAAATTTAGCATCTTATATAAGCAAGTTGCCACAATCAAAACTACATTAACATTGATATGGTACCATTAACTAATCTATTCAAATTTTTAATCAGCTATTCTAAAATTTTTAATTGATTTATTCAAATCTCACCAATTGTCCCCTAATGCCAGGCAGGTTCTTAACAACTGCTGCGACAAGGCCTGGTTCAAACTCTTCCTCCTGGTCTGTGAGATCCTATGATACTCTATTAGAGTAGGTTTCTTTGCATTCTCCTACAGCCTCTAGTGCCGTAACGTCACTGATGAACTGCTCCTATCCCCTTCTTTAGTGTGTATATCTACATTTGCTCTCTCTATACTCTCTTTAGGCTTTGGAAGAGGGTGAAGAACAATTATTAACAAAGAGAAATATTTGGTTCATACACTGTGACTAGCAATGTTTGTTAGATGAATGGATGAGATGACTTTGTGCAAGTAACTGTCCCACAGACAAATCTCTGCTAGTCTGAGGCAAGAATCTGCATTGTTACACTCTTAGCACAACTTCAAAGTGCTACATATAAAATTCATATCAGATCTTCAATGTTACCATGAGGATGGTTTGGAAAAATGCCATAGTTATCTTACTTTTTTCTTTTAAATCAAGCTGGGTCCTCTTTCTCCTCTCCCCATCTGCCCCCATCCCTGCTAGATGAGTTTGGGGCAGAGGGCGAAGCTGACCTGCACCCCTGATGTGGCGTATGGAGCCACGGGCCACCCTGGTGTCATCCCTCCCAATGCCACCCTCATCTTTGACGTGGAACTGCTCAACTTAGAGTGAAGGCAGGAAGGAACTCAAGGTAGCTGGAGATGGCTGCTGCTCACCCTCCTAGCCTGCTCTGCCACTGGGACGGCTCCTCCTGCTTGGGGCTCTTGATCAGTGCGCTAACCTCACTGCCCCACAGCATTATCCATTCTCTCTGCCCAAGTTGCTCTGTATGTGTTTGTTGTCATTGTTCATGCGCATCTTTGCTTGAGGAAACTTCAGTAGCAGATGGAAGCATTTCAGGTTGTGCATTTTGAATGATGCATGTTGCAGTCATTCCTGATCACAGAACACAGAATTCTCCTTTGCACAATCTACACTGCCTTATCTTTACTTAAGCCAGACACACAAGGTGCTCAGACATGAAATGTACATGGTGTGCACAGAGGGAGTCGAGCCAGTTTACTTTTGCTGTCAGTTTCTCTTAGAAATTTTGTTGACTGCTGACCTAAACAGTGTTCTCTTCGAAAATGATGTTAAATAAAGACTCTGTGCTTAACAAATTTCTGTTCATACTTATTGTAGGTAGGAAGTGTTTTAGGGACCAAATAAGCCAGCTTCCCTTGGGAAAAAGATTAGAGTCTTCCAAATAGCCAGCAAAGTGAAAATAGCTATGATGTATTGTTTATGCAGGGTCTTATTCTACGTAATTTCAAAAAGAATTGCCACCTACCCACTAAGAAGCTCTACAAGGTAGGTATTACTTGCTACTTACCGCACAGGTTCAGAATTTTCCTGCACAGCTAAAGGAATATAGTGTCCAAATCCCATAGTCTAGCAGTCAAACATGGGGTTTGAGCATTGGGATGAGCGCACCTAGATGGAAAAGAACACTGTGACTCTGAACAAATGAAGGCTGCAAATCCAACCACCACAGGTTGTGAATGTTGTGTGATACATGTAACCATTCCTGATCACAGAACACACATTTCTCAGTTCACACCATCTACACTGCCTTACCTTCACATAAGCCAGGCACACAAGATGCTCAGACATGAAATGTCCATGGTGTACACAGAGGGAGTCAGCCATATGAGGCTTTGGCGCTTAACATTAACTGTGACAAGTTATTTTTGAAAATTGCATGATTCTGAGTGTTTTTACGTATATGCTCAGTTTCACTTAGATTTGCTTTAACACACTGGGGGATTACTTCTGAGAAAAATATGATTCTGAACTTGTTTCCACATACCCTTATTTTTTTTATCTACATTTACTATAACTCAGTGAAATCCCCAGCTCATTTTTTTTTTTTTTTTCAATCAGTTCATTTATTGGTGTGGGTTGTGTGTACACAGGAGGGCAATATGGCTGAGAGATTTGGCTTAGGCAAGAAATACTCTTGGCCAGAGTCAAGATTACTTGGTAACAACTTGGGATTGCTGTAGGGCTGAGAATCCAGGGGGCTGCTAACAGGTTAGTTCTTCAAAGACTTACTGATAAATGTCACATGATGTCATATATATGATATAGGGCCATGACATCTTGCCTATTCATCTACCCCTGTCTCCAAGAACTCCTGGCTGTCTTCCTCTGCAAAGGGTTAGGAGTTAATGAAGAGGTGGTGCTTTGAGATGGGGAGAATGAAATGAGAAAGGAGCTGCCTTGCATCTAACTACCCAGTCCGTGGGCTCTCTTCTTCCAGGGACCAGACCAGCCAGAGGGTGCTACACTCTGGGGTGTTTCCTTCAGAATGTCTTGGTTCCTAACATTCCTTGACAACATAAATACCTATGAGAATTTCTCAAAACTCAGCTTTTTTCTCCCATGACACTAACAGGATAATGATGGCACAAAAGACCATTTCAGGTGCCCATGATGGAGTCATATAAAACTGTCAGTCTAGGGTATTTATAGTGTAGGTGGGAGACACACACTAAGAGACCCAAAATAACATAAAAAACCCACCCTCCTGGCTGGCACGTGGAAAGGATATGCTAAGCTTTGCAGGCCCTGCTTTACTGATATGCATAGAGGATGATGTGGCAAATTATGATGCAATATACTAAAGAGTCTGGACATTGTCCTTTGAGCGTTACTGGAAGCTGTGAAGCAGCAGACTGATAAAATCTGTTAGAGCAATCATCTTCCAACTGCAGTCAAAAAATTATTCATACAAAATTTTTCTTATAAACTTGAAATTTAATCTAGAGGAATGTAAAGCAGATTTGGCAATGCATACACAGATGTGCACATGGACACAATCATCTCCTGCACTCTTAAAAGTAGTTCAAAAACCTGGGCTTTAGATTATTGATGCAGAGGACCAACTGTAACTATGTTTCCAGCATCTAAGCATACACACACCCTACAAAGAGTCGATGTTCAATACCTGTGCACTGAATTAAAGTTCTTATAACTGGGACAGGATACAAAATTTCCTAACAATTAGAAGGTACTTTTAAAATTCTTAACTTTAGGTCCTGAAATTCAGCTAACAGTTATATTAAATCCAAATTATGGACCAGCCACACTGTCAATAAAAGTAACTTTCCCTTGTAATTGATTTAAAACCTCACTAAAGGCAAGCTTCTGTCATTTAGACAAATCATACTATAAGTCTAATTTGTTTTCCCCTTACAAAAAGGTTTTCAGAAAAATCTTTTCACATTTGTAATTACCTAACGGCACACCGTACATTACAAAAATCAGTAAGCATTCATCAGAGCATTCACAAAAAATTTATAATGGTGGCCCCTTTGTCCTGTCTGCCCTTGTTACAATTCCTACTTTTATAGTGCTTTCAAAAAACACTCAGAAATAATATATAAAACAATTATTTCTTCATTTTCAATAGTAGGTTTTGAAAACACAGTACAAAAAAGTAAAAAAATAGCCTATTTTCTTGAAGTAAGGATAAATTTTAAAACTAATTGCATTTAAAAGCAGAATAGATGGTTTTTGTCCATTTAAATGATTCCGTGCATACCGCCATCAAATTCATTTTGGGTTATAGTCATACACAAAACAATTAGCCCATGTTTTCCCATTTGGTTCATGCCTAAACTATAAAAATTAAATTACAGCGATCTCTTCTTAGCTGCCAAGCTCTGTTTATGAATGTGTTACCAATAATACTATTTTCATGCCTTTAGAGTTCATGATTGTAAGACTGAATATCATGTATTTTATTTATAACAAAGAGATACTATGATCTAAGGTGCAAAATATATACAGAGACATTATAACTACAGGGAAAGACTGCATAAATAGAATCTCAGACAAGTACCAACCAACACCACTGCTGGGGAGCTGGCTCTCAAATTTCTAACAATGTGCTGCATCTGGGCCTCCTTGGTGGCAAGGGGTTAAGACGCAACCTATGAAGCTAGCTGCAGCCACTGCAGCATGAGTTTGATCTCCAGCCAGAGAGCTGCCCATATGGCGCAGCTCACCTCTCATGACTCGCCCACTGCTCCCCTCAGCAGTATATTTCAGTCAGTCCGCCTGTTCTGCTCCCCACTCTGTCTCTGGTGAATCCTCCCCTCCCCACCTTTGGCCTGTATCCCAGTTCTTGTATGCATAAATAAATAAATCTTAAAAAAAAAATGTGCTGTATCTGACTGGCATTTCTAGAACAGACTGTTCTCAGGAGGACAAGGGTACTCATGTTGACAAAACTGTTACGTTAACTGTAAAGCAAACATTATTCAATTATACTGGTGTGGTTAATAACTGATGATACATCAGCTTTTTATGTAAACATTTTATTCACTCAACCAACATAATGAGACTTGGCTTCCTTATCTGCAAGATGAAGATACATCTTGCAGATAAGTTGTTATGAAGATCTCACTATTAACAGACATTCAATAAATGACAACACTAACAAGTTCCCTTGATGGCTAAATACCTGATCGAATATTAAGAATATACAAAGGTCCTTGCTCTGTCTCTGGGACCACCTACCATCAAATAATTCTTGATAGGGTTCAACTACCTGTTTTTTCCTCCCAGTACTAAATAGGAGGGGAAAAGCTCAAGAGAAAACACTGACATATTCTACCAAAAGCTATACGTTTATTAACATAAAGTATTCAAACAGGTATCCAAGTTTTAGGGAGGTCATTTTGAATCTCAAATAAGAAATCACAATATTCACTATTAATTAAAAACACAAAAAGGTGGTGGTTATTCACTGGTTTCAGTCCAAAACAAAAATACAGAAAACATTTACTTTGGTGGATCTGTGTTGATGCCATATTTCTCCTTGAGAAGCTTCAACTGTTCTTCCTTTTTCTTTGTGTCCATCTTCTGAAATGCCTGAAATGTGGTAAGCACCAAAATTAAGTCACCGATCTAGAGTTGCATGAATTTCACCAACAGCACTAGCCAGAAAAAAACTCATACTACACTTTACCCTGCCTGGCACAGCTCTACACTGATTTCTGCAGGGGCTCTCCATCCAACGGGAACCATGGTTATACTTACCCTGTTGGCATTATAGTACAAAACCACCAGGTATCTGTTACAAACGTTGAATCCTGAGAGGTGATCACATGCATTCTTGGCATCAAAGATGTCTTCATAGACCACATAAGCTGTTCCTCTTGTTTCAGGTGTGTTTCCCCTAAGAGTTAAATTACATGAACCTAATTAAAACACACCTGCACTGACAGTTGAATACCAGCTGTCTTTTAAAACAGAAACCATAGAAAATGAAATAGTAATACATTTAGTAATAAATGAAATGGTAAATGAATAGTAATAAATGAAATAGTAACAAATTAAATTGAAATAAATTTCATATAAGTATTGTGAGGCCAATTTGAAAACCACTGGAGGAATTAAACACTATGAACATGTATGCTAAAAAAGCTTGTAATTTCTTGAATCAGGCAATTTTGTTGTCCGAGAACCAATTTCTAGTCTTACACTGGAAAGTACAGATGTCGTAGCAATGTCTTTTATTAGTCAGCAATGTCTAAAATGGGGCTTTTATTACTGTGCATTTATGCAACAGAACCAGTACTTTATTTACCACACTTATCACCTGGAAACTAGTCCCTTATTTCCAAAGATTTTGATTTTTTCCCCTATTCTAATTTTAGTTTCAATTCTTAAATGCAAGATAATCTCAAATAATGTAGGAAATAGATGTTTCTCAGCAACATTTTACTAACATTTATTATATCCAAAAAAAAAAGGAGACCCATTTAGTCTGTAGAAGGGGGTGGCACTGGAGGGAAGTTCCTACCAAGAAGATAGAAAAATTATGGTAACTAGAAAAACAGCCAACCATCATCCTTTATGGCCAGGAAAGGAGGCCCTCCAGTGTAAGGAGCGTTAATGTAGTACAGAGAAATAATCGACATATATCACTGTATATGTCTAAAGTGTACAGAACGACAGTCTGATTTTCATATACTGGAAATGACTACAAGTTCCGCTAACATTTGTCATCTCCTATAGCTACAACAAAAAAGAAAAATTTTTTCTTCTCATGCCAAGAATTTTCAGATTTACTCTCTAAAAACTCTGTATCAAAAAGCAGTGTTGGGGGCCTCCCCCATAGCGCAGAGGTTGAGCGCTGGGTTGCGAAGCTGCCTGCAGCCTCTGCAGCGCCGGTTCGATCCCCGGCTGCTCCCCGGCCACCGGAGGAGGGTCCCGCATGGCATGCAGACCTCTCCTGCCGCCCGCTGCTCCCCTCAGCAGTGTACTTTGGTCCTTCTGCCTGCTTTGCTCCCCGCTCTGGCTCTGGTGAATTCTCTCGCCCTCCTGTGCTTCTTACTGTACCCAGTGCTTGTATAAATAAATAAATAAATCTTTAAAAAAAAAAAAAAAAGCAGTGTTGGGCCCAAATGCCCAAAAATAGATGATTGGATCAAGAAGATGTGGTCCATATACACCATGGAATATTACTCAGCATTCAAAAAAGATAAACACATGCAATTTTCAGCAACATGGATGGAGCCGGAAGGGATCATGCTCAGCAAAATAAGCCAGAAAGAAAAAGAAAAATACCAGATGGTCTCACTCACAGCAGGAATCTAGAAAACTTAAATAAGGGACCAGGAAAAAGAATATAAGAAAGAAAATATCAAAATCAATAAACAACTCAGAGACACTCTATGGGGGGCAGGGGGGGCGGGGAAAGGAGGGATTGGGGTCAAAATAAGGGGGTTGTAATTGTATGGGGAATATAAAAATAAAATTTAAATTAAAAAAAAAAAAGAAAATGCCTACATTGTACAATAATGGAAAATGATGATGTAACAAATACATAAAATAATTAAAAATAAATAAATTTAAAATTAAAAAAAGCAGTGTTAATTATAGTCATTGCATTATATATTACACAAGTATTTATTTGTATTATAACTGAACGTTTGTACCTTTTGACCACCTTCCTTCAATTCTCTCTTCCCTACTTAATTGCCCCAGTAACCATAAGACTGATCTCTCTCTGAATTTTTGCTTTTTTTTGTTTTAGATTCCACATCTAGGTTAAGTCGCGTGATACTTGTCTTTCTCTTTCTGACTTATTTCACATAGAATGCCTTCCAGTTCACCCATGTTGTTGCAAATGGGAGGATTTCCTTTTTCAGAAAATAACGGAATAATATCCCATTATGTTGCTTAACGACAGGGATACATTCCAAGAAATGCATCATTAAGGCTGCTGCCCTGCACAGCCTTTGGTGGCCCCACTGTCAGTTATAAGTCTGAGATTACAGAACACTGAATCTTTTTTTTAACGACATTTCAAAAGTTTCAATTAAGACTCACACTCTGATTTGACGAATAGGTCCATATTTCCCAAATATATCGTACATTTCTTCAGCTGTGATTTTGTATGGCAAGTTTCGTATATACAAAATCCGATTCACTTCAGGTGGAAGGCGAATCTAAAATGAGAAATGTATAGTCATCATGAGCAGGGGCAAAAAAGTGCTATTGTTTTAAAAAATTCTGAATGATACATAATTCTTAAAAAGGCAAGAATAAGAATTATAACGTGATACTTGTCTTTCTCTTTCTGACTTATTTCACATAGAATGCCTTCCAGTTCACCCATGTTGTTGCAAATGGGAGGATTTCCTTTTTCAGAAAATAACGGAATAATATCCCAATAAGATATTACTGAAAATGGCAAACTCCTCCAAAAATCAACTCATTTTAGGGGAGGTTATTAGTAGAAACTAGTAAGGGGCTACTACAAAACCCAGGCTTTCAGTCTCAACATCCAAAGTCTTAAAGTCCTGAATGCCTCAGGCATGTGCGGGAAAGAGTGCAGGGAACTGTTGCTGTTTGCAAGACTATGAAACTCTCAGGTCACCCCTGTGATGAGCCTCGGAGCTTTTCAGAAAATTGTTGATATCAAGGATGTCTTCTGTCTTTTACAGCCTTTTCCTCACAATTAGCCTTTCCTGGCCCTCAAGCAAGCAGTTGTTTATGTCCTGCCAATCCTTTCACACAGCAAAATACTTATTTGAATGCTTCATTTGTTCAACAAATATTTACTGAATGCCTTTTTTTTAATGGATATATATGCCAGGCCAGGTTTTAGAATTACCTAGTGAAGGAAAAAAGACAAGTTTTCAGCTTTCCCCGAACTTATTAGCGCTCTACTTATTATCCTATCTTGCTGGTTTTCTTTTTTTCCATCCAGGCATCTGGAAAGAGGAAACCTATACTCACTGCCTCGTATTCTCTACATCAATCACCAATACTCACCGACCTCGTACAGTCTAAGCACACTCTTTTCTAAGTGCTTTTTCTCACTAAGATCTTTTAGCTGCATAACGTCTCTGTGTCTTCTGACACTTTCCACTACTACCTTCTTAATCACACTTGACACTATTTCCTTGGCTTTCTCCTCACGCTGCTTAGGCCCGTATTCTTTACCATTTAAATAAGATCTTCCACGGAGTTTTATACTCAACATTCCTTTCTCGATCCTTTGGGATCCAGATTTTACTCCTGTGCTCTTTATTAACATATTCAATTACATACTGGACACTAGCTTGCTCAATAACTGATTGAGCTGGCAACTATATCAGGTGTTATAAATAAGAGCATTATATAAATAAAATATTTATTCCTTGCCTTCAAACTAGTGGTGGTGACAAATGGTAAACAAGTTTCAGATTTTAAGTTTCAAGGTTAAGTTCAGAGATCCAATGATCACAATATATGTCTCAAGTAAATTTGCTTCCTTGTTCTGCAAGACACTATATTACACTTCTCTTTCTCTCCTCAAATTCTATCACTACTGTTTCTAACACCTGAGGTGGGCGGTGTCCTCTTTCCTGCCCATCACAGGCTCTTCCTGTGGGTCTGCTAGATATAAGCGGCCTGTTCAGCCACCATTATGGTTATCTGCAGTTCTGCATTCCTATACAAACGTCAGAACTGTCCAGTCACAGTCATATGAGCCAAACCTTACAAGGTGCCTTTCATATCAATCAAGAGAAGAAAGCTTGATCACTCTGGGAAGGGTATGCATCAAGAGGTACGACCAGGAATGCTCAGGGGGCCGAGGACAGATGTATGATAAGGGACCCCAGAAGCTGATCAGTGGAATGCCTTGTTGATAAGGTTAGGACTGTGGCCGGGGGTTTGGGGTCTAGTTTCAATTACAACACTTGGTCATCAAGCTGATAACATGGTCAGCAGACTCGTGTCCCTCAAGCCCTAGATAACATTCCTGAGTTTCACCCATCCTTTTCTCCTTGTCCTCCTAATGCACATAGCTGATGCTCTATGATTATTCTAACAATGAAAACGGCCAAGATCTTGCTCTCAGCAGCATCCTGCCTTGTGCAGCCTCCTCCACAACTCCCGTGTCTTTGTCAGTGTGGTGTTGCCCCACGTAACACTCCCTTATTGGAGAAAACAAAAGTGAGAAATGATAAATAGGCTAGATTCATAGCACTAAACTCATCAATCCATATTCATCCATATCCTCCTACTTCTCATTACTATACCAATCCCTCATCTACTCCAAACACCTCTCTAGCTTAATCCATTTCTCTGACACCACCTACGTCTCCCACTCTACTGGATGGCTCCACTGGCATACAAATACACACTATGTCACACATCTTAAAAAAAGAATAAAAGACAATTATCAATCAATTCGTGTACTCCCTGTTGACTCAAAAACTCCAGGTAGAGGGCCTCCCCTGGTGGCGCAGGCAGTTGAGCCCAGCGCTGTGAAGCTGCCTGCAGCCTCTGCAGGGCCAGTTCAATCCCGGCCCGCCAGCGAGGGTCCCACATGGCACAGTAGACCTCTCCTATCATGCCTGCTGCTCCCCTCAGCAGTGTGTTTCAGTCAATCTGCCAGTTTTGTTCCCTCCTCTGTCTCTGGTGAATCCTCTCACCCTCCCGCGCATCTGGCCTATATCCCGGTTCTTGTATAAATAAATAAATCTTTAAAAAAAAAAGAAAGAAAGAAAGGGGCCTCCCCGGTGGCGCAGCGGTTGAGCTGCCCGCACCTCTGCAGCACCGGTTCGATTCCCGGCTGCTCCCCGGCCACCGGAGGAGGGTCCCACATGGCGCGCAGACCTCTCCTGCCGCCCGCTGCTCCCCTCAGCAGTGTACTTCGGTCCCTCTGCCTGCTCTGCTCCCCACTGTGGCTCTGGTGAATTCTCTCACCCTCCGCGCTTCTGACTGTACCCAGTCCTTGTATGTATAAATAAATAAATAAATAAATAAATAAAAAATAATAAAATCTTTAAAAAAAAAAAAAAAGAAAGAAAGAAAAGGAAAACTCCGGGTAGAGCCAGCTGCATTTTTTTCCATCCTCTTTTCATTCCACCGCAGCCAAGCTTTCATCCCCGAGATTATCATCAAGGTCGCCCACCATTGCCACCTCACAATGTCTAATTATCTGTTTTCATCATGTCAGCATCTTACCACTGACCACCCTCTTTCTTGAGATACTGTTTTCCAGTTGCCAAAACATCCCACTCTCTAACATTATAATGTAGGCGAAACGCTTTTCGTTTTACTCACTGCTGTAGCCCCAATACGTCGTCTAGCGTCTGGTACACAGCAAGTGTTCAATCACTGCAATAGGTAAATTGCTTTATAGCTCACAAGTCTGCCACAAAGAAGGTGCTCAAATATTTTGTCGAATTAAAGCGTTAATGGATCCCAGGCTCCAACTACCATTAAGTAATTTATTGGGGGTTTATCTACCGACTTTCAGGTCGAGAAGGTTGTGACGCCAGGTCAAACAACACTCACAGACGCTAGGACAGGAGACTGCGGAGTCGCGGGACAGGCGTAGGGGCGGGCGTGGGGCCAGGGCCTGTAAGGATGGGGCCAGGCGGGGACTCCCTCTTGCAGGACAGTGACTGCAGGCCTTCCCCGCCGGGGGACAGAGGGACACCCATGCTCCGACCCACGCCGAAGGGAACGTGCAGGAGCTCAGTCCTCCGCGGCCCGGGGATGCCCGATACTCACATTCGCCCTCTTGGCCGCTTGCATCGCCATCTTGGCGGGCCGGTGCGGTTACCACAGCAGACCAGGGCTCTCGGGACTCCTCCGGGGCTCCTCAGGCGCCCAGCGCTCCACCTCGTCGGAAGCAGGACATCAACATCCAGGCCCCGCCGGAAGCGGCCTTTACACGCCGGAACAGCACCTTCCCCGCCGCGGCGCGCTGACGTACATCCTCTTCCGAAAAGACTCCCGGGCGGAAGCGAAGCCAGAAAGGTCCCCGGCGCTTCTGAGCGCCGGACCGGAAGAGGCGGGACTTGGGTGAGAACAAGGCGGGGTTCCGGCCGCGGGGCCCGAAACCGGAAGCAGGCCGGGGCGGGGCCTGCGGGGAGGGCGCGGGGCGGAGCCGCGCACAGGTGAGTTCGGAGGGGGCGGGGCCTGGCGGGACCCCCCAGGATGCGGGGAGTGGGTGGGGCTTCAGATGTGAACTCTGGCGGGACGCGAAACAGCCCTGGCTGTGACTTTGCAGACGCTGTACCTGGTCCCTGAGACCCTGCCCCGGCAGAACCCCTGAAAGTGATCATCAGTTTATCGGGTCTCGCCCGTAGATCCCGCAGTGACGCGCGTCCCGATTCCCCCTCACCCCGCCCCGCGGCCCCAGGATGCGCGCCGGGGTCACCTGCAGTGAGCAGGACACCCTTCTAGTCCACCATCTTCATTTCTTTTTTTTTTTTTTTAAGATTTTTTTATTTATACAAGAGCTGGGGTACAGGCCAGAGGTGTGGAGGGGAGAGAGGATTCCCCAGAGACAGAGCTGGGAGCAGAACAGGCAGATGGACCCAAAGCACTGCTGAGGGGAGCAGTGGGGGAGTCAGGAGAGGTCCGCTGCGCCTTGTGGGTTTCTCCCTGGGCCGCCGGGAATCCAACCCGCACTGCAGAGGCTGCAGACAGCTTCAGAGCGCTGTGCTCAACTGTCTGCGCCACCGGGGAGACCCTCTTTATTTCTTTATACCAGTTCTGCACGGATCAATTGATGAGGCGGGGTGAGGGCCTGAAGGGAGGGGAAGGCCTGTGTTACAGGCTAACATGGGTAGTGCCTGCTTACTGTACTGTGAATTTCCTCCAAGTTTGCTCTGGGCAGGCCTGAGTTAGTCTTAACCTGCATTGCCCCATCCTCCTTCACTGGGGCAGCTCCAGGATGATTTTGCCTATGTTCTTGTTCGACTCCATATACACATGGGCCTCTTGGATTTCAGTCACTGGGTAAACTTTGTCCAGAACGGGCAGGAGACGCTGGGGTCCCTCCGTGGAGAAGTGAGGCAGGATTTGTTCCGTGAAAGCCTTTACCAACCTTTGCTTGTACTAAGATAAAGAAAAGGAGACCATCAGCCTGGACACATCCTCCCCTTGCCACTTCCCACCCTGCTTAGCCTATTTGCTTTCTCTGAAATGTGTACACGTGTGAAAAAGTGTAACAGGTGGTCCCCAGGGAAAGGGAAAGTTCCAGGTCCCCTGTCCCACCCAAGGAAGGGTGTAGCTGAGCTGGGAGAAGGAGAAGATATGGAGATGCAGAGCAAGAAGGAGACTTGGAGTTGGTGATGGAACAGAGAGATATGTGAAGAAGTTGCGCCTGCTTCTGGGTCTTGGACTTGTACCAGGGACTTGAGGAACACGGAATATTTGAAACAGAAAATAGTTGAAACAGACGTGGGTGAGAGACCTGTGGGGAGGTTAACAATGGCAGCTTATATATTGATTTTGATTTTCTGTTTTCCTTCTGGCCCTCCTGTCCCTTTTATATGGGTCCCCACCAGAAGGTGCCTTAGACTTGTGTCAAACCTTTGGGCCTCAGCAGTCCTGCATAGGGACAACCCTGTTTGGTTGGGCATTTACCCACTAGGGGATGGCTAACTTTGGGTGCTTAATTTGAAAATTATTTTATATATTCTTTCCCTTTTCTTATTTTTATTGCACACTAATTGTATTAAAGTTCCTTTCCCTTAAAGCTCTTACCCACTAGACTATGTTTTGTCTTGATGCGGAAGACGGCAGAACCTAAAGCGGGCAGGTTTGTGATTCCTGGGGTGCTCTTCACCCTGCCCAGTAACAAAAGCACACATGGGTACTAAAAACCTTTCCCTACCAGCATGTAAGTGTATGCCCTCAAATGTGTAAGCTCTGTTCTGAAGCGTATAGGAAAATATTAATATCACCGACAGCTGAAAGATTGTTTTTAAATAAAGGCTATAAGCAGGGAGCAGCCACAAACAGGACTCACAGAGAGCTTAGTTCAAAAGGGAGGCTTAAGCTTTGCTATCCCCCAGCAGGTGTGAAACCACATGTTGGGAACCATTCCCAAAGCTGCGCCTGCTAGAATGCCACACAGAATGCCACACAGATTTCACAATATAATCTGTTGAAGGCTTACTCACCTTACTTACAAAAGAGGTATTTTAGTTCACTGAGAATTCTGTCCTTGAAAACAAAGTCTTGGGACAATTAGAAATATTTTCTAATATGGTCAATGCTTCGTTCAGTCTGAGGCCAAGTTTAAATAATAAATGAAGTATTAGCTGCCCTATTTCCAAGATGTTGAGGCTTCTGTTGACCAATTTAAATTAGTTCTGTGTAATTGACTTACATATTTACAAATATGTAAAGGAGACAAATTTCTACATACGCTCCCTAATTTAAGATGTGACAGAGCTTCCTGAGCTTGTGTAAATAAATCATTTTTTTTTTAATAGAGGCATGTTTTTATTTATTTATTTATTTATTTATTTTATTTGTTTTGTTTATACATGCACTGGGTACAGTCAGAAGCGCGGGAGGGTGAGAGAATTCACCAGAGCCAGAGTGGGGAGCAGAGCAGGCAGAAGGACTGAAGTACACTGCTGAGGGGAGCAGCGGGCGGCAGGAGAGGTCTGCGCGCCATGTGGGACCCTCCTCCGGTGGCCGGGGAGCAGCCAGGGATCGAACCGGCGCCGCAGAGGCCGCGGGCAGCTTCGTAACCCAGCGCTCAACCGCTGCGCCACCGGGGAGGCCCAATAAATCATATTTTTCTGGGTAATAGTTAATCATATATTTTCTCTTCACTCATCATTTACCTTTTTGTCTCTGGATCTCAGTAGGCTGGTTATCAGATTTCCGCGTTTAAAAAGTAGCTTTGAAAACAGAGGTCCACTGATGTTAGCTCCTCCCATCAGACCATAGAGAACCCATCGACCATCAAGAGCCAGGCAGTTGACATTTTTCTCCCAGTAGGATCCGCCTATGCAGTCTAGAATAAGGTTGACTCCAGCGCCTTCCTTATGAAACACAGAAAGCTTAATGCAAAATAAGACTTGACATATTTGTAGATATATGGGTATAAATAAAAACAGGTACAAGTGGTAAATCTATAGATTGAAATAGAAGTGTTGTGGTAAGCAGAGTTTTAGTTAGCTGAACTCTATCATACATGTATGCTACATAGTTCATCTTTTATGATCCCTAGCCACAGCAAGATGGAAATTGGCAATACCATGATCTGGTATCTCCCCTGACCCCCACATAAGTAGAGAATGGCACCGAGGCATGGGTGAGAACAGAGAAGATCTAGGCCAGATCAGGGCAGGCTAGGGTTTGCATCTAAGTCATGAAGGATCTGCACTGGGCTGTCTGAAATGTAACTTTGCTGGCTTCAGTTCTCATCTCTCCTTTTCAACTCATGGAAAAATGGAAAGGGATGAACCAAAAATAAACAGATTTGTCTTTGGAATACAGAGGCATGCACTTCTACTCACTCTTTTGGGGAGCATTTATTAACACTACTATGACCAGCTCCAAAGTGGCCTCTGTTCCATGCCTTGTGTTAACTCACTGTGGAGTGACTGGTTGGGAAGAAGAGGGCCTGGAAAACTTGCCAACACTGCCTTTTCTAAAATATGGATAAGGTGTATCATGTACAAGAATATACATGGAAGCCATCTCTGTCCTAAGGACTCACCCACCTGTCTCCATTAGTCAAAGATCAGAGCACTGGATTTTGGCCAGGGCAGGTGATATGCATTTAGCAGAGGGAAGACAGATCCAGAGCACTAGCAACCTTGAGGCTGAAGAAGATTTTATTGTCATCTCTGAAATTCCTGCTGAGCAACAGAAGTTGTTTACCTTTGGTGAATCTCAGTGTTGCTTCAGAAAAGTCCACTTCTTTGTAATTGAATCCAGCAGCTGCCCCAAGTTTTTCTGCCATTTGAAGTTTGTGCTGGGATCCAGCTGTGACCAGCGGAATAGCTCCTGCCATCCGGACAAGCTGGATGGCAGCCGTGCCCACACCACTCAATCCTGCATGGATCAGCACAGACTCTCCAGCCTGAACATTTCCTGTGACAGAAAGCATTGGAACCATTCTTTTTTTTTTTTTTTTAAAGAGGCATGTTTTATTTATTTATTTATTTATTTATTTATTTATTTGTTTATTTATTTATTTTTTTATACATGGGTGAGAGAATTCACCAGAGCCAGAGCGGGGAGCAGAGCAGGCAGAAGGACCGAAGGACACTGCTGAGGGGAGCAGCGGGCGGCAGGAGAGGTCTGCACGCCATGTGGGACCCTCCTCCGGTGGCCGGGGAGCAGCCGGGGATCGAACCGGCGCCGCGGAGGCTACGGGCAGCTTCGCAACCCAGCGCTCAACCGCTGCAACACTGGGGAGGCCCCCTGGAACCATTCTTTACTTTGCGACTGCTACACATTCCCCACACAGGCATATTCTACCACTAGCGCCTGGCCCTGGCACCAGCAAATGTCAAATCCCTTGCTTTCAGAGACCACATTGACAATTTGTTTTGTCTTATTGTCTCTGGTCAAAGTGGGAAGCCTTTTGAAACAGTTATTAGCAGTCAGATCCATATAATCTCTATTTAATCTGTGAAATAATACCAGAATGTATATCTCTGAACTATACCTGAATAAGTAAGATTAGCCACCATTCCATCTGTCACCACCTGGAGCCAGTCCCTGTTCACTCCAAAACTAGCCTCCACTTGGTCACACTGATCCAGGAACCCCACACAACCCAGGATCTTTCTAAAATGAGCTTTCCTGATGTATTTTCTCCTCAAAATGTAAAGTGGTTCTCAGTTGGCTTTTGCATCAAGTTCAGACAAGCTGCCATTCAAGATCACCATCATCTAGTCCCAGCCTCATCTCTTCACAAATGATAGTCATTGTGCTTCATAATAGAGAACCAACCTCACTGGGACACTTTCTAAAACCACCCTAGCATTCTTCTATCTGTCACCCTTCTCTTCCAAAGAGTTTCTGACCACCACACCAACTTTCCCTATCATGAGCTTCTGTTGCAATAGAGATGGCCATCCTCCCACTGCAGTGGTTGTCTTCATTCTTATACATGTGTGGTCTTCCTGATTACATTGAGCTCCCCAAAGGCAGGGGACAGTCTTCTTAGGCTCCCTTATGTGAGTTCTTGGCTAGTCTTGGTGGGATTGGGGAGTCAACTAAATTGCCCCTTCTAGAAGCTGCATTAGGGATTCGAGAGAGAAGCTCAGCATGAGTATGAGAAGCTGGGGCTACTGCTGGCTATATGTATGAAGATGTGCACAGGTATTCTGTTAACTCTGAGTTTCAGCCTCAACATCGAGCCATTACTAATGTGGTATAAGGATCTGATAATACTGATGGCACAGCTGGGTGGCAGATGGGTCTGGATGTAGGTTGGGCTAAAGTTGCCACGGGGCATGGTTTGGAGGTGGCTGAGTCAGGACGGAATTGAGCCAGGGTGTATAGAGTGTATAGAGTAAACAAGGAGAGGGAGAATGGGGGAAGGGGAGAGGGTCCCTTACCCAGTAGATGTAATAGCTGGAAGGCAGTGAGCCAGGCCTCCGGAATGGCTGCAGCCTGGGACAAGGACAGTCCCTCTGGGATGGGCATGAGGAGCCCTTCAGGGACGGTAACATACTGAGCCTGGCCCCCACCGGACAGCAGAGCCATGGCTGGGTCCCCAATCTTCCAGTGGCCCTGGCAGCCAGGCCCCAGCTCTGCCACGTGCCCAGATGCCTCGAGTCCCAAAATGCTGCTGGCTCCTGGGGGTGGGGCATACTGGCCTTGTCTCTGCAGAGAGAGGAGCACACCAAATGGTGAGCAGGATCACAAATCTGTGGCACCATCTCTGGTCCTCTTCCAATAGCTCCTCTTTTTTTCAGACAGAAAATTCAGGATAAAGACAGGTTTTGTAAGTCAGAGAAGAGAAAGGAGAGGTAATTTATTTTATGCAGATATGCGCTATGTCACATAATTAGGGTATGTCACAACTGGTAGGGTCCTTTGGCTATCTCCCTTAAGGCCCTAGGATTGCAAATGGGGAAACTGAGGCCTGGGCAAGGAAATCCTTGTCCAAGATTGCAAAGCAGGACCAGGAAGCCTGCTGAAACTCTGGATTCCTTAAGGATAGTTCCAATTTATCAGGCACCAGTTTCTGTGCTTACCCAGCTATTCTCAGAAGGCTCTGACTAGAGGTTTTAGACCAGAGGGGATGAGCTAGGAGTGTGCAGCAGAACCCTTTGAAGGGATTTTTCAAAATACACATGCCTATGTCCCTGCCTGTTCATTTTTTAAGAGTGTCCCAGGTGATTCTGGTGCACATTTCTCAATTACACCAATGCAGCTGGCCCAGTGTACCACTTCACAAGGCAGAGGAGCTTAGAGCACTGCCCCCTGCTGTTCTGGGACCCTCACAGGAAAAAGTGCAAACTTTGGAGCCACCAAGACTTCAGTTTGAATCTCAACTCCTCTTATGTTGTGGCCTGGTGGTCCTGCTTAACAGGTCTGACCCACACACAGTTCCTTCTCTAGAACACAAACGGTGACCTGAGGAGTAGACGGAGCAAGGACACCCACGCCCACACCACCCACCCTCCTCAACAAATGGTAGCGCTCTCTACTTGTCTGGAAGCCTGCGCTGACTACAGATGGACAGGGGGCAGATTCTGCTTTGTAAACAGTCCCCTATTTTGTGCACACAAGGAGATTAAGTGGTTCCATGTTGCAGAAGCTCCAGCACGCCTTCATCTCTCTGGCGAAGGCTTATTGGAGGCCCTGGGCTCCTGCCCTGCCCGCGCCGGTGTCGGATGCCCGGTACCTGCAGCAGGTCCGCCCGGTTCAGGGCGCTGGCCACCACCTTCAGGAGGACTTCGCCCTCTCCCGGGCTCGGCTTGGGCACCTTCTTCAGGTGAAGGTTTTCTGGCCCTCCGGGCGGGTCGAAGTGCACCGCTAGCATGTTCTCTGCGGACACGTGGGCGAGCTCGGGCTTCCTCTCCGCGCCCCGCCGGCCCGGCCCCCGTGCTGGCGCCCCGCCCCCGCTTCCGCAGCCGCCGCGCCGCGCGGAGGGGCGGGTGTCCGCGTCGGGGTGAAGGTGCCGAGCAGGTGGAGGTCGGCCGGCGGCGGCAGGTCCCCGGCGCTCGAGTGGGACTCGCCCTCCCGACCCGCCGGCGTGAGAGACCCACTGGCTCCGGCCGCCCCCCGGCGCGGCGCCCTGCGGACTCCCGGGCCCTCGGGGGCCCATCCGGGCCGGGCGCCTCGCTCGGGGCGCGGGAGGGGTCGCCGGCCGGCCGCGCAGGGTGGGGCTGCCCCGCCCGCCCCCCTCCGGCGGCCTCGGAGCGCGAAGCCGGCCCCGGCACGTCGGCTTCTCCCGTCCTGGGAGCTCCCGAAGCCGGTGTCCCTCGGCGCGGCGGGGGCGCGAGGTCCCGCTCCAGGGGCCCCCCAGCTCCCGGCGGGCGCCCCCCTCCCGGCGTCGGCCCCGCGCCCCGCGCCCCGCGGCCGGGCTGAGCGCGGGGACCCGCGCCGCGCCCCCGGGTTCCTGGGGGCGGGGAGCGTCCCCCGGAAGAGGCGCCCGGGCAATGTGCAGGTCGTAGAGCCCACCGGGCCTCTCCCCTCGCACGGGTGCGGCAGTGTGGACAGACGACTCCCGCGAAGACCGTCCTGGGGGATGTTCAGCCGCATCTCTGGCCTTTACTGTTCGATACCCGCAGCCCGCGACAGCAAAGTCTCCAGACACCGCCGGGCTGGACTGCCCTGCCGGGGAGTCGCCGGGTGGAAGACCCCCCCCGCGCCCGCGCGCACCCGGGGCAGGTGACCTCTCCTCGCGGTCCTCGCTTGGGCGTCCTCGCCCTTCACGGAAAAGGAACTTTCCCTTCAGTGTGAGGAGCGGCGGGGACCCCGCGGTGGTGACGGCCCCTGGTTATGTGACCAGAGCGCGGCCGCCTGAAGCGCGCCCCCTGGAGGGGCTTCCACGCCGAGGAAGGCGCGGCGGAGCCGGACGCTCACGGGCGTCTGCAGGGCTCCGGGGGGCGGGCGACGCCGCGGCTCCGCGCAGGGGACGGCGAGCAGCCCTGGGCGAATCCAGCGAGCTCCAGGGAGCCGAGGCTCGAGACTGCAAGCCCGGGCGCGGCGGGGGGCGGCGGGGCGCGGCGGGGGGAGACCCAGCCGGGAGCGGGCGGGCCCTGGTTTCCGTTTCTTCCGGGCGTTGGTCTGCGGAGAAAGGTCTGCAGGGGGCGCCGCGAGCCCCAGGGAGGCGAGGACCCTGGCCTGGGCGGGGGTGGCAGCAGGAGTGATGCGGAGGAGACCAAGCGGATCTGCCTAGCGTGGGGCAGATGAGGAAAGGGATGCAGGGGCGGAGAGAGGAAGGGAGTAAATTCCAGGGGGTTGGCTGGAGCAGCTTACTGGCAGCTATTCTATTTTTCTCATCTCTGAAATGGAGACAAAAGTACCCATCTCTTTGGTCCCTGGGAGGGTGCAGTGGAAGAGTCCGCTTAGCACAGCGCCGGGCACACAGTGGGCCCTCAACAAACTGCACTTTCCTTCCTTGCAGGTGCGGCTCTCCAGCGGGCGTGGAAGGTGCCCCCGGCCGGCTCAGGGAGGGAAGATCCTCTCCTGAGTCTGACATAGAGCCTGAGAGCCCCTGGCTCAGCGCCCACCCATCCTCCCCATCTCCCATCCCCTCCCATCCCCCCTCCCTCGCCCCTACCGGCCAGCACCTTCAGGAGGACTTACCCCTCTCCCGGCTGGGCTTGGGCACCTCCTTTATGTAAAGGTTTTCTGGTCCTCCCGGCTGGTCAAAGTGCGCCTTACATCTTATCTGAGGACACAGGGGTTGAGCAATAGAGGAAAGAAATGAAAAGTGGCTCACAGAAAGGAACCCCCTTCCCCAAATCAGGATCACCAGGGACCATGGGCCTCCACCAGCCCGTTGCTCACTCCAGGCCCCTCTCAACTCTCAGTGTCAGGCTGTTCTATCTAAATCCCCGACGTGGGTAAAGAGGGACTGGTGAGCTGGCTTGGAATGAAAGAAACAGATTCAAGTCTTGGGCAAGACTGGAGCAGAAACATTCTATAATGTGCGGGGTCCAGGGAAGAGTAGGGCTCTGTGATATTCCCTGTCCAGGGAGAGTTAGGCTTTCCAGGGTCTTGAGGGGTGGAGGTGGGGGGGGAGGGGTGAGGCCCCGGAAGGCCAAGCCAAGGAGGAAGGACAGGGCATACTTGGAGCCATCCCCCTTGGGAGTCTCTCAGTGAGAACTGGGATGGCTGGGCCTCACCTCCTGCCTCAGGTGCAACCTGCCACTGCAGGCCCCACTCTGGGAGTGACTTTTTTATGTTCTGAGAGGAAGGGATCTACAGGCCCTTGCCTGTGATGTGGGTGTATTATGTGTTTGTTCATTTAAGAAAAATATTATCCAAGCAGTCTCATAATGTTCATTGCGTAGGTTTGGTCCTTGAGGGAAACAACCCCTCCTCCGGCCCCAACCCTAGGCGTGAGTGACCCGTTTTCTTCCTTGCACCAAGGGCAGACGGTGTGGGGGGTGCTGTGCAGCTGTGGGAACCCTGGTTGCTGGTCCCGGCTCCTGCCCTAAACAGAGATAATCATGTTTGGAAATCACGCATGAGCATATTGCGCCCCGCTCTGTGCCAGCCCTGTGGTGGGCAGAGGAGGGGCAGCATGGACTTTGGAAAGGATGGAGGTGAGGGACAGGAGCCCCCAAAGCACCTCTGGGAGGACCCTAAAGACGATGGGTGTCTGTTAGGGAGAGTCCTCAGGTTGGGGGACATGGATGTGCTTATGCTCACAGGAGCCTCAGCACCCCACAGAGGCAAGCAGGTTAAAAGACCCCGTTTCAGATGGGAAAACTGAGATTCTGAGAGGTAAATGCCTTGTCTGAGATCACAGAGCTGGCCCTGGGGCTCCTGAGTTAGGATCCAAAGGAGAGCCTGTCTCCTTATCACTCCCACCTGAAGCCTTCAGGGTAGGACACTGGGGAAGAGCTGAGCCTCACTGCAGAAGGCGGGCTGCTGCAGAATGGTCAGGGAGCATGAGGTTTCCCTTGTGCCATATAGATTTTCTCCATCTCTGGGTGCACTGACATCAGCTAATAGGTGTGCTGGAAACCCAACAAAATAGGTTGCCTTTCTTAAAACAGCATCTGCTACTCTGATTCAATTTCTGTCAAGATCCAAATTTGGGGTTAGGTCATAATTTTCAGATGCCTTATGGCAGTGGCAGTATTCAGTTCCTGGAATCACTGGCCTCTGAAGGATCTCCCCAAAGCTCCACATTTTAGCAGAACAAACAAGATCTTCTGTGTTAGGAGTGGGGTGGAAGCATGTGTCCCTGAAGCCCTACCAATCTGAGGGTGCATTTGTTGTTGCTTATCCTGAAAGTCAAATGCAGGTGGGAGATAATCCATTCCAGATGTCCAGTGGGCTCCCAGCACCCCTCTCCCCAAGGGTTCTGTGCTCAGTTCTGCTGATTCACCTTGAGACAGCAGCTTCCCTGGTGACCAAGCCCAAGCTTGGGCTGCACATAGCTCAGTGGTGACTCATGGTTCTAGAACAGCATGAGGTCAGAAGGTTTATGCTGAGGAGATGGGGGCATTCCACCTCTGGGTACCATACCAGCTTCCATACCTACAGAATTTTCTCTGGGCAATTCCTCCCCTCTCTCTGTGGGTGCAAAATCCTGAGGCTGGTGGTACAGATCTTAGGAGCAGGGGTTTAGAAGGCTCAGGAGGAAGGGCTTGGAGTCAGCCTTGTCCACCCCTGTCCTCAGAGGGCTGCCTATTTGGCCACCTGCCCCCACTGTCTCCTGGGCACCCATCTGCATGGCTCAGGACCCAAGACACTTTTTTCTTACTCTAGGCAATCGTTTTATTCTCAATTGACAAAGTATTTTCAAATACTATTTGTCCCCTTCACATTTTAAAATTGTTATCTAAAATATTTCATCTTAAATGTAAGAATTATTTCTGGCCATAAATACTGATATTTTATACTCTTACACCAGTCATTTAAATGTATCAGGTGGAATCCAGATTTCAGAGCAATTTAATAAGTATAATCATCCACAAAAATATACAAATTTTATTTTAACAGTTGGAAGCTTTTAAATTTCATTTTTTTTCTTCTTAGTACTCATGTTTTCATTCTGCATTTCTCATAGAATGATATCCTTTAGATCTTCAGTCTAACGCTCTCCCAACTGAGCTATTTCGGCCGCTTAGAATGATATCCTACCATATTTTATGCTTATTGATCATTCTCATCTGCAGCAAAAATAAATATTAACTGACATTAATTAAAAAAAATTATTTCCTGTGGTCACAGGGCTCTAAAAGTTAAATTTCTTCTGGATTTAATTATCATTACAATATTTTTAGTCCACAATTGATTTAAAAAACATTATTTAAAATAAAATTTTATATTAAAGTATTTTGAATATTAATATTGAACATAAAAAGTAAAATTTTATTGGAAAGACATTTCTTTTTTTTTTTTTAAGATTTATTTATTTATACAAGCACTGGGTACAGTCAGAAGCGCGGGAGGGTGAGAATTCACCAGGGCCAGAGCGGGGAGCAGAACAGGCAGAAGGACCGAAGTACACTGCTGAGGGGAGCAGCAGGCGGCAGGAGAGATCTGCGCCCCATGTGGGACCCTCCTCCGGTGGCCAGGGAGCAGCTGGGGATTGAACCTGCAGCCGGGGATTGAACCTGCGCTGCAGAGGCCGAGGGCAGCCTCGCAACCCAGCGCTCAACCACTGCGCCACCGGGGAGGCCCGGAAAGACATTTCTTAATGTTGTTGATGAAACTGAATTTTTCCAAAAAATTATATCAGTGGATGAATATTATTTACTGCTAGAATGAGACTGACCTCAACATTCTCTTCCCATTTTTCATTTTTATAAATAAGCTCTGAGAAATCTAATTTGCATAAATCAGATGAGAAAGAAAAAATTTCATTATAGGAATGTCAGCCAATTTTTTGCACTGAGTTATATGATAAAAACCATATAATGATCTATCATCAAAAAAATCATTTTCAATGCTCTATTAGCTCACAACTTATTTAAATAGGTCTTCCTTCAATCTTGTAGAAAGCAAAGAGTTAGAAACCACTCAACCTATAAAGAATTTGTTATCCAGTCATAAGAGTGATTCAGGTTCTCAGCTTCTGGGATTATTCCAGCAAAGCTTTGTGAAGATTTGCCAAATGAGTATTAATTATATCTGCTATTTTTTCACTTAGAGTCACCTTGTTTAAATTGATGTACTCAGCAAATATTTGGAAAGTACAAATGTTTAAATATATTTGGTTAAGACAATTTGGGGGGATCAAATCCACTTACTTTATCTAGTGCTTTAAATATATTTTCATAAACATCTTGGAGCTGCAGACTTAACTCATTTATGAAGTCATCTGTGGTATTCTTGCTGGCAAAGCCAGCCTATGTTGTTAAACTAATCAACCTCATGAAATTACTTTGTCAGAAAGGTTTTCTCATTTTTCAATTCGAATAATCATGTTAATAGGTGTCCTTGCGGCAACTCTCTATATAGATAGACATGGATCCTCTTCTCTTGGAAGAATTACGATACAAATTTTTCACTATTTCTCACTGATGCTTTTTGCTTTATTCTCATGGCACAACCCATCACACATGATGCGTTTTTTGACAATAGAGGATGGGAGAGTTCAGCACATTTGAAAATTATCTGGAGTTTTCCTTTCCTTTGCACTCACAGTTCTTATACTCCAAGTCAAGCAATACAGCAAGACTGCAGCTGAATGATAGGATGCCTTTCTTTTGTATACTGGGGGAAGGAGCTTGGAAGGGGAGGCATGAATGTAGAATGGCATGACTCTTCAATCAGAGCAGATCAGTTTTAGGAAAATACATGAAATGTGTATGGAAATGAAAATGAATAGGAAAAATGGAAAAAATGAAATAGAAATGGGAAAAAATGGAAATGAAATGAATGGGGAAAAGTGAATCATTAAATTTACTCATGCCTGTGTGACCCCGCTAAAGTGTGTGAACCACCAGAACACAAATTTCCTTAGTTTGGAGATCACATGCTCTCTGTGAACCTCCACGGGTTCCTCGGAGCTACCACCCAAAGGTCGCTTCTGTGGCTTTTTCTGAGTAACTGAGCCCAATTAGAAATTTGTCATGAGAATCACAGGAAACAATTGGAATGTCCTACACAGGAAGGCTCCAGATAGTGAGGCATTTGCCTGGAGGAGGTTTATGGAAAAGGCTCCCAGCAGGTCTCCAGCAGTGGGTGTGTCTAGAAAAGGCTGGTTGGGCATCTGGTGAGCAGCAAGAGACTTCATGGTGCCTTCAGAAGCTTAGAGATCACTGTTGTCCAGGCCAGATCTTTTTTTTTTTTTTTTTTTTTTAAAGATTTATTTATTTATTTATACAAGCACTGGGTAACAGTCAGAAGCGCGGGAGGGTGAGAGAATTCACCAGAGCCAGAGCAGGGAGCAGAGCAGGCAGAAGGACCGAAGTACACTGCTGAGGGGAGCAGCGGGCGGCTGGAGAGGTCTGCGCACCATGTGGGACCCTCCTCCGGTGGCCGGGGAGCAGCCGGGGATCGAACCGGCGCCGCAGAGGCCGCAGGCAGCTTCGCAACCCAGCGCTCAACCGCTGCGCCACTGGGGAGGCCCCAGGCCAGATCTTCTAACTTGTGGGTGTGAAACCTCAGTTTGTTAGCATAGGGAGAATGGGAGTGCAATTGACATAACTGAGTCATAAAATCCAGGTGTCAATATGCTGATTTACAAGGAGCCATCATTGGCATGAGAACTGACCTTAATCATTTATAGGTAGATCTACATGGAAAACCAAATGGTAAGCCAGGACTGAGGACAAGATGGGATGATTGTGATTAACTCAGTAGTTAATCTTCAGTCTGGCTGAGATAGTAAGATATACCCATTTCCACAGCAGGGACTTTAAGGCCAGATATGGTATAGTAAAAACATATTTTGTCTTTGGTTCCTGACAGAGCTCTTAAAATTCTTGGTATTTCTTGAGAGAGAGGAGTGTCTTTTGTTATTCATGTTAATGACATGCCTCCTGGTGGGGAATGGGGGGCTAAAGAGCTTCAGGATTGGGGCTGGCCACCAGAGGAACCAACCAGGTGCTTTGAGGGTTGGAACTTTCAGCCTCAACTCCTGAGGTCTGTGGAGGGAAGAGGAAATGGAGATTGAATTCAATCAGTAGGTGGGTAATTTAATCAATTATGTATTCTAATGAACTCCTATATAAACTCCCTGAAACAATAAGGTTTAGGGGGCTATACAGTCAGTGAACACACTGATGTGCTAGGAGGGTGGTCTGCCAGAAAATGCCTGGTTGCTCTGTGACCCTGTCCACCCATTCTAATACCCTGCCTTCCACTGTACTCTTGCTGAGTTGGAGCCTTCATAATAAAACTGTAATCATACATATAGTACTTTCTTGACTTTTGCATCATTTTAGCAAATTATCAAACCTGAGGTAGATTTAAGAGAATTCCAAGTTTGTAGCCAAGACAGACAGATGTGTGGGCATTGCAGAGACCCAGAAGTTATGGCTGGCATTTTAAGTGAAAGGAGTCTTACTGAAACTGGGTGAAACCGAGGGGTGCTCAGGGACCCCAAACTGTTAAGGGAAAACCCCCATTTTGCCTCTTTTAAAAAGGTCCAGCCACCCACAGGCACAAACGAAAGTGATCACTCTAGTGTGCTCAAAGATCTTTAACTGGGGAGAGGTTCCCAGGGAAAAGAGGGGTAGGGGAGAGGCTGCCAGTCAAACTCTGAAATCGACCCTCCCCAAACAGGCAAATGCCTCCTTGATCCCAGAGGTGAGCAGCCAGAAGAATGAGTTTTCTCCTGGCTGGGAAAAACAAGCACTAGGTTGGGTAGGACTCAGGATGCTGGGAGAGGAGAAACCTGAAATTCACACCATGCCTTCAAAGCTGGAGAATCCGCCAGGTCAAGATGACAGCTGCCATTGTCTTTGAAGAGCCCACCTGTCCACATGGCTTCAGTCCTTCCCCAAGTTCAACCTCCAAATAACTCCTCATTCCTTTCTAGCAGCCTCCTTTCAGGAAGTCCAGTTCATGGACATGCTGGGAGTTGTACTCCATGCCATCTGAGATGTCAATGGCATGAACATGGGGCCAGGGAAAATGGCACCCATTCCTGTGTCACAGTGAAATCCTTAATTTCTAAACCCTATTGTCCTGATTATTACCCAAGAGGAGCTAAACCCTTTTGTGGGGAAGCTTGCATTCACTGGCCATAATAAGTTGTGTGGACCAGGAAGAAGTGAGGGAGACACAGTCAGAAATCTTGGAGGCCAATGACTGACACTTAAAAAAAAAAAAGAACAAGTAAAGTTGATTAAATTATAAGAAGACGATTTCTTAAAATAAGGAAAATTGTTCCCTTAATTCATTCATATCTTTTCAATATTTCTTCTCAGTGTTTTTCAACCACAAAATAAGGCATTACTTTATCTTTAGGATCTATAGTTTTCCTCTAAAAATAATAAAATTTGCCTTTCATAGTCCTCTGATGACTCAATTTCCTTTTCTTCTCAGATATTCTCCTGGAAGAAAATATAGCATGGTTATAATTTATGAGCAGTAAATTACTGTTCATGAATGAATGATATCATTCATTCCACAAATGCTGGTGACAGCTACCATTTGCTAGGCACCATGCTAGAAACAAGAGATATAAGGATGGCCAGATAGTTCTGACCCAGTTATGCTTTCAGAGTCTAGGTGGAGAGACAGATCAATTATGCTCCTAGAATCTTTCATAATAAAACAATTCTGGGCCTCCCTGGTGGCGCAGTGGTTGAGCGCTGGGTTGCGAAGCTGCCCGCAGCCTCTGCAGCACCAGTTCGATCCCCGGCTGCTCCCCGGCCTCGGGAGGAGGGTCCCACATGGCGCGCAGACCTCTCCTGCTGCCCGCTGCTCCCCTCAGCAGTGTACTTCGGTCCTTCTGTCTGCTCTGGCTCTTGTGAATTCTCTCACCCTCCCCCGCTTCTGACTGTACCCAGTGTTTGTAAAAATAAATAAATAAATCTTTAAAAAAATAAAAATAAAAATAAAACAATTCTAACTAGTCATAATTCCTCATTTTCCAAATTTTCTGTAATGATCAGGTGTAATTTTTGAGAGAAGGTAATTAAAACAAGGAAATGGAAGTAAATAATGAGACAAGTAATTAGCTCCTGAGTAGTTATCAGCATGCTTCATCCTCATAAGCATCCAACCACTTCCAAGACGCCTATCCCTTCTCAAAGCAGTGGGAATTTTGGAATGATGTCACCTCTGTCCTTCTAACTAGTAACATTATTTGAAGTCTTTTGTGTCCTAGCAAGACTCCCAAACTTTAGTGCCAGTCACAGAACCTACATTAAAGTGGCCTGGCCAACTTCTCTGGTTCTCTCCACAGGAGATATGGAGCATTAGCCCTGGGTGCTAGCTGCCAGCAGTCCGGGCTGTTGACAATCTAATTGTCTATTTCCCCAGCCTTACTTCCGGATAACTTTAACTAGATAATTAGAGACAATCTACATGTCTCTGTTCTGCCTTCTGAATGCCCTACCTTACTGAAATGATCTCTTTCAAATTCTTCTCAAAAAGATGGTTTTAATTGTCAACATAAGGAGGTCATCCTGAGTTGTGTCCTGCACTGACGCAGTCCAGTTTATTCTAGAGCACCTCACTGCCAACTGTGTTGCATGGTTTGTGATAATCCATACCAGGGAACTGTGACAACTGGGAAGGTCTGTAAATGTATCCATTTGTGTGTGCTTGTACTGTTGCTGTGGTGGTACTTCATGGAACAAACCCAGTCTTCTTAGGAGAGATTAGTAATGAGTTATAGCCTTGTGCCAGTCCCTGGAATCCATTTTCCTCTGGCTTAGCTGCATTCCATCCTTCCAGTGGTTGTGTAAGTAACCCTATTGTCCTTCTCCAGAACTCCCCTTTCTGCCCTAGTTGCTTTGAATTGGGTCTTTGTGGCTTTCAGTGAGAAGACTTGACTACCATAAAGAATGAAGACAGGCACCAGGAGACAAACTTACCCAACTTCTCTGTGGCTTCCACACAGACACTAGGAAACATCCCCTCAGTGTAAGTTGCTACCAGAAGATACAGATTGGTCTTCACAACAATCACACCAGTGTTCTCCTGGATAAGAACAAAACAGAGTGCCCTTCTCATGTTCTAATACAGGACTGGCAGTTATGATGCAGTCTCATAGTCTACTTAATTTTCTGACTTCCATATATTTATATATTTGTTTTTGGACACTGCCCTTTTTATTTGTTTTGTTTTTGGACTCTACCCTTTTTACTCATGTTCCCTCAGAAAGTTTTGAATTGTTGTTAACAACACCCTGTGTATTTCCCAAACGTTACCTGAAGGATTGTAATACATTCCCTATTTGAATGTAAACAATGGATGTGATGCAATTTAGTAATGGAGTTTAGTGTGAACACATTTGTGAATCCGATAGACTAGGCTGGAAACCCAACATTCCATATCTGCTGAATGACTACGGAAGAGTTATTTCACCTTGTAAGCCTCAGTGTCCTCATCTGTAAAATGAGGCTACTTATTTATGATGGGGATGAAGTATGTCTAGCCCATAATTTAGGGTATCCAGTAAATGTGAATTTGAACTCTTTATTAATTTCTTATAAGCCACAAAAAGAGATCTTTTGGAGGAGGAGAACATAGACTATGGAGGATGAATGTAGTGGAGAGAAACAGCTCAGGCAAGGTTCAGTTGATAGCTTTGATAATGAAAGATTTTCAAAACCAGACCCTATGCCTTCCTGCTGCTGACTGTCTCTAACACTGCACAAATGGCCTCAGCTTGTTTTATAGATAGTTCAGGAAGGGCACAGATTGGAGTCAAATTATTATAGTTTTAACCAGCTCGCTTCAAATCTTGAACACTTACATTCTTAGCATAAAGAGAATAATCATCTGCTCGGACACATTTGTAATCCTGTTCCTTGAAATACAACCCTTGTCTTCGGGCTTGCAAAGGGTTCTTGGCGAATCCATTCACAAGCGTCCGGACATCACCAGGCATTACCTAAGGAGATTGAATAGACTAGGATTTGGCAAATTAAGGCAGGCAGTCACATTTGCCTGTTTTTGTAGACCTGCAAATTAAGAATAGTTTTTATATTTTTAAGTGGGGGGGGAATAATATTTTGTGAAATGTGAAAATTATATGAAATCCAAATTTGTGTCCACAAATAAAGTTTTATTGGGTAAGTCACAACCCTTCTTTTATGTGTTGTGAAATGGCTGCTCTCCCATCACAACAGCAGAGTAGTTGTGACAGGCATCATATGATCCAGAAACCGAAAATATCGACAGAAAGAGTTCAGTTAAAACTCTTAGGCCCAAACTCGCTTATTCTTACATTAAATCCAGGTGATGCTACACATAGGGACCGCTCGTGGAGTTTGATGAGGGCTGCATTGTCCACATGCTTTGTCCCTAGGAGGGTATCTAACAGCAAATTCTGCAAGTGACTCATGCTCCCTCAGATCTGAAAAAGGGAACCACAGTTGAAATGATTTGCTGTGGCCAGCCTTTGAAAGGTCTCAATACAATTGTCCCTAGGGTACTCTGGACATCCCCCTGCATACTTTGAAAAGATGAAGAATAAAAATGGTGGTCACTCCTCCAGTGTCCACCAATACTCAAAGAGAAAAACAGAATCATAGAAAATCACAGTCGACACCAAGCAGGTTATACAGAGAACATGGAAACACAGACTCATAATTGTCAGTCAGTGGTGTGAGCATCAATCGCGGTTAAAAAACAAAATTAAAAAAAGCCCTGCTGGGATTGGAAAACCACCAAGCCGACCGGCATCAACCCAACTGTGGACACCAACTATCAACTGCCCAATTTCGTCCAAGGGCACTAAAAACCCCTTTTAGGACACTTAAAACCACATTTTCCCCACAAGTACTCGACTTCTAGGGTTGTGCTCATCGGGGCCACCTCCACAAGCTCCTTCCTCGGGGCGGCGCGCGGACACCCCTTTCCCGCCATTTTGGCTTGGCCCACGGGGCGTTCGGGCCCCGCGGCGGGACTGCGGGCGAGGACGGGGTTAACGCCCCGTCCTGATGGCTGGAGGGACGCGCAGGCGGCTCACGGGGCTTGGAGCAGCAGCGAGGCCCAGACCCGACGGAGACCCCGAGACCCGCACAGGGGCCCCGACTCAGGCTAGGCACCGCGAGCGCCGGCCGCCCGTCCACGGGCGAGGAGGGCGGGGCGGAAGGCGGACGCGCCCGGCTATTGGCCGCGACGACTGCCCGTCACCGAAAGGCAGGCCGCGGCTCCTCGACCGGCCAACGGCGCCGCCTCTGTGTCCTTCCCCGCCCGCCGAGGCCGCGGCACTGGCGGCGCTGGGTTCAGGGGCCCGGCGGGCGCGGCCCCGCGAACTCGGGGTCTCCCGCCTGCCCCCGCGCGCGGACTCGTTTTCGTCCGCCGCGGCGGAGGCGCCGTAGGGGGCTGAGGCCGAAGACACTGGACGCGAACGCGCTCGCGTTCCGAGGGCCCCGCCGGCCGCGGGCGCTGTCGGGAGCCGCGGGAGCTGAGGTGCCCGCGCGGCCTGCACCCCGCCGCCTGCCCGCGCGAGCCGCGCGCCCCTCCGGGGGCGGGGGGCTGGGGCGCGGGGGCTGAGAGCGGACGGCGGGTGCCAGCCCTGAGGCGACTCCTCGCCCAGCCCCGGCCCTTGGGGAGGGCTGTGGGCCCGAGCGGGGGAACTGGCGCGTTTTGCCCGAAAGCCCCTCCCTCGCTGCACCCCGCCCCTCCCTGGCTGCACCCCGCCCTTTCGGGCTGCGCCCCGCCCCTCCCTGGCTGCGCCCCGCCCTCCCTGGCTGCACCCCGCCCTCCCTGGCTGCACCCCGCCCTCCCTGGCTGCACCCCGCCCCTCGCGCGCGCAGGTCTGGAAACCGCAAACCCAGCGCCTCCAGACAGGCTGATCATTGTCGCGCCCCTCGGCGGGCCTGTATCGTGGGCGGTCGTGCAAGTCCTGGGGCGAGGGGGGTGCGGAGGGGGCCGCCCCCCTTGGGCGGGCTCTGAAGGCAGCAGCAAAGCCTGTGGCGGGGGCCTGCTGCTAGGGGAAACCTGCGTGGCTGGTGTTCTGGGTCGGAACCGCGCCTGTTCATGGTTACAAACCATGATCATTGATTAAACAGAAAGGAAAATAAGATTATTGTGAGGTTTCCTTACTAAGAAAGCTAATTTTTTAGTTTTTCTAGGGACTCTGTTATTTGTGACTACAATGGAAAACTTAGACAGTGATGATCTGGTAACTGACAAACTGCTCAAGCCCAAAAGCTCAAAAGAATGGTTGGAGCCACAGCCAGTTTCTTTTATGGAGGTATAATAATTTGGCATTTTCAATTTTCTACTTGCATTGAGAAGTGGCTTCTGCTAAGTATCTTTTTCTATGTGGTCTATTTTATTCTGGTCTTTATTGTGTCTTCCTTTCTCCTTTGTGTTTGCACTCCATTTTCTGTCTTCTTAAGCTCAGTGCTAACATTAGCTTTTCTAATATAACAAAATCAAGTTTCTCAAGTACTGCTTTAGTTGCACCAGCTTTATGCAGGTATGCCTCATATACAATAAACTGCGTGCATTTAAAGTGTACAGTTTGATAAATTTTAACTTGTAGTCACACATGAAATCACCATAACCAAGATAGTGAATATCCAATACTTGGATTTTCCTCGTGTGTCCCATTGTAATTCCTCCCTCTGCCTGCCCACCCCCCATTTGGTTTCTATTACTATAATTAATTTTGCGTTCAAAATTTTGTATACAAATGTAATCTCACAGCATGTATTATTTTTGTCTGGCTTCTTTCACTCAGCATAATTATTGTGCTATTCTTTCATGTTGTTGCCTGTATCCATACTTCCTTCCTTTTCTTCCCTAAATGTTTTATACCCCAGTTTGTCCATCCTGTTGATGAACATTTGGATTGTTTTCAATTTTTAGCTATTAAAATAAAGCTGTTAGGAACATTCACTCACAATTCTTTGTGTGGACATATGCTTCCATTTCTCTAATTCCCATTCTAATTGTAGAATGGGTGGGTCATTATGGTACATGAATTTAACTTTTGATGAAACTGCCAAAGTGATTATGTTATTTTACATTTCTACTAGCAGTATTTGAGAGTTTCAGTTATTTCCCTCCCATACCAGCCAATTTTTTGGGTGTGTGTGCCCAGTCCTTAAATCTGAGATATCGTAACAGATTTATAGTGGCATCTCATTGTAGTTTTAAGTTGTATTTCCCGAATGACAAGTGATGTTGAACATCTTTTGTCTTTCATTTTATTTAATTTATCTTTCGTGGTGAAGTATTTGTTCAAATATTTTGTCTGTATTTTAGTTGGGATGTTTGTTATCATTGAGCTTTTATTATTGAGATACAATACTCATACCATAAAATTCACTGAAGTGTACAATTCAGTGTTTTTTGGTATATGCACAGGGTTGTGCATTTATCACTACTATCTAATTCCAAAATACTCATTACTCTGAAAGAAATCCCATACTCTTTTGCAGTCACGCCCCGATTTCCTTAATTCCCTGTGGTAACCACTAATCTACTTTCTCTCAGATTTGTCTATTCTGGACAATTTACACAAATAAAATCATAAAATATGCAGGTTTTAATGACCGACTTCTCTCACTTAGCATAATTTTTTTAAGGTTCATCTATGTTGTAGCAGGTATCAGTACTTCATTCCTTTTTATGACCAAATAATATTCCATTATCTGGAGGTGGCACATTTTCTCTTTTCATCAATGGATGGATTTTTGGGTTGTTTTTAGTTTGAGTTATTTTGAATAATGCTGCTATGAACATTGTATAGAAGTTTTTGTGTGAACATGATTTTTTTCTATTCTTTATTGGATATGAAACCTAAGAGTAGAGTTAACTGGGTCACATAGGAACTCTAACTTTTTGAGGAGCCACAAACTGTTTACCACAGTGTCTGTACCATTGTGGGGAGGGTACCAGTGTTTCCACTGCTTAGAACTCACTGATTTTCTTGCATCCGTGGGCTTATAGTTCCAACACATTTGGAAAAATTTTAGCCATTATTTCTTCAATTTGTTTTTCTAGCCTACCTTCCTTTTGGGAAATATAATTACATGTATATTAGCCTACTGATACTCTTAATTTTTTTGACTCCCCATCCCATTTTTCATTTTGAACAGCTTCTATTGTTATAAGTTTATTTCTGTAGCATCATATCCACTGACAAGCCTGTCTGGTGTATTTTTTCATCTCAGATATTACAATTTTCATTCCCAGGAGTTTTATTTAGTTGGGTCGTTTTTATATTGTCCCTGTCTCTAAACATTTAATAGCTTGGCCTAATAATTTTATTATCTACCATTTCTGAAGTAGTTTTGATTGATATTCCTTTTCACCCTTGGTGAAACTGTCCTTCTCTGCATGCCTGGTGATTTTTTATTGGATACCAGATATTATGAATTTTACCTTGTTGAGATTTCCCATAATTATTATTGAACTTTGTTCTGAGATCTAGTTAAATTATTTCAACACAGTTTGATCCTTTCAGATCTTGCCTGCAAACTTTGTTAGGGAGGATTATAGCAGCAACTGGCGTGTGGCTAATTTTTCTTCCATATTTATTCAAAACCCCTCTGAGTTCTGCAGTCTATGCTTTGCAAACCGTGAGGTTTTTTACTCTGGCTGATACTGAGAGGAATAACTCGCCGGGCCATGTGATCTCTAGGGATTGTTCTTCCTGATTCTTTCAGGTGTTTCTTTGCCCAGAGTTTCCTTGGGTAGTTTACCCTCCATGCATATAGTGTTTAGCATTCAGCAGATGCCCAAAGCTCTTTCTCTGCCTCACATTTCCCTCTTGTACTCTGTCCTGTGAACTCTAGGTACCCTAGCCTCCCCAGACTCCCACTCATCCCATTTAAGGGATGCAGCTGGGTTCATCTGTCTTCTGTACCACTCATGACTAAATGAATTCAAATAGAGGACTGATTATATCTATTTTAAACCATAAAGGTAACAAGCATTTTATAGGATGTGAAAAAAAAGATGGAAAGTGTAGGAAAAAAATTAGGTAGGACTTGTCTAGCTACTCTACCTAGTAATTTGACCATGTTGTTACTCAAAATCTCTATTATCTGAGTGGTTGTTTTTGCCTTACTATGAGAGTAGTAGAGAAAAGTTCAAATACTCTCTAAAAAAGTACTTGATGGTATGAGTTGAGGTAGAAAAATTCATGGAGACCTTTCAGGGATGTGTGTGTCACATAAACATTGTGAGTCCAAGTAGCACTAATAATTAAATTGTTTTATGATTTGATTTTCAAATTTTCATTTTGTTGTTTTAGGCATTAGCTAAAGAAGATATTGATGCAGCTTTTCATTCCATATTATATAGAGAAAATTATGCAATTAAGGTAAGAATTGGCTACAGAATGTCTCAAAGCTAATTTTTTTTACTTTGATGTAGTATGTCCTCATAAAAAATTTTAGAAAATTCAGAGAATGGAATTTGTGTGTTACTTGTCATTCAGACCAGGTTGTAGACAATTCTGCCTCTTTATGCTTGTCTTTTTTTTTTTTTCTCAGCGAATATTTTTTATTCCTTATTCTTTGTCATCCCTTCTCTTCCTAGATAACTTGTCACTCCTTAGGACTCATACCAAATGTCTCTCACCTAGGGAATCTTTTTTATTTTTTTTAAATGTAACCCTTTCTCTCATTATAGTGTAATACAGATAATATAAAATTTGCCACTAGTAACTACTTTAAGTGTGCAATTTAGTGACATTAATTTTATTAACTTTTTGTGCAAATTTGACCACTGTCTTTCCAAAACCATTTCATTACCCGAGTCCCTAGCTTCCAATTTACTTTGTTGATATGTAAGTGGAATCCTATAACATTTGACCTTTTGTATCTGGTTTACTTAGTATATTGCTTTCAATGTTCTTCATTATAGCATATATCAGAACTTCATCCCTTTTTATGGCTGAATAATATTCTGTTGTGTTTATATACCAAATTTTGTTTATATATTCATCTCTTGTTGAACACTTGTGTCGTTTCCACCTTTTGGCTAGTGTGAATAATACTATAATGACTAGTGGTGTACATGTATCTGTTTGAATCCCTGTTTTATAATCTCTAGGGCATATACCTATGAATAAAGTTACTGGTTCATATAATAATCCTGTTTAACTTTCTGAGGAATCACCAAACTGGAAATCTTTTAAAACTCTGCAAAATAGTTTTCCTCTCTTCTGTGTCTTCAGTTACTGTCTATCTCATGTCTTTTGTGTGTGTGTGCGTGTTATTATATTATTCCTTCTCCCTTGTTTTGTAGACATGTGGTCTGTATCCCCAAGGAGAGCAGGGCTGTGTCTCATTCATTTCGTACTCCTTTCCAGTATAGTGTGTGTCACACAGTAGAAGCCAAATAAATGATTGAATTGATAATGATTTTGTAGGTTATTCCTAGGAATATAAAGACTTTTTAAATTTTAGAATAAAAAAACTTCAGGATAATATATTTGTCTTTTCTATCACTGTTTACTAGGAACTAGATAAGTATTTGAAACATCATGACTTCTTAAATACAAGAAGAAAGGAGATATTATACAAAAGATGGGTTGACCATGTGGCAAATCCTCTCCAGAAGAAAATTATAGAAAAAGTTTGTTCACATAAGAAGATTAAAAATAGGAGAAGAGAAGAATTAGATGGTTTTTTAAAATATGTGAATAAACAGGTATTAAGAGATCGTTTGATACTCTTTTCAGTTGGTTTAAAAATTAAGGGTATATCATCCAAACACCATGCCCCCTTCTTTCAGATATGGCTAATCTAGACTCTGTTATAACAATTACCTTCTCAGATCCAGAGCATTTGGAAAGGATGGAGGAAGAGGCTTTGGTCTGGCTTTCAATGTGTATATTATAACCAGTTTTCTTCTCTTCCCCCCGCCATGTAATTATTAATTTAAAATTTAAAATTTTAAATTAATTTTAAATTAATTTAAAATACCATTTAAAAAATTTTGATGCTAGGTTTAGGCTATATATATGTTTTGTCCGTTTGTTTTTTTCTTAAAGATTTATTTATTTATTTATTTATTCAAGCACTGGGTACAGTCAGAGGCGTGGGAGGGTGAGAGAATTCACCAGAGCCAGAGCGGAGAGTAGAACAGACAGAGTGACGAAGTACTCTCCTGAGGGGAGCAGCGGGCGGCAGGAGAGGTCTACACGCCATGTGGGACCCTCCTCCAGTGGCCGGGGGAGCAGCCGGGGATCGAACCCGCGCTGCAGAGGCTGAGGGCAACTTCGCAACCCAGCGCTCAACCGCTGCACCACTGGGGAGGCCCGGTTTTTTTCTTTTGGAATTTGATTATTTTCAAAGCTATAAAATAGTTCTGTTCTCCTGGCATTTAAAAGAGATCCTAGATATTTGACTACTAATCCTTAAAAATAATGCCAAATATTTTAATGTTCTGACATTTTCAATTAAAAATTTTGCATAGTTTAAGTAGCATCCTTCCATTACTTTAACATTTGTTATTTGGATAAATTAAATTTAATTTCAAATTCAGTCTTCCTTTCCCTCTTGCATTGTCACTCATGTTGTTGACTCTTGAGTACTATTATGCTCAAAATTTATTGTGAACTTCCTTTTCTTCTGTGTGGTTTTATTTCCTTCCTATAGGGAACTGCATTTATAGAACATTATGATCCAAAAGAGTATGATCCTTTTTATATGACTAAAGAGGATCCCAGTTTTCTGAAGGTAGGATAGATTTCTTATTTTAATTTTTGTATTATGTGGTTGGTTGTTTTGAGCAGCCCAAATATGTGAATAGATCTTTAGTGATTCTCTAAGAGTACTGTAACATCTTAAGAAGAGTTAACCATTATCGTATCTTAGGAAGGAACAAAAAAGGCAAAGGCCAAAGTAAGTTAAATATCTGTAAATTTTGAAAATATTGTTTAATAATTGGATAAGAGGTCAGTTTTAGAAATTTCATAGGTTTTCATAAACTTTTAAATGTACAAAAATAGTACATTTTCATCATAGATAAATGAGAAAAGACTACTCATAATTCCTTTACCCAGAATTAATTCATTAACATTTTCTGAGTATACTTTAAGAGTTCTTTTTGTGTGTATACACACATACCATACATTGGGATTTATAATGTACTTCTTTTCCTCAATAGTTTATGATTTACTTCTTTTTTTTTTTTTTTTATGATTTACTTCTTTCTTTGTCAATAAATGTAGACATATAGTTTTACTCATCACATGATATTCTATTCTTAATGGCAGCTGACTTATAACGGGGGCTTAACCAAGTGTTGACTTTTTTTTTTTTTCATTTTACTTCATCTTCAGTGCTATATATGAAATAATTCACAGTTGAGGCAGGAGAGTCACAGATAGGGTAGATTACTTGTCCAGGGTCACATGATTGGAAATAGCAGAGCATATTTAATCATCTTTCTATACCATCATTTTAAAAAACATATTCCCTGTTTTGAACATCTGGATCTATTTGGATCTATTGCTTATAAATTACATTATGGTGGGCATCCTGTGGCTATTTATTTCTTTTTTTTTTTTTTTTTATAAATGACTTTTTTTTTTAATTTTATAGAGGCATGTTTATTTATTTATTTGTTTGTTTTTTGTTTATACAAGCACTGGGTACAGTCAGAAGTGCGGGAGGGTGAGAGAATTCACCAGAGCCAGAGCGGGGAGCAGAGCAGGCAGAAGGACCGAAGCACACTGCTGAGGGGAGCAGCGGGTGGCAGGAGAGGTCTGCGCGCCATGTGGGACCCTCCTCCGGTGGCTGGGGAGCAGCCGGGGATCGAACCGGCGCCCCAGAGGCTGCGGGCAGGTTCGCAACCCAACGCTCAACCGCTGCGCCACCGGGGAGGCCCGGCTATTTCTTTCTTTTTTTTTTTTTTTTTTTTTTAATAGAGGCATGTTTATTTATTTATTTATTATATTTGTTTGTTTGTTTTGTTTATACATGCACTGGGTACAGTCAGAAGCGCGGGAGGGCGAGAGAATTCACCAGAGCCAGAGCGGGGAGCAGAGCAGGCAGAAGGACCGAAGTACACTGCTGAGGGGAGCAGCGGGTGGCAGGAGAGGTCCGCGCACCATGTGGGATCCTCCTCCGGTGGCCGGGGAGCAGCCGGGGATCGAACCGGCGCCGCAGAGGCCGCGGGCAGCTTCGCAACCCAGCGCTCAACCGCTGCGCCACCGGGGAGGCCCAACGGCTATTTATTTCTTAAGCTTTCCTTTGGATAACTTGCTAGAAGTGAACTACAGAGTTAAATATTATACATTGTTTTCATTCATATTGCCAAAAGATAGCCACAGTGATTTGAAAATACTTTTCAAACAAGAATGAATCATGTTTTTGTTTGTTTGTTTGTTTATTCTTAAAGATTTATTTATTTATTTATACAAGCACTGGGTACAGTCAGAAGCTTGGGAGGGTGAGAGAATTCACCAGAACCAGAGCAAGTAGCAGAACAGACAGACTGACGAAACACACTGCTGAGGGGAGCAGCGGGTGGCAGGAGAGGTCTGCGCGCCATGTGGGACCCCTCACCCAGTGTCCGGGGATCGAACCGGTGCTGGAGAGGCTGCGGGCAGCTTCGCAACCCAGCGCTCAACTGCTGCGCCACCGGGGAGGCCCAAGAATGAATCATGTTTTCTTGGCTGCAGGGCCTTGCTTAAAAAGGTAGTGGTAACACGTCTCTTTGTAATGTGTTAAATATATTTAATGGTTAGGTTATTGGTGTGTAGATAATGTATTCTTGATTCTTCTGGCAGTGGAGCCATACATTCATGCATAGAATAGACTGACAAACACCTGCAACCCAGACCTTAAGGAGCGCTTCTCTTCTAGGTCACCATCCCACCACTTCGTGACCCTTTGAAAAAGGTACAATTTGACAAGGATGATGAAAAAAGAACTCTTCTTCAGTGTGAGAATGGTACTTAGTTCCTAATTGTTATGTGATTTCATATCCAGGAACAATGGGAGCTACATTTAGGGGTGCTAATTTTGTTTAATCTTCTCGCAGGCAAAATATATACAATGAAAGAATTTAAAGAGGTTGAGAAGGCCAGACTGCTTTCCAGATTCCCGAGAATTTCTAATTCAAGGCAATTTATGACTCCGAATGAGTGGCTTAAAGTGCCTAAATGCTACATAGAAAGTGAATTTTGTAAAAGGAGCAGGTAACAGTTAATATAATTAAAAATATTGTGGAATCTCATGGAAAACTTTAAGACAGTGATGCAAATTTTGTCTGTTATGATTGTTAAAAATTTCATTTTTCAGTGAGAAATCTACTGTAATTCCTCTCTTCGTTCTCTGTGATACTTTTTTTGATACTGTCAAGATTTTCTCTTTGTTTTGGTTTCTATTTGCTGAATTATACTGTGTTTAGTTGTGTGTGTGAGGGGGGTTGTTTTCCTTTCCTTTCTGTCTTTCTTAGGGCTTGCTGAGATTTTTATATCTGTGGTTTGATATCTCATTATTTTTTTTTTGGTAAATTTTAGTCTACTTTCACTTCAAATATTATATCCCATTCTTTGTTTTATCCCACTTATATCCCAATTCTTTGTGTTTTCTTCTGAGACGCCAGTGATATATATGTGAGATAATTTCATATTGACCCATCGCTCCCCAGTTCTTGGATACCTGTCCTTTGTATTTCATTTCCCCGCCCTACTTGTATTGCAGTTGGACAGCTTCTATAGACCTATCTTTAAGCTTCCTGAGTTTCTCCTCAGTTGTATCCCTTCTGCTGATCAGCCCATCAAGTGAATTTTTCTTTAGCTTTGTTCCATATACTGGAGCCCATCTAAGGAATTCTTCATCTCTGATGTAATGATTTTTATTTCTAGCATTTCTATTTGCATTTTCACATAGTTTCATTTCTCCTGAAAATATCCATCTGTTTATACATGTTCACCTTCCCACTAGAAGGTGACATATTAATATGTCTTTGACATATGCATGATAGTTTTAAAAAATTTGCTATGTGATAATCCCAACAATAGGTTCATTTCTGAATCTGGTTCTGTTGATTTACCTCTTGACAGTGGATTCCTTTGTCTTCCTATTATTTGACTTTATTTTTGGGTGTTCTTTTCACCTAATTTGGGAAAACAGAAGTATTTGCTTCTGTTTCTCCCTCTCTGACACAGTCATTACCTGGGGCCCACCTCATCTCCTTCCAAAGGTCTAGGCTCATTGTGGCAATCTTCAGTTTAGTGTCCCCACATTTCAGATGGGACAGGGCTCGTGTCCTGCTAGCCCTGTTATTGCATCTTCCCTGAAATCTATTTCTCCTGTGCTCTGCCCACCACTGCGAGCCCAGCTGCCCACACTTTTGACATTCACCACCCTCGTGTTTGGATTCTCTCTGGGGAAAAGAGTTTTGTAGTTCTGCTTGTCAGTGTCACAATCTCGCTGGCTCCTTATTGCATTAGAGTATAAGCTCTCAGTGAATAGAGAGTACTTTAAACTTTGTCTAGCTGATTCTTGGTTCTCAGTAAACAATCTCCCTCATGGTTTTAGCAACTCTTAATACCCATGAATATACAATAGTATATATACTAGAATATACCAATATTTAGTAGTATTGTGGACGATGTAATTACAGTCAATGTGTAACAATAATTTCTGTAGTATAGCTTTCAAAACACCCTCACACATATTATTTTGTTCAAGGTTAAAAGTGAAAGTGAATTTTAACGAGTGTAGCTTTGATGTGGAACCCTCAGTGAGAGCACCTCATCTTTTGGCATCTCAGGAAGAAGAAAAAGCTATTGTTTATGGGTAAGCCCAATAGTTGAGAGCTTTAAACTTACATCATTTTGGATGCTTGCTGTATTTTGCCCTCCTTTTAAATTGCTGGCATCAGGGCTGAGGTGTATCCCAGATTCTCTTATAGCCTCTTACAGCCTGTACTGCTTTGTCTGGGTGAGGTGGCACCTTTCCTTTCAGATGGAAAAAACTACTGGAGCAAAGTAATGTTATTTATTTGGGTTTCTTTTTGTAAGTTCATATAGAACTCAACAATTTCAAATGTAAATAAAGTATTAAATGCTACAACTGAGTTGATAAGAAAATTCTCTCCTGATTCTTCCCTCTAGAAATAAAGGGTCATCTTTTTTGGAAAAAGAACCTCTATGCTATCAGGAGGGAAAGAACCCAAGTCCCAAGGAGGCCAACTCTGAAGGGCACTTTTCTTCCCTGAGCCTCAGCCTGGAGGTGGAAAGGGATGAGGACCAGGATGCGGTGAGAGCCGGGCTAGTCCCATTTTGCAATATACAATGTGGCAACTGCTGATATCAAAATCTGAGCAGCTGGGAATTTTTTTTCTGTACAGCAGGCTTCCAGGAAGAGATGGGTCAGTGCATCCCCCCGCTCCCAGAGGTAGGGAGAGAAAGAGAAGCCTAGAGGAATGGAGAGAGTAGTCCCTGGAGCAATACATGAGGTGCCCCGTGGTGGGTGGACTAGAGGATTTCCTCAGCTCCCTTCCTTCTGTTTTTGTCCTGCTGTCTCTCCACCATTTCTACCTCTTAGCACACCTCAGCTAGGCCCAAAACTTTGTTCTCCTTAATTCAACCAATAATGTTGAAAATTCTCAGAAGGACTATATACTAAATTAAAGTAGAATTTAAGAAGTAAAAGTCCCAAATGTAAAATGCAGGGGTTCACAGAACACAGACTTCTCATTCTCAGGTAACTATGGTTCAACTTGTGGCCTTTGACAGTGCAGCCTGGACTGTGGCTTCCAGGACTCAGTGCCACTTCTCCCTCAGTTCCTGTCTCCGCTCCCTGTATGCCAGGCCTGGAGCACAGACTCTCAGAGGAGTGGGTTTGGAGAAGTCACAGCCCCATCTCCCAGTTAAAATCAACGTGGGAGTAATTTGGTTTCTGTGTATGCAGCTTTCTTTCATCCTCTTGGTCTTTACCCCCTAAGGACTAAGGAAACTACTTTTTTTTACTCACTTAGGGAAAATGCACTAAAACTTTCTTTTATGGGTCAGCTCCTTTCATTGTCATGTCTTAGTGTCCTCCCACGTGCTTGCTTGCTTTCTCCCCCAAAACGTTAACGAGCTCCTACTCTGAGTCAGACAGTGTGTGGGGGGCAGGAGACTTGGTAGTAAACAACCAGACTTATCATGTGCGTGGTAATGGGTGCAGTGAAGAAAAGACAGCGGGTGAAGTGAGGTCGGGGAATAAGTACCCCCACCAGAAGAGGTTTAAATGGATAGAGAGGGAAAACAAATTTACTTGTTTTATAATCATACCCTGTAAGCCTTCTTCATGTGTTGTTGTAATGGTTACATGTATCTTGAATTTAACTAGGCCCAGACAGGATTATTTCTTACTTTTGCATTTCTGTCCTTCTGGTACAAACTGCTTCCCTTCCAGTTTCCCACTGGGTCATCGGCTAGCACCATAATCCGACCAGGATGCCTCAGGACAAAATTCTAGAAGTCATCTTTGATTTGCTTTTGGAAGTGAGTACTTTCACACGCATCCTCTGCTAAAGGCGTTGGGCTGGGCTGGCTCCTGCGCTTCTCTGCTCCTCACTGCAGGCTTCAGTTCCGTCTCTGCGCTCTGGCCCAGCCTAGAGCACTGGCCGCCTGGACGGTTCCCTCTTCTGCTCTCACCCCTGTGTACTCAGTTCTCCATGCAGCAGCCATAGTTAAAAAAAAATGTTAATTAGGCCAGATTTTTTCCTTCCTCAAAGTCTTCGAATGGCTTCTTCTGACACTGGATCTTATTCTAACTCCTAATCGTGGCTTCTAACCAGCTGTATGGTTGGACACCTGCCGCCTCTGCAAACCCCGTCTCCTGCTTTTCTTTCCACAGTCGCTGTCCTCCATCCTCGCTGGCTTTTCCTGGTGTTCTCAACAGGCCTGTCTCACTCTTATCTCAGGCATTTGTCTCTGCCAGTCCATTTGTCTGGAACATTCTTTTTCCAGAATGACTCCATACCTGACTCCCTCAATTCACTCAGACCTCTGACCAAATCTTTTCTTCTGAGAATCCTTCTCATTATCTCTACTTAAGAGATATTGGCATATCTCCATTCCCTCATCCACTCCCCCTCCCGCCTCTTCTCTTCACCTGTAAAGAGATGGGACCCGGGACCTGAAGGGCAGACAGGAGGGCAGGATAGCCCGTCCATTGTGAGGGGAAGGAAAGCAGATACATGGAGGTAGATGAAGCTTTTGGTGAACTTTGTAAGGAGGCTTTTAAATTATGTTTCCTTCATTCTTCTCAGTGAAGTCAGAGGGTCATCTGTCAGCTGTTAGTGAAGGTGAGAGGTTTAAAAAGAGAAGTGCAGAAAGGAATCTCATTTTTCCTAACTCACAATAATCCTAGTGTACATTAGTACTCCAGACATATTGACATCTAAAAGCAGGGCTCCCAAATCATCACACGTCAGTGATGTATCCCACCTGTGAAAGGATTGACTCTCCCCAAATCTCTGCCTGTGTCTGAATCCAGATGGAATAAGGAGAGACTGAGGCAGGAGGTTTAGACGGGGCCTTGCCTGCGAGGTGAGTTGCCAGCACTGGCAGGAGTTGCAGGGGCATCAGCTGTGCTGGGCGGAGGAACTTTTTCTGCTCTCACAAGCCTCTCATTTAACACTTCTCTCCTGTCATCTTCAGAAGCTTTTAACAACCAAGGAGCACATACCCTAACCCTCCTGGTAAAAGAGGACATAAAAGGAGACTGCTTCAGAGGAAGCCACCCCTCAGCAGCAATCATTCAGGGTGAGGACCAAGGAAGGCACTCAAGAATTGTACTATGTCTAAGAAAGAATCTGTAATAAATTTCACTTTTGAGTTCAGTATCAGTATGATAATTAAGAAGTAACAATATCATGTATTAATACTTATTACAAATTATTTTCCCCAGATGTTAAGAAGTATTATTGGAAAGATCCAATAAAAATAATAGCTACCTTGCCAAATGTCTGTCTCAATTCATTCGATCTTTCCCTAAATTAAGTTGTGCCTCCTTGGGAAGGTACTCTTAAAATCCACACCCGGGTACTCTCCCCAGGTTTGTCCAGTAGTCCTAAGAAAATTAAAAAATTCCTTTTGAGTTTACCCACAAGTGATTAACCACTTGTTGATTCTGCATATCACCCTTGGTCATGGTAAGTTTACTTCTTGTCACAATTTGACATAGTAGGTTCTCGAACATTGGAAAAGGGGACACCTGGGAGCCTTTGCAAAAGCTGGGGGGTCTGAGCCCTTTCCTTCCATCCGTTCCACATACATACATAGTTATCAGAGTCTCCTCTTTCCCAGCCACTGCTCTAGCCTTCCCATGAAAGACTGATAGCATTGTTAATTCAAATGGAGTTGTAATTCAACAACTCACAAGATCAATGTATCCACTTGAGGGCCATGAACAGAATGGGATTTATTCATGGTGGCCCTGACAATAAATAAGCGTGACCTTGTATTTAGTTTTATGCCTTCACTGCAGATTTCTGGCATCTGAGCTTTTAATTCTTGCTTTATTCACTTAACCCTCTCATTCTATAGCCTTCATCCTCTTTCACTTTACTTTTCCCTGATACTTATCCAGTCTTCCAATGCCTCATGCCCAATCAATGTAACAACTAGATTAATTTTTAGGGAACTTTTTGAAAAGTATGCCAAAAATCAAGATCGTTATATGACACCTAATGTATCCAGCATCTGGCTTCAATAATGAATGGTCACTTCATGGCCAGTCTTGCTTCATCTGTATCTATACCTACTTCTCATCCTCAAATGGGTGACTTCATTTATTTTTTTTTTTTATTGTTTTTGCCATCCCTGTCCTTCAACTGGATGATTATGAAGCAAACTCCAGATAACATCATATCGCAAGCTATGGTTTCCCACTCTGTTTGGCAGAGAGTGGAGTCCTTTCCTTTCACTGTGCTTGGGCAAGAATACCAGTTCCAATATCTCACATATTCTCTGAAGGCTCATACAGTTTCTAATTAATGAGGATCCTGTGGGTTGTCAGTAACAAGCTAACCAGAACTAACAAGCAAAAGTAAAACTGGGATCCATTAGATGGCTTATGTGTCCTGATGTACGGATGGATGTGCCTCATGGAATCCTGAGAAAAACAGGAATTCCTCATGAAGGGTAAGCACCTTGACAACACTGGGCCTGGTACAAGAGACCCCAGGCCTTCTCCCTAGAGTGCTGTCCTGAACATGACGCATATACCTCTCCCAGTCTCAGTGCTTTTGTTCAAAAGTCTAATAAAATCCTAGGAGGAAATTATGAGTACCTGATCCCCGCTCCGGTTAGGTATGTACCCCCGGGCCACGAAGACACAGCCAAACACAAAGTCACAGAAGGAAGCATTCCACCAAGAGTCCAGTGCTGAGGGAAGGCATTTTGCCAGAGAGATGGGGCCAGACAGGCCTTGCCAATGACCACCATGGGCAGTAAGAAGAGGGGGAATGGCTGAAGAAGGCTGAGACAGAAGAGACAGGCAGGCCAGTTAGAGATCATGCTGAGGGATTGGAATTTAGGGGGAGGTCCTGAAGGATATAACACTCTTTAGTCTCTTCCCCCCTTTTATATTACCTCATCAGTCAAGTCAGACTTCTAGAAATCACATCATCATTAAAGGAGTATTGTTAACTCTACCTTGATTTTATCTGGCAGAAGAAAAGCTTAGGTAAAGTGAGGCTAGTCCTTTTCCCATGAATCATTCATTAATGCTTACTCCATGGTAGTCTTCCTGTTCAGGCGAAATCTGGATATTTCAGAAGCCTTCTTTATAAAAGGCAGCCTAAATCTATTTAGAACTTTTTTTTTTTTTTAGATTTATTTATTTATACAAGCACTGGGGTACAGTCAGAAGTGCGGGAGGATGAGAGAATTCACCAGAGCCAGAGCGGATAGCAGAGCAGGCAGAGTGATGAAGTACACTGCTAAGGGGAGCAGAGGGCGGCAGGAGAGGTCTGCTCGCCATGTGGGACCCTCGCCCAGTGGCCGGGCATAGAACCGGTGCTGCAGAGGCTGCGGGCAGCTTCGCAACCCAGCGTTCAACCACTGTGCCACCAGGGAGGCCCTCTATTTAGAATTTTTAAAATAGAATCCAAGTGCAAGTTTATTCTATGGACAAGACTAACACTTCACAAATGACACTGAGATTTTTGTCTTAAACAACTTTGGGGCAGGGCCTCCCCGGTGGCGCAGCGGTTGAGCGCTGGGTTGCGAAGCTGCCCGCGGCCTCTGCGGCGCCGGTTCGATCCCCGGCTGCTCTCCGGCCACCGGAGGAGGGTCCCACATGGCGCGCAGACCTCTCCTGCCGCCCGCTGCTCCCCTCAGCAGTGTACTTCGGTCCTTCTGCCTGCTCTGCTCCCTGCTCTGGCTCTGGTGAATTCTCTCACCCTCCCGTGCTTCTGACTGTACCCAGTGCATGTATAAACAAAACAAACAAACAAATAAAATAAATAAATAAAACATGCCTCTATTTATAAAAAAAAAAAAAAATAAACAACTTTGGGGCATAGAACTGCTTTTCTCTGTTACAGTCGTAAATGAATAAAGATACTTTCTGACTAGGTCAAAATGGCAACTCTACAGAGGTCTACTGTGAGGCTTATAAGGTTGATTCTCTCTTGGCTGAAGAGTCTTCAGTCACTTAAATATTGATTATGTTGATATTGAATTTCATTTCATGTAGAAGTCAAGAGTAGGTCTCATTTAATTATTCATTATTTACATAAGTATTTATTGTCTTTTTTTTTTTTGGGGGGGGGGGTCAGATATTCTGCCAGATGCTGGGGATATAAAGATGACCAGACACAAGCCCTCTAGCCTAGAGTTTAGTGGGAGAAACAGTGAGGAAAAGATTCCACTGCTATAAGATCTCTGATTTAGTAGGGTTATGTCTGGAGAATCAAGTGCCTACTTAAAAACTCAGCAAAGGACTAACTTTAAAAGGACAATCTAGCAATTATTTCTAACATTTTTGGGGGGTACATTTTTACTTCATTCAAAACCTGGAACTTTTACAGTCACTCTCCAAACCCTTTTCTCAAGGGTCATAGGATATGCAGCTATGACAAAGGACCCCATTTTATTCTATTGGAAGAAAAGGGCTAACATACACAATAGCGTCATTAAAAGGAAGTTGCAATCAGAAAACAATACTCCAACTCCCCTACCTGCCTCCAACGCTGCCATCTTCTGGTAAAAAGAGAACCCGAGGAAACAGTCAGTGGATTAGGTGGATTTCGAGTCCCCAAGGTTGCATTTCCAGATAAAACTATTGTCATACCTTTTAAAGTAAAAGTGAGGACCAAAGCCTCAGACCTCCACACTCTATCTACCTGCTTAATGTCAAGTCTCTGGCAGTTTCCTTAAAGAAGCCCATTTGGGTTTTACTACCAGGAGAGCTGAAAATTTTAAATAGAAAAAAGTCTGATTACAAATAAGTGAGTGACAGCCCAGGGAAAGCCCTTTACTGGCATTTCCAATGCTCTGTTCAACCCACACTGCAGAGAGACCAGGAAAAACATCACCTTGGTTCCCAAGTTTTATTCAAGAACTCATACAAAACATTCCAGATAAATTTTAATTCCCTGTATGATTTAAGCAGCTTGCCAGTGCATAAAGAATACAGAGCATGTATAGATCTTCATTCGTGACCTGAAGTTCACACCAACTTCATTAGTGTACTAAAATCTCCACCTAAGAGAGGTGTGGAGCCACCATTTTGTAAACATGCGATCTGTGGAAGCTGCCCAAATGCCCAGCCTGCTGGTACCTTCAACACCCAGTCACCAGAGACTCCTTTATCAGTCTTTCTTTTGAAACCCCCTTCAGGTATTTTTCCAGGGAGGCAGTCTTTTGTTTGTTTGTTTGTTTGCAAGATTTGTTTATTTAATGCATACAAGAGCTGGGGTGCAGGCCAGAGGTGTGGGGGTAAGAGAATTCACCAGAGACAGAGTGGGGAGCAGAACAGGCAGATCGACTGAAACACACTGCTGAGGGCAGCAGTGGGCAAGACAGGAGGGGTCTGCTGCACCATGTGGGTAGCTCCCTGGGAGGCTTCCAGGGAGGCAGTCTTGGGAGCTTAGCCTCTTATCTCCATTATCTGCACAGGTAATAAGCTCTTTACCTGATAAAAATTGGGTCTGGTCTATTTGGGACATGTCAAAGCAACAAACCTATTGAGTTTGTAACAAAAACATTATGTCAAGTTAAAGAGACCCCTCACAAAAGACCTCTTTCCTTTATCCTTTAAGGACAGTTTAACTGGAAATTAAAATTCTTGACCCTCACGGCACTCTTTTCTAGGCCTCCCTGCATGGTCCCTGTTTAAAGTGACCTGGTGGTTCTTGCCTGGCTGCTCCGAGGATTATTTATTTTTAAAGTCAATTATGTTAGACTAAGTCTGGGATTGACCTCTGTCACTTTTTCATGGTCCAGCACCTGCTCTTTCAAGAGAAAGGCTCATGTCCTGGATTAAAAAAAAAAAAAAAAAACTCTTTTAAACATTTGTTCTTGCCTCCTAAAAGACTCCAGTTATGCATGAGCAAGCAGGATCACCCTTGCCGGTTTTCCAATTATTTGTATTTGGTTTTGCTCATTCCTCTTGCTCCAGTCCCCTGCGCAGCTGTGTTCTCATCAACAGCTAGTCCATGGCTTCATCATCATGATTTTATTTATTTATTTATTTAAAAAAAGATTTATTTATTTGTGCACACAAGAGCTGGGGTACAGGTCAGAGATGCAGGGGGTGAGGGGATCCACCAGAGACAGAGTGGGGAACAGAACAGGCAGACTGACTGAAATGCACTGCTGAGGGGAGCAGCGGGCGAGGCAGGAGAGGTCTGCCTCGCCATGTGGGTAGCTCCCTGGCCGGCCGGGGATGGAACTCGTGCTACAGAGGCTGCGGACAGCTTCATAGTGTGGTGCTTCATCCCTTGCGCCAGCAGGGAGACCCACCCTCATGACTTTAAAGAATGCGAGGCCATGTTGGATTGGACGGTTGAAACCCCACGTGTGTCACAGGGCCTCCCGAAGGCGAGGGTGGCAGGTGGGGACCCTGACTTTCCTCCTCCGGGACCCCCCACCCCAGCGGCCAAGGCGGGGTCCCAGCCATCCTGCCCCAAATGGGGCGGAGGACCCCGCTGGTTACCTGACTTGGCCTTTAGGCAACACGCGGGGGATGCATCAGCCCCGCGTTTTTGAAACAGCGGCCCGGGCAGGGGTGGGGGCGAGGCCTGAGAGCTCTGGGGGCGCCCTCCCCGACGCCCCTCGGCGGGAGGGCAAGGGTTCCAACCGCCCCTCCGCGCAGCGGCCCCCCTTGCCGGCGCAGCCCCAGTCTCCCCAAAGTCCTCACCTCCCCGCAGAGGGCCGGCACCCATGGCGGCCTCGCGAACGCCCCGCTGCGAGGGACGCGTCAAGGCGGAGAAATGGAGAGAATGGCCGGAGCCCGCGGAGGTTGACCTGATGGAGGTGAAGCAGCGCCGGGCGCCGGGCAGGGGCTGTTCCCCTCGCGTGTTACTCCCCAACGGGAACGGGAACAGCTGGGGGGGCGCTCAGGTCAGGATGTCGGGGGACTCAGCTCAGGGCTGTCGGGGGACTCAGGTCAGGTCTGTTGGGGGAGGGGTGCTCAGATCAGGTCTCTCGGGGGACTCAAATCAGGTCTCTCGGGGGACTCAGATCAGGTCGGTCGGGGGACTCAGGTCAGGGCTGTTGGGGGACTCAAGAGAGGGCTGTCGGGGGCCAGGTGGGGGCTCAGGTCAGGGCTGTGGGGGGGGGGACTCAGGTCAGGGCTGCCAAGGAGGAGGTGCTTCGAGTCCCCCCTATCACCCACCTGAGCCAGGGCTGTGCGCCCCAGGCCGGAGCTCTGGTCTCCCCGATTCATTTGTGAGGCTTCAGGGGTTGATGCAGCAATGACCTTCTCATAAGCATGTTGGGTTTGGGGGGGTTGTGATGTGATGTGATGTTGTACATCATCCTATAATTTGCCCCGCTTTAAGGAACAGCACTTGGATACGTTGTTTTGTTCCTTTTTTTTTTTTTTTAACATTTATTTATTTATTTATACAAGCACTGGGTACAGTCAGAAGCGCGGGAGGGTGAGAGAATTCACCAGAGCCAGAGCAGGGAGCAGAGCAGGCAGAAGGACCGAAGCACACTGCTGAGGGGAGCAGCGGGCGGCAGGAGAGGTCTGAGCGCCATGTGGGACCCTCAGGTGGCCGGGGAGCAGCCGGGGATCGAACCGGGGATCGAGCCGGCACTCTAGAGGCTGCGGGCAGCTTCGCAACCCAGTGCTCAACTGCTGCGCCACCGGGGGGCCCTATTTTGTTCCTTTTGCCATCATGGCAGTTAGTAGTGACACTTACTTCTGCACAGAAAGCTGTGGCTTTCAAAAATGCTGCTAGAAATTATTAACATACTCCTATTTTCTGACAAAATCACAGAGAAGGAGCCAGCAAAGCAAAAACTGTATTTTCTTAAATAAAAAAGGCACTTTGGAAATCTGACCCATGTCTCATAGGGGATCTGACATTTGTTAATAATGTTAATAGGATGACTGCAAAAAATGTGATTTTCCAAAATGCTTGTCACAGTGTACGTTTCTACTTCAAATAAATAAGTTGATTTTTTTCCCGAATTTGTATTTGGTGTCAGGGGAAAACATTTGTTTACATGATTTTTTCAGTTGTCATCTTAAAATAAGTGTAGACAGGTTTTCAAGCAAGGTTCTATTTATATTTTCAAAAGACTTTTATTTTGGAGAAGATCCAAGTGCTTGTGTCACTTTAGATTTCATGGGAAGCTGTTATGTATATGGGGAAAAATATGACTCTTTTTTTTGAGCTTTCTCTTATTCTCAAATTCGATATTTGAGTTTGGAGTTTGGTTTTGATGCACTCACTGTGGCAAAACTGAAAGAAGAGCCAGACATTGAACAATATTGTCTTAAGGGACTATACCATTTTGTACTAGATCATTCTTTTTTTTTTTTAACATATGGAGGACTTGATTTATTTTTTTATTCATACAAATAGCTGGGGTACAGACCAGAGGTGTGGGGGGTGAGAGGATTCACCAGAGACAGAGTGGGGAGCAGAACAGGCAGACAAACGGAAAGCACTGCTGAGGGGAGCAGTGGGTGGGAAAAGTGAGGTCTGTGGCGCCGTGTGGGAATCTCCCTGGCTGGCAGGGAATCGAACCCATGCTACAGAGGCTGTGGACAGCTTCACAGCACTGTGCTCAACCTGCTGTGCCACCGGGGAGGCCCTATACTAGATCATTCTTGTAAGTGGTAGCATTTCTTTTCCAAGACACTGGGTTTTTATTGCCTTCCCGTTTGTTCCTACTTAGTTCTATAAGTGTAAAAGCTGGAAGATCATTTCATGATGATCCAAAGGAAAAGCCCTAAAGCTTCAACTTTACCCAAACTCATAAAGGAAACAGCAGGTCCCAGGTTATAGCATCTGGGGCTCTAGCCAGGAGCGGCCCCTGACTTGGTGAGACTCTGGACCAGTTGAACTTTCTTTAGTTCCTCAGTTTTGACTTATGAGGAGGTTTTGACTTAGAAAGGGATCTAGCAGAAACCAGAGAACATCTACAGCCTTTTAAAAAATATCTATTGGGGCCTCCCTGGTGGCGCAAGGGGTTAAGCACCGCACTATGAAGCAATCTGCAACCTCTGCAGCACGAGATCGATCCCCGGTTGGCCAAGGAGCAACCCACATGGCAAGGCAGACCTCTCCTGTCTTGCTTGCTGCTCCCCTCAGCAGTGTTATTTCAGCCAGTCGGCCTGTTCTGTTCCCCACTCTGTCTCTGGTGAATCCTCTCACCCCCTGCATCTCTGACCTGTACCCAGCTCTTGTATGCATAAATAAATAAATCTTTAAAAAAAAAAAAATAAAACATATCTATTGGGTGGGCCTCCCTGGTGGCACAGCGGTTGAGCGCTGGGTTGTGAAGCTACCTGCAGCCTCTAAAGCGCCAGTTCAATCCCTGGCTGCCGGGCGAGGGTCCCACATGGTGTGCAGACCTCTCCTGCCGCCCGCTGCTCCCCTCAGCAGTATACTTCATCACTCTGCCTGTTCTGCTCCCCGCTCTGGCTCTGGTGAATTCTCTCACCCTCCCGTGCCTCTGACTCTACCCAGTGCTTGTATAAATAAATCTTTAAAAATAAATAAATAAATAAAACATCTATGGGGGGGAGGAACCTTCCTGGTGGCTCAGGGGGTTAAGTCTTGCACTATGAAGCTATCCACAGCCTCTGCAGCCCAAGTTCGATCCCCAGCCAGAGAGCTACCCACATGGCACATCAGACCTCGCCTGTCTTGCCCGCTGCTCTTCTCAGCAGTGTGTTTCAGTCAATCTGCCTGTTCTGTTCCCCGCTCTGTCTCTGGTGAATCCTCTCATCCCCTGCATCTCTGGCCTGCACTCCAGCTCTTGTATGCATAAATAAATAAATCTTAAAAAAATTAAAACATATCTATTGAATGCCTGAAAGGAGGTGTTTGTTTCACAGAGGATCTTTAATTAGTAGCTTTCTTGGTATTTTATATGATTTAATAGTATCTGTGAGGGATATGTTTCAAAGTGATCTGGGTGGAGGTAGAGGAGAGAGTTGGAATTTAGATGAAATGAGATTGACTCTGACTTGATTATTGTTTTTTTAACCTTCTAGAAATCTTCTAATCACATTTGGCTGTTCATTATTCAAAATTCTAATGAATTTAAAGAGCTGATAATTGGGCCTCCCCTGCTGGTGCAGCAGTTGAGCGCTGGGTTTCGAGGCTGCCCTCAGCCTCTGCAGTGCCAGTTCGATCCCCAGCCACCGGCGAGGGTCCCACCAAAAAAAAAAAAAAAATAATAAAGAGCTGATAATTGTTAAGCTAAGGTGATGGGATCATGGAAATTTGTTTGAAAATTTCCATAATCGGGGCCTCCCCGGTGGCGCAGCGGTTGAGCGCTGGGTTGCGAGGCTGCCCGCGGCCTCTGCAGCACCGGTTCCATCCCCGGCTGCTCCCCGGCCACCGGAGGAGGGTCCCACATGGCGCACAGACCTCTCCTGCCGCCCGCTGCTCCCCTCAGCAGTGTGCTTCGGTCCTTCTGCCTGCTCTGCTCCCCGCTCTGGCTCTGGTGAATTCTCCCACCCTCCCGTGCTTCTGACTGTACCCAGTGCATGTATAAACAAAACAAACAAACAAATAAATAAATAAATAAAGCATGCCTCTATTAAAAAAAAAAAAATTAAAAAAAAAAAATTTCCATAATCGAAATTTATAAAATATGTTTTGAGATATAAATGTGAGATTTCCACTCAAACTATTGGTAAAATATACTGAGTTTTGTCATTCTGATTTGTTTCTTCTGGCATTTACATCCTAATATCTAATTCTGTAATTATAGGAATTAGCTAGAGAAGACATTGATGAAGCTGTACACACGATATTATTTAGAGAAAATTATGTTGTGAAGGTAAGAGTTACCTGCAGACTGGACCCGCAGCGTGTTCTAGGTAAGATGGCGCAGAGCAATGTGGTCCAGTGACTGTTTCTATATCACAGAGATTGATTTTGCTGGAAGAATGAGCCTTCTTTCCCTGAGTCACTTGTTTTCTAGTTTTTTTAATTATACTTTATACATCTGAGATTGTGTCACCTCTGCAGGATCACTTAAGTGCCGGGGATCCCCGTTCAACCTTAAGAGTGGGAGAGATTGTTCTCTTTGTCCCAGTACTGAAGAGAAACTCTTCCTCAATATTTTCGTCCTTGTATATTCCCACATGGATCCTGGTGGGGATCCATTAAGCCAACAGAAACAAGTTAATATTTAAGGGTAACGACCAAGCATACTGAGAGTCACTAAGGGGTTCATAAATTTAAGGAGGTTTTGACTTCAATGAAAGGGATTGAAATTCGGTTTAAAATAATGTTTTTCACATTTGTATCATGATTTATAATTCCTAAGGGAAGTTCAAGTATGTTCTCATTAGAGCACTGGAAGAGGTAGTGGGGTGACCTCCCTTTATGGATTCAGACGGAGCAGTGCTGGAGCAACTGTGGAGTTCTTTCTACTCTACTAATTTGGTCATAGACTTTACCAATGAGAAAAATCTAGGGACATGAAATGGGGGAGCTGGAAATGTTTTGAAAGACAAAGAAGCAGGAGTGTAACACGTTAGGAATGGCTTGGATGTGGTTTAATATCCAAGCACATTGTGGTCTACAACTTTTTATGAGTTCTTCCTGCTCTGTGCTTTCACATTCTCTTCCTGAACTTTATTCTGTTCTCCAATTATAGTATGCTGTATTTGCAACCTAATGTTCAAAGAGTTTAGGCGTGGCAAAAAGCACCTTCCCCTTACTTAAATGACAATACGTGGAAAACTTAATAAATTGTTTTCCTTGTTTGTATCGCTTGCATTAGAAATTGGATACATATTTTCAGCATCTGGATATTTTTAAGGAGAGACGAAAAGAGATGTTACATAAAAAATGGACTGAAAATGTTGCAGAGCCTCTTCAGCAGAAAATTATGGAAAAAGTAATTTCATACAGAAGGATGGAAAAAAGGAAACAAGAAAACGTTGAATATTTTTTAAAGCACTCAAAAAAAATGGTACTGAATTTTTAAAAAATTGGGTATATTAATCACCCAGGCTTTTTTCCCTATTGCTTTATTTCCTAAGATTCATATTTTCAGTTTATGCCCATCACCCTCACATTTGTAAATGCATTTGGTTGCTTGCAAGTCGAGGTCGCTAGGTCTGTGTTCTTGGGTTCCAAGCAGGAAGAAGAGGTAGAAAGGATGCCAGGGGACCCTTGTCTTAACACACTGGAAGTTCAGAGTTCCCCTGAAGTCTCATAGGCCTTCACTGGGTGACACCTCCCCACCAGCAGTTGCGGAACCTTTAGAAGAGGGTGGAGGCTTGATGACGCCAGAGGAGGAGCAGTGGAAAGACCCTCTTGGGGAAGAGAAGACATGAAGGGGAATGTTCCTTTTAGGATTTAAAAGGCTGACGTATGGTTGATGGGGAGGTGGAGTTTGTGTTCTCTAGGGGAGGGGCTCAGTCTGCACCTGCAGTGACAAAGTGGATTTCAACTCAGTCTAAGGACAAACTTCCTAGTGGTTAGAACTACCAAAAAGGCGCCTGCCCAACAGAGCAGACAGTCAGTCCTAAAGTAAGGCTGACTGGCTGATGGCATCTCAGCGATGGCGGCGTCTCATTGCAGTCTTGGTTACTCCTGGGGCTTCTTCGAGCCCTTTGAGCTTATGATTTTATGTAAAAATGGAATACTGTATTTGGCTTTTTAGAATCTTGCAAAAACACATTTGAATGTAGTGATTTGCTCTGAGGTGTATTCCCACCCACCCCAAGGCAATTATATTTGGAGATTTTTATGATCCTGAAGTATATGCAATTCTTTTTATAAGAAGAAAAAGAACCCAAATTATGGAAAGGTAAGTTTCTTTTGTTTCTTTTTTCTTTGTTTTTTTTCACTGAAAAAAAATAATTTTATTGAACATAGGATTACATAGATTTTTTACATTTATTTTTGCCTTATGGTTATTGTTCTTGAAAGCCATCCAACCCATCACAAAACTTACTAGTTGAGGGCCTCCCTGGTGGCACAGGGGTTAAGTCTCAGTGCTATCAAGCTAGCACCAGCCACTGCGACATGAGTTTAATCCCCAGCCAGGGAGCAACATACATGGTGCAGCAGACCTCTCCTGTCTCGCCCACTGCTCCCCTCAGCAGTGTATTTCAGTAGATCTGCCTGTTCCGCTCCCTTCTCTTGTCTCTGGTGAATCCTCTCGCCCCCCACACCTCTGGCCTGTACCCCAGTTCTTGTATGCATAAATAAATATTTTTTAAAAATAAAAAAAAGCTTAATACGATCCTACTGGGGTCCTCAGAGAGTCACTTTTTTTGTAGGTTACAGTCCTACCATTTTGTGATCCTCTGTTTAAAAGACAGCAAGAGATGGATAAAGAGAAGAGAGCCGCTTTACAGTATGAGACAGGTACTCTGTGATCCCTGGGCTTGAAATTAGAGGTTTTTAATAGTTCAATGATTTCCTAGGTGAGTGGCGCTGACTTTGAGAGAGCTGATTCAGGTCTTCTCTCTTGTAGGAAAGCACTATACCTTAAAAGAATTTCAAGAAATGGAGAAGGCCAGGTTGGATGCCAGATTGCCCCAGTTCACATTTACGCTGCAGAGTGTGAGTCCAAAGGAGTGGCACAAAGCTCCTGAGAGGCTGGCAAGACAGAAACCTCACAGCAATAAGCACTGGTAACTGCTGAGCAGCCACCCTAACACTGTCTCCCTGGTTTTGCCTTTTGCAGAATGTCATGGAGTTGGACTCACATCGGCTAGAAACTTCTGCAGATTTCAGCTTCTTCTTACAGGATTTTTTTTTAAATATTTATTTATTTATTTATTTATTTATTTATTTATTTATTTATTTATTTATTTATACAAGAACCGGGGTACAGACCAGATGCCCGGGAGGGTGACAGGATTCACCAGAGAGAGAGCAGGGAACAGAACAGGCAGACTGAGGAAATACACTGCTGAGGGGAGCAGCGGGTGAGACAGGAGAGGTCTGCTGCACCATGTGGGCCCCTCGCTGGCCCGCCTGGATCCAACTGGCACTGCAGAGGCTGCAGACAGCTTCACAGCGCTGCGCTCAACTGCCTGAGCCACTAGGGAGGCCTTACAGGATGTTTTAACGGGATCAAGAATGTAGGGTTGGCAGCTTTCTTTCGGCATCTTTCCTACTTGTTTTTACTTGTTGATTTGAGAAGTCAGCTGCCAGGCTTTCTGTTGATTCTTTGATGGTAACTGTCTTTTGGGATGCTTCAAAGATTTTCTTGGTTTGATTTTCAGTAGTTTTACAGCAGTGTTTCCACATCTGGATTTCTTTTATTTATTCCACTTGGAACTCATGGGTCGTCTTGTATCTGGAAAGAGATGTCTTAAATTGGTTCTGGGAAGTCATTTTTCCTTTGATGGTTAACTTCTGCCATACTCACTCTCTCCTCTCTTTCTGGGACTCAGTTAAACATATTTCAGGTTTTCTCACTGCATCCTCTCTGTCTCTTATCTTTTCTTGTGTAGTTTCCACCCCTTTTGTCATTCTATATTGGATTCTAGATATTTTAGTTATCTCTTTAGTTGTGCCTAATAACCTGTTGTTAAACCTTCCCATTGGGTTCTCACTTTCAGTTGTTTTATTCTTATAGTTCTAGTATTTTATTTGGTCCATTTTAAGTAAGTTTGGGGAGGTGTCTCTGCTCTGGAGGGCCTGGAGGGTCCCTGCCCAGCACTAGGGAGCCTGTTCCAAGTACACGGCTTCACTTGCCCACCGGGGAGAGGGAGATGTTGAGGACGAGGCTAAGTACCCAGCTGCCAGGAGGCCCAGGAGGAGAACATCCACCTGTCGGGACTGAGGCTCTGGGCCACAGCAGAAGGGTTATGAGACACACTGCCTGCCTAAGGGTGACCAGCGGGAGTGTGCTGGGGCGCACTGACTGACAGCCCTCAAGTGATGCCCACTCAGACTTTTCATAGACTATTGAGTTCACAAAATTAATTTTCAGATAGTTATTGAGTGGTCTAATTCTGTTTGTATTGAGTAAATGTTTTTCTACTTTTCTTTGCAGTCCTGAAAAGATCTGCACAGAAAAGAAACACGCGCCTAATAAAGAGAAACAAATTACTGACTTAAGTCAATCTGCTTTTGAAAGGCAGTTTTACTCCTCGAAGCTCAACAAAGGGAATAAAAGGAATAAAAAGAAGGTTCTGGTGAGCAGAGATCTGGGGGTTGCTGGGTGTGGCTGCCAGTTTCACAACACCCACGAGCCAGCAAGTGAGCTCTGATTTGGGAATCTGAGCTTGACAAGTCTCTCCCTCCAGTCGACCCGGAGGCCAGAGGAGGCAGAAACCAAAGAAGGACGTGAAAAAGGGGAGGCAGGAGAATTTCTTTGACACAAGAGTTTGTGGGGCTGCCTCTGGGCTCGTTGCTGCTGTGCAGACAGGACCCCTTTGGCAGAAACTCAAAAAAAGAGCAAATTGTGGGACTCTAGTCCCCACTTTTGAGGGCCAGATTGTGCCCTTACCTGGTAAGGAAAGCCCGGCCACAGGGAATCTGCCCACTAAGATTTCCTCCACTCTTTCCCTGAGTCTCTGCTTTTCTGCCATTTTTCCACCAGTGGCTACTTATTTCATTCCAACCAGAACCTTAGTTCAGTCACAATAGGTAGGGATATTTTGGAAATGACATTGAGACTAAAACACAATGATTTTTGGATCTATAAGAGTTATTATTTTAATTAGTAATTCATTTAAAAAGGCATCTGATGTGCAGGTGTTTTCCTGCACAGGTTCCTTGGCCAGAGCTCACAGCCAGGCTGCCGTGGCGTCCAGCTCCTGGTCTGTTTCTCTGGTGTCCGCTCCCTGCGTCAAGCCTGAGTTTTGGGACTCAGGAGCAGCTGGGGCGCCTGGTTGGTGGCCAGTTGGTGACGTGTCTTGAGGGCCCAGTGGAGCTTGGTTTCTCCTTTCAACAACCCCTTGTTCCCCCTCATCCCACACACAAGGCACTGTTTCTCCTTTGTAGCTTGAAAACCTCCGATCTTGTGACCCAGCTCCACTCTTCTCCCCAGTGCCCCCCAGAAATGGCATCTCCTGTGTAGCAGTTATCATACCCCTTTCCTCAGCAGCTGCTTCTGCACAGGACTGCCTGAGTGGAAGGTGCCCTCGAGCTGCCGAAGGTGACGGCTGTCGCTCTGCCCTCTGGCACGGTAGCCTGGCTGCTGTTACCAAGAGGTCCCCAAGAGGCGTGTGGCTTACACACCACGGACATTTACTTTTCACCCAAGAGCCAGAACCATCTTCGAGGTTGCCCTGGAAAGTGATCTTAAAATGAAATTGCTCCCCTAGAAGGGATCATGCTCAGCGAAATAAGTCAGAAAGAAAAAGAAAAATACCGGATGGTCTCACTCATAGCAGGAATTTAGAAAACTTAAATAAGGGACCAGGAAAAAGACTAATTAATACAAAGTAAATCAAAATCAACAAGCAACTATAAACCAGAGACACACTACGGGGGGTGGGGAGGGAAGGGGAGAGGAAGGACTAGGGTCAAAATAAGGGGGGGTGCAATTGTATGGGGAATATAACCAAAAGGATAATGCATACATTGTGCAAAAATGAAAAATGATGTAAGAATTATATAAAATAAAATATTAATTTAAAAAGTTATCAGACAATGAAAAAAATGAAATATGTGTCAACTGAAAAAAAAAAAAAAAAAAAGAAAATGAAATTGCTCCCGAGGCTCTCCCCTGGGAGTGGAGGAGGCCCAGACCTCGACAGCTCTTTGGCCTGGACCAGCCATGTGACCGTCCCCAGCTGTAGGGCTGGGGAACCTGGATGGTCTGAGCAAAGTGGCAGGGAGAGCAACCATTTTGCGGCCAGCTCGCCTCTCTGCCGACCGCACTCCCGTAGAAGGGTAGTAGTGTGTGGCGTCCAGCAACCAGGAAAGCCTGTTTCCGTGTTGCTGGAACCAGAGGGAGGATGGAGCAGCGCTGGGAAGCTGCCTGGAGGGTCTCCACAGGAGGGGACGGTCAGGCTCTGCTGGGGCCTTCCTCCTGCTCCCCGAACCCCTCCCCTGCCCAACATTCAGTTCTCTTTTTCTGTAGGTTTTAGGACAGCAAAGACCCAGATCCTGGACTGCCGGGGAAGGTGGGTTCCGCCGGGGGTTGCCTCCCACGGAGAGAAGAGTGATGACGGCAGAGGTCCTGGGGCAGCATCTGGCCTCCCTGCAGCTGGGGGCCAAGCAGGACCGCAGGCGCCCCGCCTCCTCCTCGGAGGCCACAGCAGGAAAGCACGATTCCCTGGATTTGGTTCCAGCGTCGCTGCAACAGTTAAGAAATCTCCCGCCTGTTTTCTCTCTTCAGAAATGAAAGGATAAAGCAAGAAATAGCAAAATAATAATCGTTACTGTTTATCGAGCTCCTGGTGTGAAGTAGGACCCGTGTGAGGTATTTTATATCCATTTAAAACTTTTCACAGCAACATAGAATTATCTCCCAGGACATGAGGGCCAGAGGTGGGTGAACTGCTCAAGTCAGTTGCAGAACTTGAAAGTGGCAGCGTTTGACTTCAAGTCCTGGCCCTCCGGGGCCAAAGCACAGGTGCTTTGGCCAGGGCGCACCCTCTCTTCCCGTCCACTCAGGCCTTGTAAGGTTCGCCAAGCTGCCGAGGGCTGAGGTTCTCTTCCAGAGGATGGAGCTGCCCTCTGGCCAGGGGGGCTTCCTGAGGCTGAGGAGCCCACAGGACCCTGCTGATGTCCTGCCCTCTGCTCCCCCATTCCCCACGGATATACGTGGTCTAAGGGCACCCCCCCACCCCCACATGCCCTTCAGAAAATCAGGCGAGAACTTGATTTACTGAAGGGCCGAGCTTTGCTCCTAGTCACAGGCGGTGGCTGGAGTTGCTGGGGGCACCGCCATTAAATCACCCCTGGGGTTTGGTGGACGCTGGCCCACTGCAGGCTCCCCTGTCCTAAGTCTACAGAGAATCCCGATGTATCCAGACAGGGGAAATGGCGCCAGCCACAGCTCATCCCAGTGCGGGTCCCCACAGACCCAGGACTAGTCCCAGGGATTATCCTGGAGCTAATTCACAGGCAACCCCAGAACTGCTTTAAGCCCCCCTGTGTGGAGCTCTGGAGCCGGCAGGCGGAGGCAGCCCATGAACACCAGCCCACGATTGCCCCCCTAAACCCACACAAGACTCTCCTGAAACCCTTCAAAAGCCCAGCAGTCTGCTTTGCTCAGCATGGCCGCGCCTGGCCGGCCACTCTCCCTTAACCTGGCACGCTCAGCTGTTTGCTTTCAGGTTCTGAGAGCGGCTCTTCCTTAGACCCTGGGGCCGGTGTGTTTTAACCAGTCAGCGCAGAGGATTGAGAACCTGAATGACTGAGTGATGAACTTTGAATATTCTGAATTGTGCTCTAGCCAATCTTTGCCCAGTGCTTATTTTCGGAGGAAGGGGGTTGGGGGGGCAGGCCTGTGCCTCAGCTCCCTGAGAAGTCTGGCAGCCAGAGCCATTCCTTCCAAAGACTGGTCTCTTCCCTGCTGGGGAAACCCAGGGATTTAGCGTACAGGACCTTATTTTTATCAGTGTTTCAGGACAAAGCTCATACGTCACCACGCAGAGGCGGAATCAGCGGTCCTGGTGTGGACGTGGCATCGCGGGGACAGGGTGGGGATGGTGCGCCTGGAGCTGGGCGGGTGCAGCCGCGCTGACGGGCACTGCTTGTGTGTTTTCTTTACTCCTAAGTTACCCCCCCCCCCCCCCCGAGAGCTCCCCTCAGCCAGACAGGCACAGGATTCTAGAGGGTTCAGTCTCGTCCCACAGAGACCTCACTGAGAGGCCACCAAAGTAACAGTCCCAGAAACGTTCGGTGGTGTCGCTGGCAGTCAAGATGGGGGTCTCCTGAGCTTACCCCCCCAATCCTGCCCTTGGTTTTTCGTTGTTGTTGCAGAAAGGAGATTTGGTTTTGTCCTAAGCAGCCTCTCAAGAGCCTTTGGAGAAGAAAGTAAATCAGTCTATTTTGCAAGGTTTCATTCATAAACATATTTTTATTCTCTCTGTACATATTGGCAATGATAAAGCTTAAAGATGCATGTCCTATGAAATATGCAAAAAACAAGAATTTACATAAATAAATTATACCTCAGAAAATTAAAGGCTGAAAAATATTTTCCACATCATGAGAGTTCACAGTTTTTAAAGTAAATCAAGCTTTCCCCTTAGATTTCAAATTTTATTGTCTCAGCAGAGAATGATAAAAATCTAATCAGAAATAAAATGATCAAGTTTGCTTTTTATTCAGTGCACGAGTAGACACTCTCTCGGTAGCAGGCTGTCCCCTCGCCCAGTGGCAGGTCTCCCTGACCCTTCACCGGAGTGGCCATGACCACAGGGGTCACGTGGTGTGGAGTGGTTCTGGCGTCACCCAAACCACCTATGGGGGACACGTGCAACCAGGTGGTCACGTCTGGTGGTCTGATGCCTCATTTCCACGTAATACTTTTTATAGCCCTGAAAATGGAAACCTTGGCATCCAAACACAACCCAACGTGGTAACACTAATACAAGGCACTGTGCTATGGGGTTTGGTTTATAGGAAGAAATCATGTTTGCATAGTTTGCTAGCGATTTAGTGTGCAATAAAATAGAGGGCTCCAGCGTGCGTGGCCCTGTGATGCGTGAAACCCGGATGCTCTCCAGCCCTGGGTGGCGCTGGCAGCTGCGTCTTCTCCAGCCCCCACCGGGCGGGCAGATCCCTACGGCTCCTACAGAAGAGTTTTTTGCTCAAAAAGTTGCAGGTCAAAGCGGACCCAGACCTCCCCGGTGGGGACCTCGTGCAGCAGGAGCCGGCGGGTTGTAGGGCCTTTGCTTTCCTGTTCTGTTCGGATTTTTGCCAGTGGAACTTCAGTACGACCCAGGAAATCTGGAGAACAGATATTTTTGAGTCAGAAGTCGTCGTCTTTATAAAGCTGTATGAAGAACTACTACACGGGAGTGTCTGAAACAGGATTCACAAAACTTTCAAATCCAGGACAAGCAACATCTTTTATTAAAGGCTGTTTGTTCTGTGAGAGGCTGTGTGTAGAGGGCTACCGATCGTGTGAGGGAGACTGCCTGCTCAGAGCCCTGTTTCGGGCCAGGGACGGTCTCCCCCTCAGCAGGTGCCAGGAGCCCCAAAATCCCATCGTGTGTGTATGTATGGGGTTGAAGACCTAACATACACCTTAACAGACCTAAAACCACCCCATCCGCTGCTGCCCAGTGTGAGCTGCTACTGACCACAGCCCACATGGCTTCCAGAAGGTGGGATGAAAATAAGGTCAAGCACTGAATCCATACCTAGATTCTAGAGCATTGGGGACCCTTCAGCTCCCCAGCCGAGTTATACTTTACCATCTGGTGAAAACTGGTCTCTGTCAAACATGGTGAGACACAGCACATCTTGGTAAAGATCCTTAATAAAGAACTGGCAGTTAAAATTCCACTTGGGGTTTAGTGTGTCCTGGAGGGTCCTGGTGGTGTAGCTCTGGGAGCCCATGCTGATTTCACAGTATGGGTTGCTCTTTCCTGAACAAAAACAAAAGACACATGAGGCGAGGTAGATGAGAGACTGACAGAAAGGCCTTCCTTGAGCAGAAGAAGGATCCAAATGGACGCTCCCTCTAGAGACCACAGCAGCAGGGGCCACTGCCTGGGGACTCCCAGCTTGCCCAGCCCTGTGCTAGGAAGCAAGCTAGGAAAGAAGACAGAGACATTCACTTCTCTGGTCTCTGCTCCCTGTGCTGACAGCCTCAGAAATCCGGGGGGAGGGGGGGGGCACTGAGCACATTCAAACACCAGGACTGTCCCCCACAATCTTGGGCAAGCGTCTGTGCAACTTGCTTCATGCTTTCTCCATTCAGAAGCACAGGGGAAGGAGGCCTTGGTACTTACTGGGGAAACGGAGTGATGATAACATCAGTCCAATAATCCTGTTAGTGGCACTAGAAACACTTTTAAAAAAGTATCCCATTACCTAGTGCCCAGAGAGTCATTAGCAAAAGCAGGGCAGCTAACCCCTCTGTTGAATTAAAGAAGCATTTACCGTTCGGCTTACAGGCTTTTAATTCTGTCGCTTCAATGATATGCACCATCAGACGCCCAATGCCAGAATTCTTCTGAGAGCGAGCTAGGAAAGAAGACAGAGACATTCACTTCTCTGGGAATGCAGAGCGCGCAGCGATGAGGAGCTACAGCTCCTCACAATCTGTCTTTCTAACCAAGCCTCACACTCCCCAGCCTCACCTGTCACTGCACTGGGCCTGGCCAGCCAGCTGGCATCTGGCTGTGTGGCCTGCGAGGCATGCCTTGGCCACGATCTCTACTCGTTAACCTTCAAGATGTGGGTCCAATCTCAACCCTCCCTGCGATACCCCTGCCCTCCTCTGTGCATCCAAGTCCTCGGCTTACGAGCATCCCACAGCATGCTGGGCCTGAAATGCTGTGCTGCCCCTCTCTCCAAGCCACTGTATAGCATGGACTGTTTACTCATCCCTGTATTAGCCCTCAATTGCCTAACAAATAGTAGCATTAATAAAATACTGCATTATATTCATTTAGCATTTAAAAGCAGGTAACATTTATTGCATACTTCCTTTGTGTTAGGCATGTGCTAGGCCCTTTTTGTAAGTCAGTTTCCTCGCAGGGTAGCCCTTTTAAGCTGCCTCCCATACGTGAAAAAGTGGAGACCTAATGTGGTCTGTCACGCGCTCCAACCACATGCTTCTAAGTGGCAGGGTCAAAATGTAAACAGCAGATATCAAAGTATTTTCTGAACCACTCACCATAACCCCAATTATATGTAATCACCAGCTTATAAGTAGTTTCACTGAAGGCCTTTTTCCATTGAAGGAGGTACTCAAAACTGCTTTCTTAATGTGGAGAGAAATGAAGCAGTGAACTCACATTATCTCAGTAAGTGTGAAGTCACTGAAGTAGGTTTGCCCTCTGGGGTTTAAAAACTAACAAAGAGGCTGCTTGGTGTGCTACTGATTTTTCAAAATTTGGGGCAAATGGGAGCTTTTCTAAGAGAAGGGGCCCACCCCTCCCTCATGCCCACCTCCCACCGCTGCACTCAGGTCCCCTGCAAGGCAGGCTGGAGCACGTCCATCTCGGAGGGCCTGGTGAAGGCTAGCACGGGGCCTGGCACAGAGTAAGTAATCAATAAATGCCCGAAGAAATTGAACATGTAGGAAATACAAAACAATATGTACAGATATTGATGTTAGGCCAAACATAGAAAAACTTTGATTGACATCGTAGGCCAATTAAGAGATCATTATATGCTTTATGAACGATTCAATCATTGATTTTTCAGTAGCAAGCCTTTAAAGGACCGTTAAAACGAGATTCAGTTAGCAAAAGCTGATATACACATACCTTTCAGGAGTATATAACAAAATAAGAGAAACCTGAATAAAAAAACATAAAGAGCTGCAACAACAGCAGCGGACACAGAGGACGGGCTGCCGGGCAGGGCACTGGGCTCTGGGTGGCCCTCTCTAGGCCGCGGCGTGGCAGCCAGAGCCGGCAGATGGCAGAAATGGGGCTGGGCAATAGGTAAGACAGGGAATTCACTGGTAAGAAATGTGCCCTAAATCCAGGAGGCAACAGGGAAGATGCTTACGCAAGGCCCTGTGAAGAAAATCCATCACTGAGCTGTCTGTGGTCGGGTGGGGGGCTGAGGGTCTTCCTGGGGCTGTGTCACTGGGGAAGGAAGGGACTGAGCAAATGGGGAAGAACAATGGGAGAAGACACGGCCTGGGACAGGGACTGGAGGGGAGGTGAGGGGGGTCAGAGAGCCTGTGTCCAGTCTGGTGGACGAGGACAAGACGGCCGCCCACAGAGATTCTCGGAGGAGCAGTGAGTTCAGGAAGGAGTTACTGAATCCCACCGGAGACAGCAATTTATCTCGGGCACCCAGGAGAAGGGGAGCAGGGTCCCTCTGGACAGTGACCAGATGAAGCCCTGGGAGGGAGTGGCCAGAACTCCCAGGACAGGGAAGAAGAGGAGCTTGGAGGGGAGAGGGCAAAAGATCAGGTGCAGGAAGACTCTGGGGTGTCAGGAAGAAGGAGAAGGGGTGCTGACTCCCTGCCAGAAGGCACAGAGAGCCCCAGGAGGGGGAGGGAGGAGGCCGCTGGCCAGGTCACCGTGTCTGAGAATGAGCCATTCCCACTGAGCGACGGGAAAGCAAGGGGACGGAGGCTGGTGAGCCAGGAGGAGGCAGAGACCTTTAAGAGCCAGAGCCTGGTGTCAAGGCGGGTACGGATGGATCTGGAGGGGGACGGGCAGAGGCTGGTGCGGGAGAAATGGGCAGAGTGGTTGTAAGCTGAAGGGAAACAGGCCACAGAGGGGACGTTTGCTGGAGCAATATGGATTGAGCAGAGATGGGGCTGGGTGCCCACAGAAAGACCCCTTTCCCGGAAACAGGTGAAGAATGAGTGTGGAGGGAGGACGTACAGGGAGCCGCCGTGAGAAGGGAGGCCCTGGAGTGTGTGCGGGACCACGTGACATCTGTGTAGTGGGGGGAGGCGGTCAGGGAAGTTCAGAAGGTTTCACTCAGCTGAGGGGGCAGCAGGAGTCAAGCCAGGCTCCTTCATGGCTGAGTCTGGCCTGTCACAGACCCACTCACCCCATTGTGACATGGCAGGAGCAGTAGCTGCGTCCTGAGGGCCAGACCCCACCGCCCCGGCCCCTCCAGGGCCCCACCAGCTACCTT